GTAATACACTGTATAACATGTCATATATTTCATTAAAAATTTATCCGAGTTCAATCAAGATTGGCACTGTAATGCCAAGGCTTTTCTTTATAGCAATAAATTGTTATGTTAATATGATCTAATAAGAATAACAGAATAACAAAATGGACAAAGTTTTAATATTTTGTAGAGATTCATTAGATAGACCCTTTTTCTCCTTTCTCAGCATGTTAGATCATGGTAATACATATCAATAATACAAAAAAGTTAAAATAAGGTAAAATACAATTAGAACTATATTTTAACACTGCCATCTCCATACATGCATACAGTCACAACTGGAAAAAAAAAAAAAGTTGAATGTAATGAAATGCCAGTTTCTGTGTGAGCCCCAGAGGCTCCCTGAAGCAATCTTACTGATCACGTACCATACTACTCGAGTGTCATCAGTCACAGAGTTCTTTGTATGCCTACCAGGGACCACGAGACAACCTGGCCCCTCCTCAGAGAGGCGAAGAGAACAATGGCTCACGAACACTTTACATTTAAAGTATGTTATCTTGCCATCGACCAGGAAAGGCACCCAGAAAGGCAGGCAAATCAAAACAGGCTACTGCTTGGTTGAAAATTGTGACCTACGTCCTCAAAAGAGCAAAAGAACACCCTTCACAAAGAAAACATACAAGCAAAACTTAGTTTTGCTTGTGAAGAGGCCACCAGAAACCAAAGTGAAGAAAGAAAGGAAAGAACCCAGCCCAATGATCAAGCAGGATCAGGCGATGTATAAGCAGCCCAGAGGTGAAGTAATGCACAAGAAAGTCAGTGGAAAAGGGCAGAAGTGAAATCCACCCCGAACGCAAGCAGAAGTGGCCCCACCAGTGCCATATGATATGAAGCGACATTATTCAGCACGAGTTGCCAATCCAGAAAAAAACCTAGAGAGAAACGACAAAGCAACCTAGTTGAACACCAAAGAAACCCAATGAAGAGGAAGAAAATAGAGGAAAGTCGTCCAAGAAACCCCATACTGCTACTGAGAAGATGACCGTAGGCGGGACACTATCAAACTAGCGACCTGATCATCATACAAATGGCGATACACATGCATCTTAAGACCAGATACGTTTTGTGGAAAAGAAGGTCGAATTAGCGAGGAACCTCACCTATACGTCCTACTGTTAAAGGCGGAGCCACAGAAAATCGCCCCGGTTCGGACACTGAGCAAGTAGCACTTGTAACCAAGGCTGGAAAGAGGAATGAAACAAGATAGGCCATCTGCCAGGACAGTGGACACTCCTGAAATGTGAACGGTGCACAGCTAAACCCAGAGAACTCAGCAGAAAAGCTACACGAAGCAACTAGCTCCAAAGACGCATGGACCAAAGAGAAAATGAACCACGGGAGAGCAGTCCGAATGGAACTGAATCACCAAACCCTGAGGAATCCACACCCTCCACAAACTCCCTCACTGTGCTGTGGGCTCGACGCATGGACCGCCACCAACGACACTGGCCGGACTGGTGAGTGCTTGATAAAAAGTCTCAACCCACAGACGAAGTGGATGGGGACATTGAGTGAGAGAGGAGGGCACACCATGGCACCAAACCCTTTAAAACCTGAAGAGGAAGCCGGTGATGCAGCAACTGGCACAAGGACAACGGGAGATGAACCCAGTGATCACGAGAGTGGCGAAAGGGCTACTCCAAAGATACCAGAACAGCCACCTGAGCCAAACCCTGCCCAATGGCTAAACCAGAAGGGCAAAGATCAAACACCTGCACAGCTGATCGAGCAATCGCCGAGGAACCTAGATCCCTCTTAACAGCAGCCGATGGCGGGACTGCAGCTGGAGCAAGGCCGCAGGAGGGAGAGAAAGAGAAGCCGTTTGAGAATCCCAAACAAGGCCCAGTCAGGTTCAAACCTGGTACAGAACCAACTTGGACTTCCTCCAGCTCACGAAAAAACTCGAACCTGATGAGCTAGGAGAGTCATCCCTGGCTAGTAGACAAGCAGACCAGCTGAGAGCCCACACCAACCAGTCATTGAGATAGGCTATGACCCAAAGACCTAGCAGATGAAGATAGGCCACCACAACCAGAGTCGAGTGTGTAAAAATGCAAGGTGCCAGATTCAACCTGAAAGAAAGACAATGGAAGCAGTAAATCTGTCGCCCCACCAATCACTGAACCCCGGATGAAGAGGGACGTGCCAGGACATGCCATAAAGGTCACGGAAAATCATCGAAGCGGCCGGATCAAGAACGAGCTGGAACTGGGACAACCTTGACATGTGAAATGATGGGAAAGAACTCAACCAGTTCAGACGAGACAAGTCCAGAATGTACTTGATCCACACAGTCCTGTCTTGGAACTGGAAACAGATGGGAAACCCACAGGAGAGAAGATCGATTCGACCACGCCCAAGTGAACACACTCCGAGATGACCCGATGGATGAACGGGGAAGAGGCCTGCCCACTCTTGATGCTGTTGCCGCATCAAGACTCATTGGAGGGTCGTCACCATCGGGGGGCGTGATGAAACCTCCAGGCTTAGAGGTATGTCTTAATGGATCGCAGTGAGGATGCTGCTTTGCCACCTACAACACCCTGACCGGTACACAAGTTGCCTACAAACGAATTGCTACAGCACATTAGCATTGGCTACATCCTTATTTGGGATGTAGGTACCAACACTGTTTTGGCACGACTTCCCCAGGTTCCCCTTACACAGGTTCATTCCACGCAAAACCCCTCGCCTCGCTTCCCTCCTCCTGAGAGGGGGGGGGGGGAGTCAAGAACGGTACAGGTCTCTCTCCTTTAGACTCCTGTCTTTGACCATTCCAATGCCAGCCGTACATGATATTGTTGCTTCTCCAGTCTGGATTCTGCCTTAGAGGCTTTCAGGCACAAGCTAAATGCCACTGAAGGCTGCAAGAAACAACCCAAAAGCCCACGGACTCTTGGACCAGGTGTGGGCAAAAAGAGCCAACCTTCCCCTCCGTCACCCTTCAAGGCAACCTGCGAAAGGGCTAAAGTGAACCTCCAAGAACCCGACCCCCAACTGGGCTCGGAAGAAGTGTCCATAGTACGACTGAGCCCATGGGGTTTTCCCAGGGTCTGTAGGATGAATGAACCCAACAGGAAGCACAGACACTGGGGCCAGCTAAACTGGTAAACCCTGTCAGTGCAGGCAACTTGACTGCAAGTGGGCCGCAGTAAAGTCTTGGGGGAAACAGAGGAAGGCTACTACCACACCCTAGGTGGGGTTGCCTAATTAGGTGAAAAGCAGAATTCCTCTGCCAAAAAAGGCAAAATAAAAAAATGCCTAAAACATGAAAGCACACTAAACCCCCCCCCCCCTGAAACCCCACAACAGCAAATACGCAGTTGGAGAGAAACATCGACCCACCGTGCGATAGCTGAAAATCAGGCTGTGCCAGCCGCAGTGTGCCCTACCAGCCAACAAACATTCCCCCATCCAGGGCAAGAGGGAAAGCCCAAAGACCCTGATGCACTCCAAGGACGAAGACAACCACCAGCGAGGAAGTCCTCTAATGGGGAATGATTCCCAAAAGCCCCAAGGAAGATAACCCTAACCACACAAGGGCAGTACTTAAGGAGCACCTTGGGAAGGTGGCCCTAGGCGCATGCAGCTCCAGTATTGGAAAACTCTTGGCAACACGCACACATCTGTTTATAACCCCGCCGCATGGGTGAAAACACCAAAGAAAATGAGAAAGCCAGAGCGACAGCGACCACTTGGCACATCATCAGTCAAAGAACTGGCCGATGGGCGACCGGCTCATCTGGGCCAGCTCTCTCTCCCCCCGCAGGGAAGGGGGTGGTGCTAACAAGCGGGGAAAGGATAGTTGGATGAAGTTTTGCTTGTTTGTTTTCTTAGGGAGGAGTTCTTTTGCACTTTTGAGGATGTAAGTGACAATTTTCAACCAGGCAGTAGTCTGTTTTTATTTACTTACCTTTCTGGGTGCCTCCCTGGTCACTGGCAAGATGACATACTTTAAATGTAGTGTTCATTGACCATTGCTCCCTGCACCTCTCTGAGAGGGCCAGGTTCTGGCTCATGGTCCCTGGTAGGCATACAAAGAACTCTGCAACTGATGACACTCAAGTAGTATGGTACTTGATCAGTAAGATAGCGTCAAGGAGCCGACAGGGCTCCCCCACAGAAACAAGCACATTTTAGGAGAAATAAAGTAAAATAAAAATTAAAAATATATAATATATGGACATATAGTACAGTAATATATTAAAATACTGTATGCAGTATTGTATATACATTATACTGCATGTGAAATACAGGCTTTACTGCAGACTGTAATGGAGGTCCAGGAAAGTCAGACAATATAGTACAACGTGAGTGAAACCTGACAACACTGCAAGCAAGATGAGATTGATGGTAGAGTGCATGAATCAATTATGATGGTACTGTTAGGGAAGACTAATATAAAAAATTGTGTAAGAGAACATTTAGTAAAGAGTACAATAATAGTACATAGAGTGAAGCTTTTTTTCTTGGTTGTCCTGTCTACCTAAGACTAGCTGTGTGTGTGTCCTGACTTATTCCTTAACACATTACTAGATAATCATAGTGTATCTCCCCATTGCCTTGGCCTTAGTGGTCTTGCATGTCAATTTGGTAAAAATTCATCATATATACACAATTGTGCACAATTACATTGCATATTTTATTTTGGAAGTTTAATATGTTAATTTTAAATTTGGAAATTTTAAAATAAATAAATTATCTGGAGTGCCCATATCCAACAATTCATACTAACAGGGCATTATTTATTTTTTCTGAAGAAAGTGTATAAAAAAGTGGCATTAGAGAAGCAAGGGCTTTTACAACCACTGCATACTCAAATTCCACTGTATATATGTTCTTGCGCTCTCTTTAAATTGTAGATATCTAAACCAACTTTTCTTTCCTAAAAAATCATGTAAGTTGACTGGAATACTAGCAGTGTTCTGTTGATGGCTTTGAGGTGGTGGTGATCTTACTTCATGCGTGCGATGAGCCTTGCAGTGTTGAGGGCGGGGATGCAAGGTACCTCTGTTCCGCCGTCGCTGACATATCCGCTGGTGTTGTCGCTGTTGATGCCACTCTCCCCTTCCCCGGCAGCGTGCCCTCCTCCAGATAATGTTCCACCAGCTGCACATGATGTTCCACTTGTTGCTGTAGCAGACGCTCCTAGAGATTCAGGTTCTTCAGCCCCAGACAAAGGTCCTTCTTCTAAGGTCATGTCAGAAAGTGACACAGGATCCAAGGAGAGGTCGCACATTGATGACTCGCTTAAATCCTGAAATAAACACTCCTACAATACAGTACACCATACATAAACGACAATATTATTAGTCATATATATAAAATAAATAATGATTGGTAGTACACTATTGGTTGTAAAAGATGTAGATGTGGATGCTACTTGTATCAGATGCTATGCTACTTGTATCAGATGCATCATCACTGAATCCAGAAAATGATTCATCTATGTAACATCCATAAAAATTGGAGATGGCATGGGTGAGCATGGGTGGCACTCAGCTACTACTGGATACGCTCACTGCATTGTCCTCATCAGTGCTGTATCACTTGCATCCGACTCTTGTGTTAGGGCCTTATTGCACCTAGCTTCATAAATATCATGACCCTTATGTTCCTCAAACAATAACGTCTGAATTTCACCAACAGAGAGCGATCTTTCAACACTGCATCAGACAGGTGTTTGGGAGCCAGAGGTGCGTGCGCCACCCATGGTTGCTCACTCAGTACTAACACAGCCAGCAGCCCTAGGACATTCTGGGAATTTTTTCCAAGATGGCTGCCTCTCACTGGAGGTTCCAAGAGTCCATTTTGTACATAACTTAATGCGCACGCATTTTGAATGGGTACGAAATATTCAAAAGGGGTTTTCTGGGTTGGCGCAGCACAGTGGTTAAGGCACTGTGCACCACACATTGAGGGTCTTAAGGCACTATGCACAATAAAGTGGTTAAAGGGGAAATACTTTTTAGCAAATGACATAGGAGCAAAATTATTGACATAACAGGATATGAGTGACAGTAACCACAAAGAGTGTGGTTAATGGAGGATGAGGAAAGTCTCAAAACAAAAGATGCTTGAAGAGCAAAATTAATACACAGTACACATCAAATATGTTAATGCAATAATGTGAAGAACCAACAAAGAAGAGAGAGGAAGTGATGAACCAGTATAATTAAACCTTAGTTACACACAGTGAAACAGACATGACAGATTCAATACAAGTAACCTCTGAGAGCTATTGGCCATAAAGTCATAACTGAAGACAACAAAAACATGCAAGAAACTAACACTGTAAGGGAGATTACAGAGGATTAAAAAAATTTTTGGAATAAGGAGTGGGATATTAGTAGAAACTGCCTTTCTGGCTTACTAGAAAGCCAGAAAATACGATGGAATACACTGCCAAGAGATGCACAGAAGCAAGAGGAATTTTTTGCCATATAAAAACATGGAGACAAGAAACAATCCAAGGTTCAATAAGAGGTACCAAGTGGCAAATGGGGTGTCTTTCTAATTGCTTTTTCAATAGTTACAGTTTTGTTTTGGTAGTCTGGTACCTTCCAAAATATTACTTGGAGTTTGTATTATGGCATTCATTCATTGCATTTTGGCCAGTTTACCTTAGTGTGGGTAATCTTTGATCCCTATATGCTCCATGCCTCAGAGGGGGGCAATGAGAGTACAGTAGAATATTGTTGGATACCTGGTGTTGCCAGAGTCTGATCAGAAATGGCCAGAGTGTAAGCCAAGGAAATCATCGGCGGTGTTGCCATAGTAAGAAATTTTAAAATAAAAAAACTCATTTTAGGGCATGAAAAATATTTAAATTAAGTAACCTTAATGGGACAAAATGAGAACAGGATCACTTCAGTTGACAAAAATATTTCAACAATAAAGTGTTAATATGTATTAAGAGCGAAGTACATTACATAAATTACAAATGATACCTTATCTGCAACACTAGTTGTAGACTGGGCTTCCTTCTTAGCTTCTTCTGATAAATGTTGTGTGTATAGGGAAGGACGTGGGGCCAATGGAGGCCTGTACCCACCTGAAAAAGAATCAATGATTTGAGTAATTTATGACAACATAAACTAGGGAATAAGTGGTAAGATGATACTAAGAAAACAGGAGATGACACAGAAAGCTCGTGTATAGCTGTAAGAGGAATTAGAAAGTGCATACTACATATTATATATAATTTTTATTGCTGAAAAATATGCTATTTGGAGAAACTTAAGAGATATGAATAATAATAAAGGTGGGAACATCTGAAATGAAATATGAAGCAGAGGAGGAGGGAAGCAAACACTCAGGATTGGGTAGGCTACTGCCAACTGAATCAAGATCAGGCAATGGTGAACAAGGCTAAATTAATCTACATGTAATTACTGTACATAATACAGAATTATATAAGAATAATAGGAGCAAATAATAGATAAAAGCTGAAAGAAGGAAGTAATGAGCTCAAATAACTCAACCTGTCCTCTTAAAAATAACATCGCTTTTTGCTCATATGTGCTCTATGGCCAAAAATGGACGTAATTTGAAATTAAATCAGCTCACGAAAGTGATGTACTGTCCCGTTTTCTGTTTGAGTCATCTGGCTTACTTGATAAGGTTAGGCGAGGAAACTTTCAATTAACGTTTAACAAACATAAGAACTGACTTCAGAAATTTGTATAAAGAATCATTCAGAACCTTGTATATCTCGTATGTCAGACCAATACTGGAGTATGCAGCTCCAGCGTGGCGTCCCCCATCTAGTCAAACAAAACAAAGTTAGAAAAAGTTCAGAGGTATGCAACCAGGCTAGTCCCTGAGCTGAGGGGTATGAGCTAAGATGAAAGATTACTGGAACTAAACCCCATGACACAAGAGACATGATCACTACCTATAAAATTCTCAGGAATTGACAGGGTAGATAAACTATTTAGCATTGGTAGTACACAAATAAGGGGACACAGGTGAAAATTTAGTACTCAAATGGATGTTAGGGATGTTAGAAAGAACTTTTTCAATGTCAGAGTAGTTAACAAATGAAATGCATTAGGAAGTGATGTGGTGGAGGTAGACTCCATACACAGTTTCAAATGTAGATATGATAGAGACCAGGCGATGAGTCACAATAACGTGGCTAAAGTATGTTGACCAGACCACACACTAGAAGGTGAAGGGACGACGACGTTTCGGTCCGTCCTGGACCATTCTCAAGTTGATTGGGAGAATGATCTACTTGAGAATGGTCCAGGACAGACCGAATCATCATCGTCCCTTCACCTTCTAGTGTGTTGTCTGGTCAACATAGTAAGCTCAGGAGCCTGTACACCAAATAATAAATTATAAATTATTTATTATTTTATATCAAATATCTTTATTATATCAAATATTATATTATATAAAATTATAAAAGTGACCATGTCTTTTTGGGAATAAAGTATGCAATGCATTATAATCTGGAAGAAAATAAGGATGTTGAAGCAGTTGAAAAGCCTGACTTTAGGAGAGGACATTATGGCAACCTTAGAATTTTTTTAGTGAGCATAATTGAACAGACTTGTTGCTAGGCAAGGAAGTAAATGAGATGTATGTCAGGTTTTGTGAAATATATGATAAAGGCACAAAAAATTTATAAATTCATAAACAACAAATTGCAGGTAAAGGATAATATTCAGAGGTTGAAAATGGGAAATAGATTCACGGAAAATGAAAATGAAATGTTTGAAACATTAAACAAAAAGTTCCAAAATGTGTTTGTACAAAATGAAATCTTCAGGGAACCAGACACAATAAGAATTCCAGAGAACAACATAGAGCACATAGACATGTCTAGAGACGAAGTGGAAAGAATGCTGAAGGAGCTAAGTAAGAACAAAGCAGTTAGTCCAGATGGAGTTTCACCATGGGTTCTTCTGAGAGAATGTGTACCCGAGCTCAGCATTCCACCGAACTCAGGGGGTGGTTCTAGATAGGAAACTGTCACCTGAAGACCACATTAAGAACATTGTGCGAGGAGCCTATGCTACACTTTCTAACTTCAGAATTGCTTTTAAATACATGGATGGAGAAATACTAAAGAAAATATTCACAACTTTTGTTAGACCAAAGCTGGAATATGCAGCGGTTGTATGGTACCCATATTTTAAGAAGCACATCAACAAACTGGAAAAGGTGCAATGACATGCTACTAAGTGGCTCCCAGAACTGAAGGACAAGAACTACGAGGAGAGGTTAGAGGCATTAAACATGCAAAAACTAGAAGATAGAAGAAAAAGAGGCGATATAATCACTACAGTACGTACAAAATAATAACAGGAATCGATAAAATTGATAGGGAAGAATTCCTGAGACCTGGAACTTCAAAAATAAGAGGTCATAGAATTAAACTAACGAAACAAAGCTGCCGGAGGAATATAAGAAAATTCACTTTTGTAAACAGAGTGGTAGACGGTTGGAACAAATTAGGTGAAAATGTGGTGGAGGCCAAAACCGTCAGTAATTTCAAAGCGTTATATGATAAAGAGTGCTCGGAAGACGGGACACCACGAGCGTAGCTCTCGTCCTGTAACTACACTTGGGTAATTACCAGTTGATTAACAGTTGAGAGGAGGGACCAAAAGAGCCAAAGTTCAACCCCCTGCAAGCATAACTAGGTGAGTACAGTGCAATGCTTCATATTAAGATCATAATTACACAAAAAAATACACCATGTAATTATATTAAAATAAATTCACAATCAAAATATGAGCTCACTCTTCAGAGACGGACTGGAATTATTTAAAGAATGTGGATGTTGCAAATGGACGAGAGGACGATCATGGTCCGGTATGCCAGTGTGCGCCTGAAGTGATGTTATGCCATTGTGTGTGGTAAGGTTGGACTGCAGCAGTGTTGCCATATCCAACTGCAGGGTGTCTAGGACACTTGAAGCAATAGGCAGGAGTGGCTTACGAACCATACGGTTTGACTTGTGTCTTGAACCTGCAAACATTAAAGGTAATTAGTATTATTCAGAGCATTAATTCAGTCTTGTCTCTACTGTTGCTCTACCTTTTTCACCTCGTGCTTATTTTATCTTGCATAGTCAAGTGCATCACATTTTTATTTACACAGTGGTATATACAGTGGAACTTGGTCTATGAATGCCCCCCAAGAGTACAAATCTTTTAGTGTATGATGACAATTTCATTGTAAAATCTGACCTGGTGTATGACATTTACTCTGGAGTGTGATTCACTTGTTGCTACTTGTAAGGGTCAGCCGCATGAGTTTTCTAGGCACAAGACGAGGCATGCTCAGTTTACTAGTGTATCCCACCTAGTGACGACTGCGCTTGAATTACGTATGTAAAGAATTTAATTGTTTTTTTTTTTTTCTGAATAGAAAATTTCTAATTATATAACACACCATGGGTCCCAAGAAAGTCAGTGGTAAAGTTCAACCTAACAAAATAGTTATGAGGATGATAGAGGAACAACAAGAGATCATTTGTATACAGGAAGACGGTGTGAGCGTGGTTGCTCTGGCTAAACATTACAACAAATCTATGTCGACGATAAGCATCTTAATTGCTAAGAAAAATGAAATTATGAGTGCCAATGTGGTAAAAAGTGTAACAGCACTAACAAAGCTAAGAACACAAACCTTTGAGGATGTTGAAAAGTTACTGTTAATTTGGATATACAACCTACACACATACATATTTTGTATATATACTGTATATATATATATATATATATTTATTTATTTATTTTAAACCCTTCTTCGGAGCATCCCTTTGTGCCCTTAAGAAGAAGGATGGTGGAGTCGAACCCATTGCCGTGGGTAACATACTTCAGCCCCTTGTTGCTAGGGCAGCTGTCAAAAAAATTAGCATAAAAGCTTCAATGATGCTCCATCCCCATGAATTGGGTTTTGGTGTCCCCCATGGCTGTGAAGCATCAGCTCATGCAGCACAAGCCTATATTAAGCACCTCCCAGAAAATAAGGCATTAATTAAACTAGATTTTAAAAATGCCTTCAACCAGGTAAAAAGGGATGTGGTACTGGAAGCAGTTCGAACAAGCTTTCCTTGTCTACTCCCCTTCGTCTCGGCAGGGTACAGTAGGAAATCGACAGTGCTGTTTGGGGAACATGAAGTTGTTTCCACAGAAGGTGTCCAGCAGCGAGACCCACTTGCCCCTTTCCTTTTCTGCATGACAGCTAAAGAGGTCACAAGCAGGTTGTCTAGCGAATTCAACATCTGGTTCCTGGACGATGGCACCCTGGCAGTGACACAGGAATCCCTGCTAGGAGATCTACATCTAGTGAAATCTAAGGAAGAGGAGTTAGGCCTCACCCTAAACCCATCAAAGTGTGAAATCGTCTCATCCAGCCAACCAATCATAGATACAGTACGAATCTTATTGCCAGGAGCCCCAGTGATTGCTCCCACCAACAGTGTGCTGCTAGGCGCGACGTTACTCAAACCAGCGTTCGTCATACGGGACGATTTCACGCCGATCGGGCTGTTCGTTACCCAAAATGTTCGTCTTTTGGGGCGATCGTTATGTGAGGTACCACTGTATATATATATATATATTTATTATGTATTTTTTTTTTTTGCACAGGCAGAATGATACCTTTGGTGATAGACACATGCAAAGGGTTAAGATCTTCCTATACTCAATGAGGTGTGCAGATGCTCTATAAAGGTTTATTTTAACATACTTTTCTATGCCATGCACAGGAAAGAACTCTCAATGACAGAGTACAGCAAAAGTAAACTAATAACATTAAAGAATATTACTAACTTATGCCTCCTAAGCCGGGTTTGCTCCAAGGTCTTCGATGATCTGGGCCGCCTCGTCCCTGCATCTCTAGTAAGTGCAGCAGCATCATTTCATCACCCTGGGGAGAGCTTAGGTCTGGTTGAATGCTGAAAAATAAAATGTCAGTACAGTATAGATGAACATTATTCACATATATTATCTATCATTGATACCTAGGTTTTTTTATGGAGCTCCTCTTTCTTGTAGGTCTTTATATTTAGAATTCAGCATAGATATATCAACTGCAGATTTTGAAAAATACTCTATATGTATATATGTATGCAACAACGATCACAAAAACACTGATCGAAGTACTGTATGCGGAATAACCACATTGAAAAATAAGAGATTGTTGAATGCATTTTTTCGGCCTTCAGTTCAGGGCATCCTCAGAGTAAAATAGAATATGAGAGAGGGAAGGAGGCCATGGGGATCACCTGCCATATAGGTGGCAACCCCTCCCAAGGGAGACAGGTCACCTCACTACCACACAAATTGACGATGAAACCATCTCTTAGAAAGAAAGAAGGGATAGAACAAATATTAAAGATAGGGAGTTATTGAAAAACTAAACCTATATTCTCATTTTTAGCAAAATTTTGTATGAAATATAAAGAATATCAACAAGAGGTAAGAATTTTTATCCTAAAGGTACCAACAATTGTTCCACAGAAAACAGGTATTTGGATGCTACACAAAGGTAAACAAAACACAAATTAAAGATCCCTTACAGGGGTACTTATCTTAATGTGTACTAATGTGCTATACTGGAACTTTGATGCAAATCTAATTTGTACATACCAAGGCTAGCATTAACCCTTGGAGGGCGCAAATCATACACAGTGGAACGCCCCTCTTTACAAATTTTTCAGTTTACAAGCTCAATTTCTTCATAAAACTTGACTCGGTATATGAACTTTGCCTCGCTTGTCGAGTTTGTTGATACATGTATGGGTTGACTGAGCGCGTGGTTCTTGGTGGCACAGGTGAGGCATGCTTCAGTTTACCAGTGTCTCCTGCCTAGTGATGGTCACACTTGAATTCTTTGAGAAGAACTTAATTGTTTTTGTGCTTTTTTGGTTTCTAAACATAAAGGTAATTATTATATATCATGCCATGGGTCCCAAGAAAGTCAGTGGTAAAGTTCAACCTAAGAAAATAGTTGTGAGTAGAGGCAATGGAGGATGTCCCTTCCTCATTAAGAAAATGTGTGCAGTATGGGAAGAACTGCAAAGTTTTGCTGAAAAACTCACCCAGATAAAGCTGTAGCAGGCCATTGCATTAACCTTTTTAATAACAATGTGATATCTCACTACAGACAATTGTTAAAACGTAAGGGAAAAACAAGTGTTTTTAGACATTCTTAGTTCCTTCCAAGCAAGCAGCGAGTCACAACCAGGTCATAGTGGTATGCCTGCAAAACATAGGAGAGAGAGTACCCCAGAAATGTCTTAAGTGCCTGATGTTATAATGGAAGGGACTCCTCTTCCAAATACTAACACCTCTCCTCCTCTTTCCCCTCCTCACCATCTTTCATATGCCAACAAAAGTACAAGATATACTTGTATATACTGTAGTACAAAATATAAGTAGTAGTATGTATAAAATGTATTTTGAAGTTAATATTTTTGGGGGTGTGGACCGGATTACTTCAATTTACATTATTTCTTATGGGAAAATTTATTTTGGTTTACAAATTTTTAGTTTACGAACTGTCTCTGGGAACAGATTAAATTCGTAAACGAAGGTACCATTGTATATATGATTCTGTATATATGAACTGCCTGGAGGGCACAAATCATATATATATGATTTAGGTTTAACTGGCTGGAGGGTGCAATACAGTGGTACCTTCATTTACGAATTTAATCCATAATGCAATAATGCACTATTGTACAGTATAGGACATTATTAATACAAAGAATGCTTACCTTCCTACTGCACCTAACTGCTCTGTCAGAGAGTCAAGATCTGAGAGGAAACTGGAACTGTGTGACCGACTATGATTTAGTATTGGTCCCTCATGCATTGCAGTAGCCTCATGGAGGCTTGCTAAAAGTGATGAGGCAGCAGAGTGTTCCACGTCATTGTCTCCGCTCATTGTTTCATCATCAACATCATTTTCATCATTACTGGCATATTCAGCTGTAGCAACACTGTGATCTGGCCCTTCTTCTTGCTCATTTAGCTCGCCTTCACTTAAATCCTGTACACAAACCCAAGACCAAATATATTAATACATTATACAACATCTAAGAACTTTCTTATATATGACCATTTTCAAATTAAAATACATGTTTTCATGTATATTTCATATGATAATATATGGATCAAACCATAAGTAGAAAAGTCAATAGATGCAGTGAAAAGCAAAGATGCCATATGTACACTCAGAGAACACTGTATGAACATCAGAGGTCCACGGACATATTCAATATCCTCCTAACATGAGAAATTTTACCCCGAACAAGAGTGGAGGCATTTAGGAAACAATTTGACAAGTTCCTACAAGTGCCAGACCAACAGGGTTATAATGGATATGTGAGCCTGTGGGCCACTACAAGCAACAACCTTCTGGATCAAGTAATCACAGGTTATGTCTGACCCCAGGATAAGCCTAGGGAGTAAAAGAACTCCATAGCTGCGTTCAAAGCACAACTCGCTACACTTTTCTTTTGGGTATTTTTTATATTCTTAGTGTAAATAAGTCACTATGTTACCTAAGAAAGTGATAAAAGCCAAACAAAAAAGAAGATCGGTTAGAACCACGACATAGATGAAAAAAGTTTTTTTTTCTATTTCTCTAATAAAAGAAATGTGTGCAAAATGGGAGGAAGTGTAAAGTTTTCTTGAAAAAATATCCTGAAAAAACTGTGACAAATTGTGGTATAAACCTGTTGAATGACAATGCTAAGTCTCACTTAGAGAAACATTTTAAAACACAGGCAAAAGCAATCATCCTTGGACAAGGTTCTTGTAATAAAAGCATTCAGCAAGTCTAATGAGGGAAACAAAAAAGACAGAAGAGAAAGAACCCTAGAAGAACCACTATGAGAAGTTATAATGGTAGTGGACTCCCCTACCAAAGAATAACATCTCTCTTCCTCTGCCTCACCACCTTTCACATATGCCCATCAACTCTCTGAAGTACAGGTAAAGTGCATACTGTGTTAGCATTTATTTAAATTTAATTATTGCATTAATATATTTATTTTTGTGGTCTGGGACAGATTAATCCAATTTACATTATTCCTTATGGAAGAAAATTGTTCAGTCCTCGAACTTTTTGAAACTAACCGTCTTCAGGAACCAGTTAAGTTCGAGTACCAAGGTTCCACTGTACTATGTATACATCCATGATTATCTCACAAGAGAAACTACCAGACTTTTGCGAAAACAGGTTCACCCAGAAAAATGGTGTAATGAAAACACACAAAGGACATTGTGCAAGGAGCATATGCGTCACTTTCCAGCTTCAGAATGCTTTTAATTACGTGGATGGTGAAATATTAAAGAAATTGTTCATGACATTTGTGAGACTAAAATTGGAATATGCAGCAGTTGTATGGTGCCCATATCTCAAGAAGCACATCAATAAACTGGAAAAGGTGCAAAAGTATGCTACAAAATGGCTTCTGGAACTGAAAAACAAGTTATGAAGAGATGAAGAGAGGTTAGACATTATATATGCCAAAGCTAGAAGATAAAAGAAAGAGGTGAATAATCACCACTTACAAAATAATAACAGGAATCCTCTAAATTGACAAAGTGGAATTCCTGAAACTGTCAACCTCAAGAACAAGAGGTCATAGATTGAAGCTAAGGAAATAAAGGTGTTGAAAAAAATGTTAAAAAGTTTTCTTTTGCAAACAGAGTGGTAGATGGTTGAAACAAGTGAGGTGGTGGTGGAGGCCAAACAGTCAGTACAGTAGTTTCAAAGCATTATATGGCAAAGTATGCTGGAAAGACAGGACACCATGAGCATAGGTCTCATCTCTTGGCTACTTAGGTAATTACACATCTAGAAAATTCCAGGACCCAATGAGGTGGCAACTCATGGAGCAGTCAGAAGTCTTACATCAGACAAAGGACTGAGGGCTGTTGACAGGGGAAGCCAGCAGCTTTGGTGGTTAGCCATTACTAGGGGGCGGATGACCTTATTATAGTGGATATTTGCTGCATTGTTTACTTTCTGTGAACCATGCAGTTCTCTGTTTGCTTCACTTACTTTCTGGGGGGGTTGATTCTTCAGTGAAGGTTATTATAAATTCCCTGCTCTCTGCATCTCAGGTTTTTAGGCTTTTAATTCCTGGCAAGGGGTGATGTAACTTATAAGTTTGGAGCTATCTCAGTGCAGGTAGCAACAGGGAGCCACCATTCAGCCTCTACAGAAAGCCTCAAATTTTATAGGAGCATAATTTGGAATACAGTATATCATACATTACCGATTAACCCCGGCAGTCAAAGACTTACCTCAGTATCAGAAGAACTTGTAGACTGTCTCTCTGCTTCTAACTCCACTGGGTCAACACTTTTGTTGACATGGTGATTTCTTTGTGGTTTGGTTTGTGGGAGAGGATGTGGGTGGTGCGGATGTGAACTTATAGGATTCGGTTTGGGAGAGGCCGACTGAGGTCTTTCTACACGTGAAAATCCAGTAGAACTGTTCACATTCTTGTTGCTTGTTACTGAATTCCGCGAAAGCTCAATTGCAATTCTCTATTTGAAAGAGATAATGGCATCTAGTTATAATTTCTATGATGATCAATTAAAATTATAATATTCATGTAAATTATCTTATTAAACTACAAAAAACAGTGTTGGGCTTATGAAGCACTTCTTTCTGAGTGGACTTTGTGTCACTTCTCGAGCCATGGCATGGATCCACACGTAACATTCCGCTCAAGCTCTCGTTAACCTATGCCCAAAAGTCATAACCTGCCAAACACACACCAAAACTACGATGTTGGTACAACATTCGAACAAGTTTTAACACCTCCTAACCAGTTATAACAACCAATATAGCAAGTTGTAACAACGTTCTAATACGTCATAAACACGTTAAGCCAAGATGTAACAACTTTATTACAAGTTGTAACAAGCAGAAAATAGAGACAGTTTCGGTTTGTGTTTCCAGGGAAGGAACTTATAATAAAATAATATCAGCGCTTACCTGTGAAGGAGAGAAAGGTAAGGTAAAGTTTCTTCCCCCATCATAAAGACAACTCATAATGATGATGTCAAAGACTAAAATAAAATTTGTGATACCCCTCCTTCCAAGAAATACTAACTAGAAACACAGATGCTATTTTTTTTATCTGCAAACTGCCAGTTTGCTAATTACTTACTACTCTGATCACTAATAAATGGCAGCACCACCACAAGGTCAGATGCCCCAGCTGCAGCTGCTTTCACTTAAAAATTCAAAGTCACCCAGACATGCATGGCAAGTTCAAAGGCAGAAAAAAAGCATGTCTAAGGGGCCACTCAGAAAAGCACAGTTTCATGAACTCGACATCTTATTTTTCAGCAAGGCCTCCCCGGCTACTCCTCAGAGCCAACTCACTACAGAAATCCTATCAGAAGCAAAAGCCCAAAAGAAAGACAAGGAGACTTGTCAAAGCTAAAGTAAATGTCCCCACAGAGAAGCACATAAATGAGTAGCAACATATTGCAAAGTGAGCATTACAAAACTTAGATAATGCACAGTCTTGAGGAACTACCAGTGTGCTTAACTCAATTGCCTTTAGCAGAGCTGAGGAGAACACAGGAAGACCTACAAATGTAGCTGGTAACTGATCTTGCTGTGGTGGTGGTGGTGCCATTTAATGTTAATTGAAGCAGTAAGTAGTTAGCTAACTGGTCACTAGCAGACAAATAACTGCTATTCATTGGAGTTTCCCGTTATTTCTTAGAGGGGAGTAAAGTTTGTAATTTTGTTCTTTAGTGTCATGAAAAGTTGTCTGTTTGGGGCTAGACTGAACTTTATTTTCCCCACCTCCCTTCCCCAGCCATGTGTGTGTCAACACCACATGAAAAGTTCCTTATCACCATGGAGCACAGGTCATCAAAACACCTGGTGAAAATATTAGGAAGAAAAAAAATCTACAAAAGGTCTATTGGATTGTATGAGGCAGCTCTTATTTATACCCAAGCTCATATGCACATATAATACAGTACATATGCCTGACACTTGCTTGAAACAATCCATTGATCCCATGTCATTTATGTTACCAGGCAATTTGTTCCTTAAACAACCTTATTCTCAAACAAATATTGACCCAGATCTTTTCTGAACCTAAACTATCCAATTTGTATCCATTATTTTGTGTTTATATATTTAACATATTAATATTTCCTTCCATACATTTGTATACTTCAATCAAGTCACCCCTGACTCTTTGTCTTGTAGACTGTAAATTAAGCTTCCATAATCTTTCTTCAAAATGAAGGTTTCTAATTCCTAGGATTAAATTTGAGATCCTTTTCTGTACTGTACCTGTTAACATGAAATTATGCACCAGTATATTCAACAGTACTGAGATCAAAACTGAGCTGCATAATCTAAATGGGCCCAACAAGAGCAATATATAGCTTAAGAATAACATTAAATATCTTTCTGGAAAGTGTTAACACTTATGGAAATAAATCCCAGTACAGTACTGTGTACCCTTTTTGCCATATTCTGTACATATATTTAATTATTTTTTGGATTAAGATCTTTTTGCATTCAGGTTTTGCAATTTTAACAGTGTCCACTTGATATCTGGCAACTATTAATTTTACACTGGCTATGAACCAAACAATTTTTAGCATTAACTGGCATCGACCAATATTTCATTTATGATTTTTTAGTTTTTTACTTTACTTTCCTTTCTATTTTTGTATCAGGAAAATGTTCAACATTTTTGCTGTTCAATCCTGTGACTAAATTGCTCATACAGTATATATGATAAACAGCAGACGTCCCTGGACAGAGAAATGGTTTTCACTTCGACATTTTTTTTTCTAACCCACCGTTTCTTCTGAAATAAGCAAGCCCTACTCCAACTTATGATAACCACCAATATCATGCACCTTTAACTTTCTAATCAGTGTTCTGTGAGGCACACTATCAAAGGCTTTGCTGAAGTCAAGGTATAAAAAGTTGCAATTCTTTTTACTGTTAATGGCTTGAAATATACAGTATACAGGAAACTATTAAAAGTAAATCTGTTAAACATAAGTGGCCCTTAGTAAAAACCATATTGTGAATGCTTTATTATTGTTTTTTGAGATGCAAATTAAAAATTTTTGCAATGATAATTCAAGCAATTATCCTACAACAGACATTTATCCAATTGGTCAATAGTGCAACACAAGTGATCTATCTTTTTTTCTTAAAAATCGGCACTTCATTCACAATCTTCCAAGGGCTTACTAAACTCGTCTTTATATTCTTTAAGTAACCTGGAAAATACTTTGTCTGGTCCTGGGGAACTTGCTGACCTTTATTTTTTTGTAGTTGTTTATTAACTTCTCCCTGATAATCACTAAACCAGTCAACCTGTCCTCATCACTACCTACATAGATTTGTTCAGATGTGTATATATATACATGCATTACAAGCCATTAAAATCATACCTCCTTAAGATTATTTATCTGTTGAATATACTGAGCCTGAAGTGTTTGCAGCTGATGAATATACCACAACTGATCACGACACTTCTGGAAGAACGTGGGAGGCCTCACCTGAAACCTGACTCAAGAGAACACATTTCAGCATTATAGTAGAATTGAAAAAAACAGAATTGAATGAAAAGTCAACTATGTGAGCCCCGGAGGCTCCCTGAAACTTGCACACTGATTCAGTGCCATACAACTTGGTGTGTTCAGTCAAAGTTCTATTGGCCTACCGAGGACAACAAGCCAGAATCTGGCCCTCTCAGAGAAGTGCAGGGAGCGATGGCCTATAAACACTTTACATTTAAAGTTAACCATAATTGTCAACACCAGGGAGGAAAGTTAGGCAAAACCAAACAGACTACTGCATGGTTAGAATTAGGCTGCAACCTCGAAAATGTCAAAAGAACTTTCCCTAATAATAAAACCCTCCAAATTTTGTGAAACTAATGCGCACTAGTTTGCCCCAATTCCTCCCCTTTGTTTGGGGAAAGAAGGGAGGTGGACCAGGTCAGCGGCCCACCGTTAGTTCTTTGATGATGAAACACACTGGCACCCTGGGAAAAGGAGGGAGTCAGGCAGCATCCGGGGCTCACCCAGAGATTGGCATTTCATTACATTCAATGGTGGTTTTCTAGGGGTAGCCCCATCAACTTCCCTACAGTTGAACCCACAGAGAACAAAAAAAGGGTACATACCAGGGAGGAGGCAGCCCTGCACATAACAAATCGAAGATGAACACAGTCAACAGCAACACATGACCTAAGGTCACACAGGACCCACAAGGACCCAGAATGGCCACAAGATACCTGGCCGCCAAGAACCTGTATGACTACCAAAACCCCGGTGCCCAAATATTAGCCCAAGACATACATTCAAACACAGCCGGCAGAGTGACAAACTTCTGGACATCACGGGCACAAGGCTAGCTAGACTTAATGACATTGTGGGACAGCACGAGAAAAAATGCTGATAGGGAACCTGGGAAACCAGATCAACCCACAATGAGTCCACTGACGCATAACAGGTAGCGGCATAAAGCCACTTCCTGTTCTGCTTTAGTAGAACAGCCACTGCACAGCGAAACTGTGAGGGGGCTGTTCTGTGGCACACTACATCCCCCGCAGGAGGAACTGTACCCAGTATCCCAACAACCTCTGAGAGCCAAATCGAAGGAAGTTGTAGGAAACAAAAGAACCGCACTATAGAATGCAAGTGCCCATGGGAACGGTCATTTGCAACCAAAGCAGCCAACAGGAGAAACTGGGACAAGCTGCTTCACAAGACCCACATCACGAGGAGGGCAGGAGAGAAAGGAACGCAAGGAGGGATTCAAATAAACCCCCTAAACAGGAATACCAAACACTACCGCCAATTAAGCATGCGGAACAGCAAAACCCACACCAAGCCTCAAGGAAAACAAAGGACAGTCCTCCAGTCAGGACGACCCCGAAACCTTGAACACACCCAAAAAGGCAAGGAAGAACTGATCTCAAAGAAGGCTGGATCCATAACTGAAATGGAAACTAGATTGTGCAGGTGTGCACCAAGGGCCTCCTGAGCCTCCTCCAGGAAACCCGGGAGGAAGTAAACCTCAGGAAGGAAGTGTCCAAAGAACCCAATGGTAATGGACCTAGGGGGAAGTCACAACCAACACAAACACACAGAAGTAAGGAGGAGAGAACCCCCCACACCCTGCAACAAAAAACCCTTTAGAGAAGGCATGAAGGCCCACAAAGGATAAAAGGGCCCGAGGACCCCAATCCGACTCCCCCAAAGCCCCAGGAACCACAGAAAAGAGCCCCGGGGTTGAGCCTTCAACCATGCCTACTGCCCGGGAAGGAAAAGCAGAGCCCAAGGGAAAAGCTTCAAAAGACAGAATCTGCTGGGAAGACCTAGAAGCTTCAGCGGGATCGAGAAGCTCGACTTCCTCCACACCCGTATCGAAAATGGCAAACCCTGGATTCACCAAAACTGCAACCCGAGCTAAACCCTGCCCCGATTCTGAAACTCTCAAACGTCTTGGAGCTGGAAGCAGGGTGAGGAAGAAACAGGTGAAACCTGTCCACTGGGGAAGGAAAAGGAGGTGCAGACAGAACCATGGTCAAATTGCAGTTGGGCAGACCCACCCAACTAGGCACACAACCCAGACCGCTGCAAAACAAAAAAACAGCAACTGCAGAGCAGTCACAGCCTGAAAGCTCTGAATGTCAACAGAGGAACGGGCAAGACAGAGCACATGGGGGAACAAGTCCCACATGACTCGGGGACGAAGGTGTCACCGACCTAACAGGCAGTATGGCAGAAGAAGAACGTATGATCATTGCCAGGTGGCACAGGTGATGAACAACCCATAAATTCGCACAAGGCGAGAGCAGGCTCAGAAGAAGTACCAAAGCACAACTGAACCCGTAGGAGTTTTCCAGGGCCTGCAGAGTGAATAAGCCCTGCAGGAAGCCCAGGCACTGGGAATGCTACGCCAGTAACCCTTAAATGTAACTGGCAATCCTGGCTACCTGAAGCCAACAGAAAGGCCAAAAGGGGGGCCAAGAAGGTGGGTTCAACCAAACATACCCAAGGCAAGCCTAATAACGCAAAAATAAGAACCCACAAGCACACAAAGGGCAAAATGATAATGAAAAGCAAAATAAAGCACAAACAGCCCAAGACCAAACCGCGGAGAACGAGCAACTAGGGAGAATGTCGGTATGCCTATGTGTTAATTGAATAACTGGTCACTCAAACTCCCATGTCCCCCACCAGCCAAAAACACTCCAAACCCAAGGGAAGACAGTCAGTCACAGACCACCACTTTCCTTAATAATTAAGGGTGAAGACCACCCCAAGGGAGGAGGCCCCTTAAAGGTATTGTGTCCCAAACACCCCAGGGAAGACAACACTGACTGTGAAAGGGTAGCACAGTACTTAAGTGCACAGGGAAGACTGCTCATGCAGGTCCAAGTACACTAAACTCTTGACTCACACACCATAACCATGTATTAAACAGCCCTTCTTGAGGTTATCTTGAGATGATTTCGGGGCTTTTTTTTTTAGTGTCCCCGCGGCCCGGTCCTCGACCAAGCCTCCACCCCCAGGAAGCAGCCCGTGACAGCTGACTAACTCCCAGGTACCTATTTACTCCTAAAGGCAAAGCATTAAAAACAAAAACAAAAAACAGGAGACTGGGGCCAGAGTGACACGACAGTTACCAGGCACCACCAGAAAAGAGCTAAGAGTGGGGCAGGCTGGCAGACCGAGTCTGCCTCCCTCCTCCCCACCAAACACGGGAGGGGGAGGGGGGGGGGGGGCAAACTAGCACTTGTCTAGTTTCACAAAATTTTGGTGGTTTGCTTTCATTGTTTGGGGAAGGTCTTTTGGCATTTTTGAGGTTGTGTCTCGATTTAACCATGCAGTAATCTGTTTTGTTTTGCCTAATAATCATAATGATAATAATAATAATAATAATAGTAATAATAATAATTTGTTCACAATAAGGTACAATGGGTTCATGAGATTACATAAGATTGATATTTTTACATTCATGCAAAGCCACTAACACGCATAGCGTTTCGGGCAAGTCCTTAATCTAATATATCAGGTAAGATGAAAGGCTGCATTGTAGCAAGGTTTTTTATCAACAAATAACTACAATGTAAGTTGACAGAGGTGATTACACTGGTAAGGATACATATCTTAAGTATTAATATTGGAGAAGTGGGCAGTACAAAATACAGTGAGTTTGAAGCACAAGGTAGGAAACTGAGGATGAAATTAGGTACTTTTTGGTTTTACCTTTGAACAGGGAATGGGTTGGACAATTTTTTAATTCATCAAGGAGTGAGTTTCAAAGACTGGGTCTTTTTATTTGCATGGAGTGTTTGCACATATTTAGTCTGACTATATCATATCAAGGATATCAGAGATATTTATTTCTGGAGTGGTGCTCATGGGTTCTATTACACCTATCAAGGAAAAGTTTCAGAGCAAGATTAGCATTTACGACCAAGGTTTTGTACATGTAGATATCACATGAGAATGTGTGGAGTGAGTGTATGTTTAGCAATTTAAGGGACTTAAACAGAGGGGCTGTGTGTTGTCTGAAGACAGAGTTTGTTACAGTTCTGATAGTAGATGTTTGCCAAGTGAAGATAGGTTTGAAGTAATTTGCAGTAGTTGAACCCCAAGCACAGATACTGTATGTATGATAGGGATAGCTTAATGCATGGTATAATGAGAGGAGCAAAGTGGGCGACATATCTGATTATAGAAAGTACACTGCCGTTTTTTAGACTTTTTGGCTGTATGTTGTATATGGGTGCTGAAGTTCAGTCTTTTCTCTATGTATAGGCCAAGGAACTTCCCCTCATTTTTATAGGTAATGTTAACAATGTCTAATTGAAGTTGAATCTGATTTGATGATTTACTACCAAATAAAATATAGTAGGTCTTTTCTGTGTTTAGTGTAAGTTTATTGGTTGACATCCTTGAGTGGACTTATTTTAATTCCTTGTTTTATTGGGCCAGGTTCTGACTCGTGGTCCCTGGTAGGCCTAGAACTCTATGCACATTTGACTGATGCCAAGGTCTCATACATCCACATCAGCCCGGTTAGCTCCAGGGAGCCGAAGGGGCTCCCCTCAGAAATCAGATTAATTAAATACAAGTTATCATAAAATATATAGAAGGATATATAATTATAATGGGTATTTTTAAGGATTTTAGTGTTGTTTTTTGGCAGAAAAATGTAAATCTTAACACACAATTTTTAAGGGTTTTCTTGAACGTCTCGTAGTTTTTATCTGATTTTAGTGAAATTTTCCCAAAATACACAAATCAGCAGACTTTTTAAACGTAAAAGGGAAAATTTTGAAGTTATTCTTAATGAGTTTATATATATACATACAGTAAAGTAATACAACTAAATCAATAATTTATGTTTTTAATATAATAATAGAGAGGGAGAGAACCCTGGTTCACTATACTACCCCACATCTCACCCTGGTTCACTATACTGCCCCACATGTCTCACCATGGTTCACTATACTACCCCACATCTCACCCTGGTTCACTATACTGCCCCACATCTCACCCTCATACTGCAATGAACAGTGCAAGTATTTTACTTTCAAATATAAAGTATCACTAAACAAAATTGATGGCATCATCAACAAAGATAAGAAAATGAGTAGGGCCAGTCTGCATATTTGTTATAACTATGCTTTACCTACACAAAATTGATCATGGATGCTAGTGTTCACTTGCCTATGACTTGTTTTTATTTTACTCTTAAATTCTAAAGCTACCAGTTTATTATTAGAAAAATCTTGCTCTTACCTGAGTATAAGTGTGTCAGTTTCTGTATTCAGATATCCTTCATTTGCAAGGAGATCTAGACGAAAGAATCTATTGTAGCCCCAGCACTCGCCTACTTCAAAGTCTGATGCAAATTCTCGGACAATATTTTTACTTGCATCTCGTGAACCTTGATGAATCATTTCCACTCTATACTCATATCTGGTAAAATAAATATAATAGTTAAAGCAAGCAATGAAGTGACAGTTTCTTTGTGGTTTCTCAGTAACTCACTGGAGCTTAGGTGTCAAGTAAAGCATAGACTCCCACTCGTATCCTGCATCTAAGAAGTCTTAGGTGGTGGTGGCTTACCAAAAACCAGAATCAGATTCTGGTTTTCTCAAATAAACAAGAGGGGCATGGGTATCAGCAGAAATGACCTCTGCAGAAACAGGAGCATTTTATTGAAGTCAATACTTAATTTCTGTGCTGGTCTCTCAGTAGCTCCCCAGTACTAACTCCTAACAGTGCCTTGCATAAGAGACCGACTTTGATGAAAAGGACCACATAAAAGCAACAAAGAAAAATAAGGGAAAACATGTGTAAAAAAGGCAAAAGACAAAACAACCAATAACCTCACAAAAGTAACAGAAAGAAGAATAGCATGCAACACAAGTAAGACCAAAAATATTACAGCAGGTGGAAATCACCCATAACTAGTGAACTGAGTCAACCTGAAAAAAAAACAAGTGAAGAGTTTAGTTGTAGAAGACAGGAACCTAGCAGACAAACAAAACCCAACAACACTCACAAGAAAGGAAGAGTAAAACCAACTGCAGAAATGCTACAAATAGGAAAGCAAAGAACCCCAAAGGAAAAAGTAGTAGTCCAAAGAAATCAAAAGTAAACAAAGCAAAGAAATAACCTGGAGGACAACAGGGGGTGAGGGGACAAACCTGCAAACAGGCACCTAAGGACAGTCACTCACATTGGCTGACAAAAGGAAGTTGGCAACTAGCCAGGAAAGAAAATGGAGAGGGACCCCAACACACTGAAACCACATTAAAAACAAAACAAACTTGTAAGAGAACCAAAGAGATTAAAAAATATAAATAGGATCATGCAATGTGTATAAATTTTTGTACTGAATATTTATCAACACCTTGCATAAACTGTAGGGCATAAACTGTAGTGCATATACCAGTACCAATTGTGCACCTATACTTTAAAACATTCATTTCCAAACATTGACATTATCTCGGTTAAAACTCAATAACTTTGCAAATACCCTGTACATAAAAAGGCTATAAACACTATGTATTGCTGAGTGAGTTCAAAGCAGGACGGAATGGTTAGCGATTGAGAAGGTGGTCTGCAAAAGTGCTAAACCCTTAAAGTAAAGACAGCCAGTACAGAGGAAAAGCTTACATTCTGTGGCCATGTCCATAGCCACGGGGAAACTATCCGAATGATGCTGGATCATTGAGCTTGGAGGAATCCGAACCCTCCGCAGAGCCTGCCAAACTGCCACAAACTCTCACACAGTGTTGTGAGCTCAAAAAAGAGAATGCCAATGACCAATGCTTGACTGGTGAGCACTGGTCACAAAGCCCCAGCCTACAGCCGATATATAGGCTGAACAAATTGAGCGAGGGAGGAAGACGCCATGGCACCAAACCCCGAAAAACCTGAAGAGGAAGCCGACAATGCAGCACCTGGCGAAGAGACACCGGGACCCAAACCCAGCTATCACAAGAGTGGTAAAAGGGGCTGCCCTGAAGGTACCAGAACAGCCTTTGGAGCCAAATCCTACCCATCGAGTAAACCAGAAGGGCAAAGTTCAGAGTCCCAAACAGCTGCTTGAGTATCCGCTGAGTAACCAGAGTTCCCCTCAACAGCAGCAGACTGTGGGACTGCAGCTGGAGCAAGGCTACACGGGGGCAGGGAAAGTAACGCCAACTGAGAATCCCAAGTCAGGCCCAACCAGGTCCGAACCTGGGATGGAACCAACTGGGACTTGCTCCATTTCACTAGGAACCCAAACCCAGCAAGCTGGGAAAAAAACAGATCACTGGGCTAGCAGACAAGCAGACCAACTGAGAGCCCAAACCAGCCAGTTGTCAAGGTAGACCAAAACCCTCAGTCCTAACAAATTAAGACAGGCCACTACAACCCAAGTGAAGTGCATAAAAATATATAGTGCCAGATTCAACCAAAACAGAAGAGCCCAAATGAAGCAACCCTATCGCCCCACGACAAAACCTAACCAAACAGCGGATGAATAGGGACATGCCAATAGGTATCCTTGATGTCCAAGGAAATCATCCAAGCGCCCGGTTCAAGAACGAGATAGACTAGGACAAAGTAGTTATCCAAAAAGAGGGGCAAGGAATCGACCAGTTCAGATGGGACAAATCCTTAATGTATCAAAGATCCGCACAATCCCGTTTCGGGAACGGAAAAAGGTGGAAAACCATGCCGTCTTTTTCCGTTCAGGGAAACAAGGAAAAAACAAGGAAACTGACTCCCCTAGGATCAGAGCATACAGTTTAACCACAGTAGATGAAGCTGAAGTTGCCCCGACAAAACCCCCCACAAGGGACACCTCACTGAGCGACTCCACATCCTCCACAAGCCAATCAAAAGACAGCTTGTGCAGACACTAGAATTGCCTGACAGAATCCAAGTGCGACCGAATCCAAAAATCATCAGTGACCAAAGTTTCCAAAAGAAGAGAAACTTGAGCGTGCACCTGCACCAAACCAATATCAGGGAAAAGGGCAGGAATGAAGAGGCAAGAATTAAGGAACTCATGAAAGCCCCAATGAAAAAACTACAACACAGGAGACACCTGCCAATGAAGCACACAGGTACGACAAAAGCCGTCCCAAGCTCCCAGTGAAAAAGGACAGTCCGTTAGCCAGGATGACTCCAGAACCTCATAATACAGGTACACCCAATGTGGGGGAGAAGAACCAAACTCAAAAGAGGCTGGATACATTACCAAGGCATAAATCAGGTCATGCAAGAGGTATGCACCAAGGGTCTCACGAGCTTCCACCAGATGAAACCATTGAAGAATGAAACCTCCGGAATGCCGAATCCGAGGAGCCCAAAGGCACCCGGAAATGAACCCTGGGGGAAGCCCCGCCTAACTCAAACTCAAAGGGAAGGGGAATAAGAAAACTCCACACCCTGCAACAAAAGACCTTCCAGAGAAGGCACAAGGGGCTTACAAAGGGTCAAAAGGAACCCAAAATCTCCAATCGAACTCCCCTCGAGCACTGGGAACCACAGGCAAGGGCCCGGGGCAGAACACACTTTCACTCCCACCACCCAGAAAGGAGAGACGAAGCCTAAGGGGAAAGCTTCCACAGAGAAAGTCAGCTGGATAGACTGGGAAGCTTTGACAGGAAAGAGCGGCTTAACTGCTTCCACACCCGAATTCGAAGGGGCAACCCCCGGATCTGCTCAAGCCACATCCTGAGCTAAACTCTGCCCCAATTCAGAAACCCTCAGACGCTTCTGAGCCGTACGCAGGGAGGAAGGAGAAGGGTGAACCAAACCAAACAACCAGAAAAAGAAGAGGAGATGCGGACAGAACCAAGGTCAAGTTGACCAACACCTCCAATTCCATGTCCCTAAAACACAAATGGGGCAGATCCAGGCAGCCAACCAGGCACACAACCTAAAGCATTGCAGGACCGAAACCGGCGATGCAAAGCATGTGCTGCTTGATAATTCTGGTCTTCCACAGAAGAATGGGTGGTTGTGAGCCCACTTGGGAAAAAAAGTCCCACATGACTCTGGGTCGTAGGTGTTACCGACCCCAACAGGCACCATGGTGGAGGCAGAAAGAATGAACATCCCCGAGTGGCACCGGCGACAAACAACCCTCAAATTCGCACAATGTGAGAGCAGGTGCAGAAGAGGTATCCATGGTACCCCTCAAGCGCACGGGGGTTTTCCTCGGCCTGCAAGATGAAGGAGTCCTGAAGGAAGCCCAGGCACTTAGGTCGCAACACCGGTAAACCCTGTTGATGCAGGCACCCAGAATACCCAAAGCCTAAGGAAAAGTTAAGGGGGATAGTAAAAGGGGGGTTCTACTGCACACACTCTAGGCTTGGCCTAATAAAGTGAAAAGAAGGACCCCCAAGGAAAACTACAAAATAACACGAAAAACAAAAGGAAAACCCCCAAGACTAGACTGTGGTAAACGAGCAGCCTGGAAGAAACATCGGCACCCTTAAACAACTCGTAGAAAGTGGAGGATGAGCAACCACACTGCGCACCCCCACCCAATAACACCCCTAAACCGCAAGACCCCTGGCTTACCATAAGGGCGAAGAACATCCCAAGGGAGGCCCACTAAAGGGAGTGTTCCCACAGGGAGGAGAACCCTGACCATGCAAGGGCAGTACTCACAGAACACACAGGGAAGTAAATCCTGAGCACATGCAGCTCCGATACATTAATACTCCTGGCTCATGCACACTTCTGTGTAAAACACTACCGCAAAGGCAAAAGAACACCAAAGAAAATTGGAAACAGGTGCCAGAGCAATGCGACCGCCAGGTAAGCACATGAGGAAAGAACTGAAGCCGGTTGACCCGGGCTCCCCACTTTCCCCAGCATGGGGGGAGGTGGCATTAACTAATAGGGGGCTAGTTTCACTAAGTTTTGGTTGTTTCTTTTCTTATTGGGGAGTTCTTTTTTCATTTTAGGGACCTTGGTTGCATTTTTAATCCAGGCAGTGGTTTGTTTTGATTCACCTATCCTTCTAGGTGCCTTCCCCGGTGATGGCAAAGATGATAACCTTTAAATGTATATAGATTAAAGGCCATTGTTCCCTGCGCCTTTGTGAGGGGGGCCAGATTTTGGTTCATGGTCCCTTGAAGTCCAAAAAACTTTGCAACTGATGAGACTAGGTACTATGGCACTTGTTTACTGATGATAGCTTCAGAGCCAATGAGGCTCCCCACAGAAAAATTACATGACAATTTTATGTGTAAAGAATAATGAGATTAGTATGTTGTATTGGTCACTCCTGTTTACTGGAGATAATACCATATAGGGATGGAAACACTTGAGTGGCATGATTAGTAGCTAAACACACATGTAAACACCCAACAGTCCTGAGAGATCTTCTAATTTTTGGTGTGGAAAACATACCTCAAGTTATGAACATTTTATGTTACTAAAATGTGCACACATGAAGGATTTACTGTACTACTACTATACATGAATTTGAGAATCAACAAAGTCCCATTAAATGTCAGTTATTTTCTTCTCCAAGCCTACAGAACTATGGATTCTCAATAATTTAACTATATGCTCACTTTGAAGTTTCTGGCAGACCAGCACTAAGCTCTAGGAAGACAGACAGGTAATTCCCTCGGACTACACCATTGCCATCTGGGTAAACCTGTAAAATACAAAAAAAAATTCATATAAATAGAGTAAAGTATATTAAGCTTCCTACCAAATAAACATACACTGTTATATCTATTTAATTTATTTCCAGATTTCTATTTTTTTTTTATAAAAGTAAAACAGGAATTCCAAACAATGAAATGTATAATAAATTATCGTACATTTTCACAAATTTTTTTATTCTTTAGTTGCCTTTATTAACCACTGTACTGTGCCGAGAGCCTCAAGGCGCTGGATTGAGGGTGTGCAGAGTGCCATATGGCGATTGTAGGTACAGTATACCGTAGGATTCAAAACTGGCACGCGGTGACTTGGGTACGAGATGAATGCCTGTGGCCTCCAGTGAGCATCCGCCATTTTGAGAAAAAATCCCAGCATGCCCCCACGGCCAGTGGTTGCTACCTTCATACTGAGGCTCCCATGTCTGATGCATCATAAACAAGCTCTCTGACTACGGTCAGCCGCGGTGTTGGAAAATGGCTCTCGGATGCCAAAATACAGGACATATTATTTGATTATTTGATGAACATATTAGTGACATTGAAGACAACAGTCCTGATAAAGACCTAACACAAGCGTCTGACAAGTGATATGGACATTGAGGTGGACAATGTCGAGTGTGTGTACAGTACACGCACCTTGCCCGGCCTGCCACACTGCCCTAGGTCAACACCACTGGAGTTACTATCACTATCTATGTACAGTGTAATCCGATGTGTCTCTACCGAGTGATAGAATAGGTGACAAATTATTTTCTGGGTTCAGTGACAGGCTCAGATACAGAGTTGATGAACTGAGTGCAAGCCGCTATGGTGTTACTAGGCGGATGTTACAAAACCCATGGCATCACAGAGCCTACATAACCCTGGACAACATGGGTTCAGAACAGGGCACTCCTGTCTCTGTCTCAATTGCTAGACCACTCTGATATGGTTTTAGATGCTATGGAAGGCAAGCAAAACACTGATGTAATACACACAGATTTTGCAAAAGCTTTTTGACAAGTGTGACCATGGTGTTATTGCACACAAGATGCACTATAGAGGAATTACCGTACTGGCAAAGTAGGATAATCTTTAATTTCTAATGTGAGAAGTCAACACAAAGGACACAGCAAACCTTCAAGCTGATGTAAATCAAGTCTTTTCAATGGGCCACAGAAAATAACAAGTTCTTTCTTTTCTTCATGGGGAATTCTTTAGACATTTTTGGGGCTTTGGTCGCATTTTTAAACCAGTTTTTTTTTATTCGCCAATCTTTCTGGGTGCCTTCCCTGGTGATGGTAAAGATGATAATCTTTAAATGTAATGTAATCACTGGCCATCACTCACTGCACCTCTCTGAGGAAGGCCAAGTTCTGGCTTGTGGTCCCCGGTAGGCAAAAAGAACCCTGCAACTCATGGCATTAGGTATAGTAGTATGGCACTTAGTGATAAAAGCTTCAGAGAACTGTTGGGGCTTCCCACAGGATATCCTTGTTGAAAAGCAGAGGTGCAATAGGTACACAGAGAAAACTCTTTCAACACTCTCTTTCTCTCTAAACCTAAGGGGCATAACTTGCTGACCTCTCATGGTATTCAAAAAAAAAAAAAAAAAAAAAAAAAAAAAAAAAAAAAAAAAAAAGAGACCTTCATAAACACTTTCAAAGAATTCCTGGTCAACCAGGCTGTGGTTCATATGTCAGGCTGCAAGTAGCCACATCCAACAGTCTGGCTGGCCATACGACCAACTAGGGGGCCTTGTCAGAAACCAGACCACAAGGACATTGATCCTCAGTACCATCGCAAGGTAATTGAAAGGTAAGGTAGGTCTGCTTTTTGCACCTGGAATGAAGAATGTATAGAAGGAAAGAAAAGTGTTCACAGCAAGCACATACAAATGAAAAAAAAAAACTGAAAAACATAAACAAGAGGAAACGGAAAAAAGTAATGCAATTCAAAGGTGAACATAGAGTAGGCTGCTAAATGACATTGTGATTTTGTTAAAAATTACAATATCTGCAAGCAGTGCTTGCATATATTGCTTGCAGATATATCAGCGCCTGCAAGTAGCAGGTGCTGCTTGCTCGGTGTCTTTACCCAAGGGTCCTTCCGCAGCTCTGCCTCTTTCAGCAGATCGGTCTGGTCCGTTACATGGCTGGTTCGATTTTCTCCTCGAGTCTTTCTGACTCGAGTCCATCACCACTTGTACGGTGAGCAGCAGGTGGCTTCGTTGACGGTGTCCCACCTGCGTGCTTCATCTCGGCGGCAGTATGCAGTTTTCTGGCGGTCCTTCCATTATTTCTTATCCCTTCATAGGTTTACTTCTCTCTCTGATAAGGTTGTTTTGTCCTTCCTTCCTTTTGTGGATGTTCTAATACTGTCATCTTATGCCGAATACTGTCGCCTCGTATTGTGTGGCTCTGGAGAAGCCACTGCAGCTTGTATTAGGCAAAGATGTTACTTCTGCACCGTTCCGCAAGCTGTCTCGTGCGTTGTTATACCTCTGGCCTGCTCATGCGCAGCCTGAGCCGTCCTGGTCGTTGGACCGGGTGCTCTCCTCTCTCTCTTCTCCTCAGTTTGTGGTGGCCCCTTCGGTTCTGGATTGTTTTTCCAAGGCTCTTTTCCTGTTGGCAATGGCCTCTGGAGGTCGGGTTGGGGAGTTTTTTGCTCTCCTCCAGCACAGGGGTTTCTGCTCTTTTGCTCCTAGTGGTAGGTTTGTTCGTTTGCAGCCATCCCCTCCTTTTCTGATGAAGAATGAGACTGCTGCTTTCTGGAGGGGTCCTTGGGTTGTTGATGCTTGGTTGGTTAGGCCGGGAGTGCATCATGTGTTGTGTCCCGTTGCGGCTCTCCTCCGTTACTTGCACCCCACGGCCTTGGTGGTCAGGGACGCGCTTTGGGTTGACCCTATTTCCCTTGTTTCCTGTTCCAGGGTTTGGGTCTCCCAGGTCGTCTGCAGGGTAATTCGGTCCAGCCAGCCCTGCAGTCTATCCTCGTGCCTACGACGTTCGTAAGTTTGCTGCGATGTCTGTAATCTTCGGTAACATATCTTGGGCTGACATTCGGGCACGGGGTTTTTGGAGGTCGAACAGGGTCCTGGCCTCTCGCTACCTTGTCAATGTTCCTGGGCCTAGTCGGGCCTGTGTCACATTGGGTCGGCAGTTGCAGCCAGTTGTCTCGACTTCGTGTTGAGGAGTGAGGGCCGAGTGCCTCCCGGGTAAGTCCCTCTTGTTTTGTCTTTGGGTTAGTAGCTACGGGGAGCCGAAGGCCCCCCCCCCAGAAAACCAGCATTGAATGTAATGAAACACCATTTTCTGGGCTAGACTCGGAAGCTCCCCAGCATCTCTCCCTCCCTCACTCTGGTCGGCACTTTTTGGTGTTTTTTGACATTCAGCCTCAGAACTGCAGGGAGGATAGCCGGCACAAGGGTCTGGGGCTTCCCCTTCCCCTTCCCGGGGAGGATGGAGGGTTGTGCAGACAGCAGCGTGGCGACATGGTGACGTCATGCTCATTTGCTAGTTTTCATTTGGGGAGCTCTATCCACTAGTTCGGCTTTCAGTAGTTATATTTAAACCATAATAGGGGTTTGTTTTGGGGCGCTTACCTTTCTGGGTGCCTGACCCAGTCAATGGCAGACAAAGAATGCTTCCAACCACACGAGGGGTTTCTATAGGCCATTACTCCTCATGTCTCTCTGAGGGGGCCAGGTTCTGGCTCGTGGTCCCTGGTAGGCCTAGAACTCCATGCACATTGACTGATGCCAGGGACGAATACATTCATATCAGTCCGTTTAGCTCTTTGGAGCTGAAGATGCTCCCCCTTAGAAAAGCACCTCTACCTAAGGCTTAGTTGCAGTAGCACTCGAGCAGCAGGAAACTACCAAGGGGACCTTTCCAAGAAAAAAAAATGCAATAATCCCTTACTTTTAGCCTCCAAGAGAGGCCATTGACATGAAGTGGCGGAGAGTAAACCGGATCAGCCTTGTGTTGTAACTGAGAGAAGTTGTTCATGACAAAGGTACTACTGTCATACTGAGGGACTATTTCACTGAAAAGGAAAACGAAAGAGATACTGTAATACCTAAACTAATCTGATGATAAAACTATTAATTCAAATCTTGTATCAATAGTAATGGCACAAAATTTATAATTTAAACTCAAATATTAAAACTAATGCCACAACTTTTTACAATTCATTCATGAATGATTATTCAATAAACAGTGTTAACTAACTATAATTTATTAGGATTAATGCATGAAAGAGAATGGTGAAATGAATAAGTTTCAGTTGTTTGTTTTCTTCTTTGGAGAGTTCTTTTGGCATTTTTGGGGCTTGGTCTCATTTTTAATCCAGGCAGAGGTTTGTTTTGGTTCACCTATCTTTCTGGGTGCATTCCCTGGTGATGACAAAGATGATAACCCTTAAATGTATAATGATCATAGGCCATTGCTCCCTGCACCTCTGAGTGGGGGCCAGGTTCTAGCTCGGGGTCCCTGGAACCAAAAAGAACTTTGCAACTGTTGAGATTAGGTAGTATGGCACTTGTTTAGTGATGATAGCTTCAGAGAGCCAACAGGGCTAACCATAGAAAATATCTTGCTCCCAAATATTTATTTACACCTAGGTGAATAACAGTATCAGAAAGGAAACCTGACAGTCCCTTCCTCCCAAAAAGCTGTGCTGATGAGGGAGGAAGAACTATAAGGCATGGAAGAGGTGTTACAACATTCTACTCATGTATTTGGTCTGGCCTGTCCTGCACTGCCCTTTTCTCTCTCTCCATGTTCTACCATGGCCTTCATTTACCCTGTCTTGCCCAGCCCAAGTTTACCCTGGCCTACACTGGTAGAAGCGTATGCTAATGAGAGTTGTGCTATTTAACATATTAGAAAATTAATGTAGAAAATGTGCAAATTGCTTTTTCCAGCCTCTAGCATGAAATGATCTGAGCAAATCAAGTAACACTGTACAAGATATCATTTGCTAAGTACAGTATTGAGAAGTTTTCAAAAAGTTTTTAGCAACAACAGTGCTAAAAAATGCAACACAGAATTTCTTACCTTTGAAAATCAGCAGGTACAGGAGCTGTGACAAAGGAAGCCATGGGCTTTTTATTCACAGGTGCAATCATAGAGTGGAGGTTAGGAGAGTGCTGGATCAGTTCAGATCTGTCAAAAACAAATAAATTTAATATTAATGCACCTTCCCACAAACTATGTTCATTTTACATATAAATGTATGAAATAAGTTGACAGGGAACAGTATTTAAATTTAAATGCAGAAGTGTTAGTATGGACAATTTTAATGTTATCCTATAATTATACCTTGCACATGTGAGACCACACTGATTACATAGACAATTTTGAGGATGGTATAATAAAATAGATGTAATTTGTTTACAAAGTACATAGAGAAGACTGATCAAAATCCATAGCATCAAACATTTTATGAAGCACAGATGGATGAAGGGCTATATTGATATGATGCATGGAGTCGCAAAATATAAACTGATACAATTGAAAACAATGGTTATAAACTTGAAATGTTTCAATTTAGGAAAGATATACACTATACTGAATTTTTAAAAACTGGTCTACAAACAGTATCAGAGGTATGGGAATATATTACCAAATAAAATTACCCAGTATGCTGTATTAACAAATTTGCTAGCAAGTTGATTGCATAACACAGTAAATATACAAATGACGATGGTCTGGTATACAGTATATGAGTTGGGAATGGTTAGGCATACTGAAGAAAGAGAAGAGGTGGGTAGACTACATTTTCTCAAGACTGTCAGAAAGCCTTTGATATGGTACTCCATAAGAGGCTGTTACAAAAGTTGAAGAAACAGGCAGGAACAACAGGTTAGGTGCTCCAGCAGATAAGGGAGTACTGTATATCTAATCAGAACAGAATATCCAACAGCTAATTACTGTGACGTTGGGGTAGATATCAGCGTGGCAAGATGTCACCAGCAGTGTCCCACAGGGTTCTGTACTTGGACCCATCTTGTTTCAGATATATATAAATGATCTTCCAGAGGGTATAGACTCGTTCCTCTTAATGTTTGTTGATGGTGCAAAAATTATGAGAAGAATCAAGACAGATGAAGATATACAGAGACTACAAGATGACCTGAACAAACTGGAGGAATGGTCTAGAAAATGGCTATTAAAGTTTCACTCGTAAAGAGTAATGAAATTAGGTGAAGGGAGATGGAGGCTGAACATAAGGTACCATCTGGGAGTTGAAATCCTTCAAGAGAAATCCTTCTCTCTACTTTCTCTCAAGTAGAAAAAGATCTGGAGAGGGGGAGTTGATATTATTCTGAACCTGGCCCCAGAAATCAACATCAAAAGGGCTTATGCCCTTTTATCATCAGCGGCATCTGCTAGGTTTGCCAACATAAGAACTGCCTTTAGAACTTGTGTAAGGAATTATTCAGAACCTTGTATACCACATATGTCAGACCAATCCTAGAGTATGCAGCTCCAGCCTGGAGTCCATACCTAGTTAAAACACAAGACAAAGTTAGAGAAGATTCAGAGGTATGCCACCAGACTAGTCCCAGAGCTGAGAGGTATGAGTTATGAGGAAAGGCTACAGGAATTAAACCTCACATTCCTGAAAGACAGACGAGTTAGGAGAGACATGATCACCACCTACAAAAATCTCTGTGGAATTGGCAGGGTGGACAAAGACAAACTACTGTACTTAGTAAGGGCAGAACACGAACAAAGGAGGAGGGAGAGGGAACTACTCGGGAGGAAACCCAAAGTAGTACCCAAATGAGCCACAGAGTCAGTAGAAATCATTTTTTCTGTGTCAGAGTAGTTAATAAATGGACTGCATTAGGCAGTGATATAGTGGAAACAGACTCCATACACAGTTTAATTGTAAATATGATGGAGCCCAATAGGCTCAGAAGAGCCCAATAGGCTCAGAAACCTGTAAACCAGTAGATTGATAATTGAGAGGCAGGACCAAAGAGCCAAAGCTCAACCCCCCACATGCACAACTAGGTGAGTAAGACCTGGAAATGGTTGGGTATAAACTAGCTGAAAATGGTTGGGTATAGACGAGCTGGGAATGGTTGGGCATACACAAGCTGGGAATGGTTGGGCATACACAAGCTGGGAATGGTTGGGCATAAACGAGAAGAAATGGTTGGGTATACAATAATGTATGCAAGAGTTGACTCATAAGGGCCAATAAGCCTTTTGCAGTTTCCTTTGTTCTAAGCTTTATCATTTTATTAATACAGTAGGAAAATGTATTATATGCACACAATGTATTATGTATATACAATGTACTGTATTAAGTGCACACACATTTCTCCTTTGGAAATAAAATGTATTCAACCTTGAAATAAATATTCCCACACTTATATTGAAAATAAAAGCTGTTAATACCAAAAATATGATGGGTTTGGCAGTGTCACGAATGTGACGGTTCCGGCAGTGTCACGAATGTGATGGTTCCGGCAGTGTCACGAATGTGATGGTTCCGGCAGTGTTACGAATGTGACGGTTCCGGCAGTGTCACGAATGTGTTGGGTCCAGCAATGTCAAGAATGGGCCCAGATATGTCAAGAATATGATGGCTCCAACAGTGTTTAGGTATGTTTATCATCCCAATAAACAAAATGGAAAGTTGAAGATCCGGTCAGATTTTTTATGAATGATATCTAAAACTCTGATAATATAACTGATATAAACACAAGCATGACGATGCCACCACAACAACATTTTGTTACGGGATAGGCAGCCAGTGTATATATATAAGTTAGGTTTATATTGAGGTTCCTCCCAAGGCTCAACTACTAACCCTCCCGAGGATGCAACTCTTAAAGCTGACTAACTCCTGGGTACCTATTGACTGCTAGATGAACAGGTGCATTAGGCAATAGTCAACGCACCCAACCATTTCTGTCCTGCTCGGGATTTTAACTCGAAGTCCCGATCCAGAGTTGAATGAACCCGACTGTACAATTGGGATTCGTACAGTGATATGAAAATAAAGTAATGTATGTACGGCACTGTGAATTGCTAAACAAAAATTGTGTAAGTTTTGTGATACAGTTTCTAATAATGGGAAAGAAAATAAATACAGATAATGGTAGTGGCTGCTCAAATGCAACTCTTACTTTGAGCAAGTGTGTAACTGGTGTTCAATCTCCTGCAACAAAGATTCTAGCTGCTCTGTTTCTTGCGTTAAAGAATTTTTTTGACCCATTAATGTGAGCAACTTTGACTTGAGCTGAGAGTCAAGCCGAGCGATCATCAGTTCCACGGCATTGCGAATTTCTCGTACCCTTTCATCCTTAGCCGCTCTGACAGATTCCACATTTCTTTCCTGTAACGAATGAATGAAATGCAAAAATAATCATTGCATATAAAAACAATTAACAACTTAACCTGAGGATATTTGCATGACAAAATTTGCCCGATACAAATTATTATGATAGGAAAAAGTTATTTAGACAAGAATTTTTCTTTAAACATACATGGCCTTTTACATATTGTACACAAATACAGTATTGGCATATGGAACATATGAATAAGGAAAGGCTTACCCCCCAGCTCATAATTGGAGAATGTCACAATTATATATGCATATGAAAGTATCAAGCAGAATGAAAAACAACTACGTGGACTAGTTGAAAATTGTGTCGAGGTATGTGAGAGATGACTAACACACTGGCTACGGGATAACGTTATCGCAGTTATTAACCCCTGGGAGGCGCTTGCCTTAATATCCTTCAACACCACCAGGTGAAAAAAAAAAAGTTTCATCTTATAAAAGTGTTCATTTGTGTTCCCTGATCACAGGGAAAAAAAAATAGGAGACATATTTTGTCTGCAATAGGGTGGGAAAGTCTGGTAAAATTGAGTCGTTGACAGAGTAAGTGTCCTGTGGCGGTCTGTTCCACCCGCGCTGACAGGCGGGAGTTGCCACAAAGATATTATTATCTAATTACAGTATTTTAATGTCTGATTTTTTCTCAGTGTTTTTGCAGTAATATTATTCAATAGTGTGTAGTGTGATATATTTATATAATAAAATGTGTGAACTAACTGTACAACTAAGCTGGTAAAGTGTCCAAACAACATAGTGGCCACCAATACCTAAGCCAGCAGACGATGCTACCTTACTCGCCAACATTCCTCATCCCACTATGCTGTTTGTGCTGTTGTTATGCTATACACACATTATATATAAGTATCTACATGTTTTATTCACCATAACTGTACAACTAAGCTGGTATGGTGCCCAAACAACATAGTGGCCACAAAACACTTCATAACAAGCGACACAGCAGCTAACGGACAACAACTTCACGCCTTCCCTCACCAATATGACTCCTACCAACATACTCCTTTTGCTGTTATTACACTATATACAAACGTTATATACACGAATCTACATTTGTGTTCACCATAGTGAACCACTAAGCTGGTATGGTGAGTCCAGACAATAACAGGTCGCCAGACAGTCAGCAGACAATGCCGCCTCTCCCTCCCTCCCTCACCAAAATTACTCCTCCCACCATACCTGCTGCTTGATATCTGCTTGATGGGGTTCTGGGAGTTCTTCTACTCCCCAAGCCCAGCCTGAGGCCAGGCTCGACTTGTGAGAGTTTGGTCCACCAGGCTGTTGCTTGGAGCGGCCCACAGGCCCACATATCCACCACAGCCCGGCTGATCCAGAACTTCTCTTACAAAACAGTCCAGTTTTCTCTTAAAGATGTCCATGGTTGTTCCGGCATAATTTCTTATAGTCGCTGGGAGGACGTTGAACAACCACAGACCTCTGATATTTATAAAGTGTTCTCTGATAGTGCCTATGGCACCTCTGCTCTTCACTGGTTCAATCTTGCATTTTCTTCCATATCGTTCACTCCAGTACGTTGTTATTTTACTGTGTAGATTTGGGACCTGGCTCTCCAGTATTTTCCATGTGTATATTATTTGGTATCTCTCTCATCTCCTTTTTAGAGAGTACATTTGGAGAGCTTTGAGACTATCCCAATAGTTTAGGTGTTTTATCTCGTCTATGCGTGCCTGTATGTTCTCTGTATTCCCTCTATTGCAGCAATCTCTCCTGCTCTGAAGGGGGAAGTGAGTACTGAGCAGTACTCGAGACGGGACAACACAAGTGACTTGAAGAGTACAACCATTGTGATGGGATCCCTGGATTTGAAAGTTCTCGTAATCCATCCTATCATTTTTCTGGTTGACGCAATATTTGCAATCTGGCTGACGAAATATTTGCAATCTGGCTGACGCAATAGTATTTGCCATAATATGCACATCACTAATTATCACCACAATCCTGCTATTATCAGAATCCTGGTCACTAAATCCTGTAAAAGAATAATTTTTCAAAAGTTTATTTTGTAAAGGAACATGAGAAGTCATTTGAAGATTCTTCGATGGACGAAACAATGGCAGTATGTTGTGGCTCGTGCTGTGAACATTTTGAACAGCATTGTGTTTACCGATATCTGAACATTGTACACAGTCTATCACGGTCAGGCTCTTTTGTAATACTATCATGGATAAATAATACCAATTACATATATATTTTGACTTTTTAGGCGATGCTGTGGTCACTAGCTGAACAGCAGTACTGTTAGCTCATGCTGCATGCACCAGCCTTGGTTGCTCACTCAGTACCGAGGCTCTCACATCCGGGAATGTTGAACACAATTTTTTTTTTTTAAATGGCATCTGTTTATCAGAGCCATGAAGAAGCTGATATGAACCCCGTGTAGCCGCGGGAGTTTAGAATCCTACGCTATACCTACGAGCACTAAAGCTAATAATACATAATGTTGTGTGTTACTACATTCTACCACTGATCGTCAGTACTCCAACAATACTAGAAAATTATTTGCAAGTAGAGATATAACTATAGTTATGTTCATGCATGCACAACAAATTGGCTCTAAACATTTCTGAAGGAAAATGACAAAACTCACCACTTCCTGTACAAGAGATACCAATTCATGCAATCTTCTCCTTAACTGAGCTACTTCCTCTCTGATTTGTGTTATATGTTGTTCATAGACTTCCTCTAGAGGCTTAAAAGTATGGCCCGAGTGTGTTCCACCCCAGAGGGCACACTGATGACATATACATTTCCCACACGTCCAACAGTATACGCTCAATTTTTCTTGGTGGCGTTCACACCTGTGAAAACAAATATTTTGCTGATTACAGTATAGTTATTAAAGGCTGCATATACTAACACAGTGTACAAGTAAATGAACAAACAAAGGATGTGTGATGTGATGTGATGCAGAAACAAATGGGCAGAGTTTCTTTCACCCTTATGCCCCTGTTACAGGGGCATAAGGGTGAAAGAAACTCTGCCCATTTCTTTCTGCCTCCGCCGGGGAATTAAACCCGGAACAAAGGAGGCCTGGTCTTCGATCAGGCCTCCTTTTTGTTACACACCCCCAGGAAGCAGCCTGTAGCAGCTGTCTAACTCCCAGGTACCTATTTACTGCTAGGTAACAGGGGCATAAGGGTGAAAGAAACTCTGCCCGTTTGTTTCTGCCTCCGCCGGGGAATCGAACCCAGAACCTCAGGACTACGAATCCGAAGCGCTGTCCACTCAGCTGTCAGGCCCCAGACCTGATACCAGAGCCTAATGCACAGAACTAATGAAGGACCAGCCCAGAAAACAAATCAAAAGGAGGATGAAGTGTAACTCACTTGTCTTTGTCAGTGTCTGGTGGTGAAGGTCTTACTCCTGCCTGCTGCAGGGTATCCAGCTGCTGTGTGACCTCCTCCACCCAGCGGCAATTGACAAGCTCATGAAGGTGAAGGTTGGCTCGGCAATGAGGACACTGAGGCCGTTGTTCTGTCAACCAACGGCGAATACAAAGGTAGCAGCACAACTTTGAGCAGTGTGGGCACAGATGAGCATCCTGAAGTTTCTCCATGCAGATGAAACAGCGGAATACCTCAGCCAGGCTCTGCGAACAAAAGATACCACATTAGTGCTGTGATACATTCTTAGTTACCACAATATCTCCAGAATATGAACAGCAGTCATGTCCCAAAATGAAAATATTTATTTTATTATGCGTGTACTGTTATGATTTTGCAGTCCTTCATAAGACATACCTCACCTCATTAGACTTTTTATCCCATCTTGTCCATATTAAGGATTGTTTTGTATATATAGGGGGTAGAAAAAGCATATAGTTAGACTTAATACTTTTTTTGGAAGAACCAGTGCAACCAGTGCAGCCAAAAGGGTGGGAACCTGCACATGAAACTGCACAAAGCCAACATCCCGATGAAGGGCAGGGGCGAACAAGTACACATCGAGGTGCTCAAATTCGTCCCCCCTTCCCCAGGTAAACCTGAACCACTGTCAGAGCCTCACGCGACTCAAGGGTGTAGGACTGACAGAACGTATGCCAAGCCTCCAACGACAAAACAGGGCAGTCTGCAAGCCAGGATGACTCTGGAACCTCATAGTGTACCCAGTAAGGAAATGAAGATCCAAACATGAAGGAAGACGGATCCATTAAAGAGGCATAATCTGGGTCCTGCAGGAGGCAAGCCACAATGGCCTAGTTTTATCATGCATTCGTAGACCAATATGGGAAGGAATCTACAGGAGACAAACTCTGACTCCATCATTGATTATTTCATTATATCTGTGTCTAGCTTCAGAGATAAGCACGTCACAGTTATGTCTTGGGGAGCTGAGGGCAGTCAAGGATGACAAAGAGTCACAATTGGTAGTGCCCAGTATGCTTACTGGGCAACTAGGCCTAACAATTTTATTCAAACCACCTCCATGCCTCAGCACTTTTATCACTAATTTTATTCAAACAAACCCAAAATATATAGCTGGAATATTCAAATGAGTAGTGTCTGGAAAGCATGTAGTCCTCTATACTATGTATATACTGTAGTAGGAAAATAATATACGTATAGCTGGCATAGGGTAAAATTTATATCTATAAGAGAGAATATCTATTTGCCTGTTTGTCTGTCCAAGATTGGAAGCCAGATGCTTGGGACTAGCCTCACCTAACTTTGCAGGACGAATGGTCTGGGGCACGGGACAGATATATGTTCGTCGAGGCCACCAGAACTCAAGCGGCAACTGTATGCCACGGTATCATACTGACCACCAGCTATGCCTAGCTAAGTATTTTGAAAATAAAAATAACAATCTTATAGTCATATGAAAAATTATGCACCAATCGTTGAAAAATTAATAAACTTTCTAATCATCGTACTTTGCCCATAGCAGCATAAAACAGATGATCCTCCCACTGCTTCAAAGGTCTTCTCAAGCCCCACCCCTTTTCTAAGCTAATAGGAAACTATATTTTTAATATTTCCTACAGCTAGGCTCCTCCCACTGGTGGAACACCCACACACCAATGGGGACTATTACAGTACATTATAGTATGCAAATAAATAAATAAATAAATAAAAACAGAGATAGGCCTGGAGAGATACTGGGTTGAACAGGAAAGAGAGAGAGAAGCTGAGATAGGGGGAGAAGAAGTTGGAAGATAGGGAATGTTTCAAGAGAGCAAAGGAGAAGAGAGGATGTTTGAAAAGAGGGAATGGGGGGGAGAGGGGGGGGGAAAAGGAGGAAAGGAGAGGTGCAAAAAGGGGGTAGATTGGGAAGATAGGGAGAGAAGGGAAGATAGGGAGAGAAGGGAAGATTGAGAGTGGGGAGAAGTGATTAAGAGAGACACTTGAGCACAGCTCTGTATTCCCCTAGTCTATATATACATATGAGAAACTGCATGTCTGTTTGGGGCTCGCCTCACCCAATTTTGCAGTGTGAATGGTCTGGGGGTATGAGACGGACAGACTGGTCAAGGTTGGTCCTACTGGTCGTATTAATAGGTTGGGCGAAATAGTGACCTTCCTCCCACATAACTGATGAAAGGTGGCTGGCCAAGTCTTTAGCTTTCTTATTAAATATGCTGTACTTAAATCTATAAGGGGGAATGTTTATTTGTGTGTGCAAGGGTGGAGGCTCTTGCCCTTCAGTTCTGGGAGCCACTTAGTAGCATGTCTTTGCATCTTGTCCAGTTTGTTGATGTGCTTAAGATATGGGCACCACACAACCGCTGCATATTATAGCTTTGGCCTAACAAAAGTCGTGAACAATTTCTTTAGTATATCGGCATCCATGTATTTAAAAACAATTCTGAAGTTAGAAAGCGTGGCATAGGCTCCTCGCACAACGTTCTTTATGTGGTCCTCAGGTGATAGTTTTCTATCTAGAACCACCCCTAGATCTCTCTCTTTATCAGAATTCTTTAAGATTTCTCACAAAATTTAATTTCTCACATAAATGTTCAGAGAGTTCTTTGCTCAGTCTGTGCAGGTTCAGAGCTCAGCGAGAGATGAAAAAAGCAACTTTTATAAAACTACTGTACATGTAACTTCATTTTCACTTAAAATATTTTTCTGGTAGAAGTTCTACATATAGATATTTCCATATTTCCTCTGACAAATAATTAATATTTTCAACAATTTTTTTGGGTGCTCATTTGTTCTAACACTGTTGCACATTTTTTTGGAATCCTATACATGGGTTAACCAAGGTTTTTTTTTTTTTTTTTTTTTTTTTTTTTTGGGTCAGATTCCAGCGTGGTGCTTGTACAGCCACTAGTACGCGTAGCGTTCGGGGGCAAGTCCTTAATCCTATGGTCCCTGGAATACGGTCAAGCCGCGAAGAATCGTTTTTTCATCCAAGGTGACATTTTACCCAGGTCAAGAGGCTACAGTTAAGGAATTGCGCCCAGTAAATCCTCCCCGGAGGATACGAACCCAGGACATAGCGCTCGCGGAACGCCAGGCGAGTGTCTTACCACTACACCACGGAGGTTCAGTTGGGTCAGATTCCAGCGTGGTGCAAAACAACTGGTCAGGTCAAGGTGAGGAACCCAGGTCAAGATGAGGAACCCAGGTCAAGATGAGGAACCCAGGTCAAGATGAGGTACCCAGGTCAAGATGAGGTACCCAGGTCAAGATGAGGAACCCAGGTCAAGATGAGGTACCCAGGTCAAGATGAGGAACCCAGGTCAAGATGAGGTACCCAGGTCAAGATGAGGAACCCAGGTCAAGGTGAGGAACCCAGGTCAAGATGAGGAACCCAGGTCAAGGTGAGGAACCCAGGTCAAGATGAGGAACCCAGGTCAAGGTGAGGAACCCAGGTCAAGATGAGGAACCCAGGTCAAGGTGAGGAACCCAGGTCAAGGTGAGGAACCCAGGTCAAGATGAGGAACCCAGGTCAAGGTGAGGAACTCAGGTCAAGGTGAGGAACCCAGGTCAAGGTGAGGAACCCAGGTCAAGGTGAGGAACCCAGGTCAAGGTGAGGAACCCAGGTCAAGGTGAGGAACCCAGGTCAAGGTGAGGAACCCAGGTCAAGGTGAGGAACCCAGGTCAAGGTGAGGAACCCAGGTCAAGGTGAGGAACCCAGGTCAAGGTGAGGAACCCAGGTCAAGGTGAGGAACCCAGGTCAAGGTGAGGAACCCAGGTCAAGGTGAGGAACCCAGGTCAAGGTGAGGAACCCAGGTCAAGGTGAGGAACCCAGGTCAAGGTGAGGAACCCAGGTCAAGGTGAGGAACCCAGGTCAAGTTGAGGAACCCAGGTCAAGATGAGGAACCCAGGTCAAGGTGAGGAACCCAGGTCAAGGTGAGGAACCCAGGTCAAGGTGAGGAACCCAGGTCAAGGTGAGGAACCCAGGTCAAGGTGAGGAACCCAGGTCAAGCTGAGGAACCCAGGTCAAGTTGAGGAACCCAGGTCAAGGTGAGGAACCCAGGTCAAGGTGAGGAACCCAGGTCAAGGTGAGGAACCCAGGTCAAGGTGAGGAACCCAGGTCAAGGTGAGGAACCCAGGTCAAGTTGAGGAACCCAGGTCAAGATGAGGAACCCAGGTCAAGGTGAGGAACCCAGGTCAAGGTGAGGAACCCAGGTCAAGGTGAGGAACCCAGGTCAAGGTGAGGAACCCAGGTCAAGTTGAGGAACCCAGGTCAAGGTGAGGAACCCAGTTCAAGGTGAGGAACCCAGGTCAAGATGAGTAACCCAGGTCAAGATGAGTAACCCAGGTCAAAGTGACCTTTCACCCTGGCCAGTGTTATTATAAGGTCAGAGTGAAGGTTCACTCTGGCCTTCGCAATGTAAACAAATAAGGTCATCTTGGAGACTAACCTCATAACTTGTTTCGTCAACCTTCTTCTCCCTGGCTGCCATGTTTAGAGTGTGAGAGCGTCGAGAGGACAGTCGAGAGTTACTCTAGACCAAGCAGAGTGTGCCCGAGGCCCCATCTGGAGTGCAAGAGAGTGCAGTAAATATCTCAGCTGAGAGAGGCGACCGCCCCACAACTCACTCTCAATTAACTCTCATTCATAAACTTTCTCACTCATCTCAATTTTTATCAAACTTACTCACATAATTTTTATATAAATTTCATATTACCCGTTTAAAATATTAACATTAAAAAAAGGATATTTAAAGTGGTAAATATTTTCCATTACAAATATGAATGTTTTCTGAAAGAAAAATCTACATTCTATGTTTTTTTATATTAAATTATAAATTTATGAAGCAATTATTATTCATAAAAATAATCCATACTGATATACAGCATTGGGAATTACTTGGGAGCAACGTGAGGCAGGACATATATGGACCCGTAAGATAAATGTTTACATTTCAAATATTATTGGAACTCCATGTAATATTCCTCACATGAATAATACTTATTAAATATCCAATTCTGTGTAGAGTGTGTTAATATAGTGAGTAAGTGTGAGGGTGTGGGGGGGTGTGGGGCGTGCAGGCGTGCGGGCGCGGGGGCGGAAGTGAAGCTTATCAAAGAGTGTTGTTGACGCCCTCAGCGGGGACCTCCTGCTGCTGCTGCTGCTGCTGCTGCTACAACTGTGGCCCTCATGCTCCTCACACCATGATTCTCCTGGAGATTAACAACAGAATCCTCGAGGAAACGCTCACCGTCAAGATAAGAAACTCGTTAAACGGGTGAGTGAAGGAAACTGAGGTTGAGAGCAAACCGGTGTGAGTGTGGATCGTCTGCGGTGATGTGTCATAGAGGAGTGTCACTGGCACTGCTGCCACTCTGATTCACTCTTGGCACTGTTGCTGCCACTGCTTCACTCTGATTCACTCCTGGCACTCTGCTGCCACTCTGGTTCACTCTCCTGGCACTGCTGCCACTCTGGTTCACTCCTGGCACTCTGCTGCCACTCTGGTTCACTCTCCTGGCACTGCTGCCACTCTGGTTCACTCTCCTGGCACTCTGCTGCCACTCTGCTGCCACTCTGGTTCACTCTCCTGGCACCCTGCTGCTAGCTCACCCTTTCACTCCTCCAACTTGACACACTCACTACAACTGTTAAATTTTGCTTGAAAATTAAGTTGAAAGTTCAATCCCTAGGATTGCCAGAGTCAAATCTGTCTTGAAATTTTAATTAATTTAATCAGATGGTTTATAAATGCATTACAAACAGAGTCATAAAAAAATTACATTTTAGCCGAGTTATGACTATATTCTGATATGTATCGTGAAATGTGCTCGGGCTTCGGGTGTGGCCAGTGGTCGCACCTACAGCTCGCCCCAGCCTGGCCTGCCTTTGCTTAGCTTAGTCCAGCTTGGCCTGACTATTACTCCCCCCCATACATGAATATTTTACCATTAGCCAGGGTAGGTTCCTTATTAGAAAAGTTCATCACTTGGTACATTGTAGATTGACCAGACCACACACTAGAAGGTGATGGGATGACGACGTTTCGTTCCGTCCTGGACCATTCTCACAATCGACTTGAGAATGGTCCAGGATGGACCGAAATGTCGTCATCCCTTCACCTTCTAGTGCGTGGTCTGGTCAACATACTTTAGCCACATTATTGTGACTCATCGCTTGCATATGGTACATTGTAGGTTTTGTTTTTGGGTATCCTTTTTGTACACAGTTTCATATGTGGGAACTGGACTGTTGAGCCACATGTGACAATGTTATTTGATTCTTGTCTCGTGGATCTTGCACCAAAATGTTAGTGATGGATCCCACATTCAGGCGTATTTGTTATCGCCTAGTGAAGCTAAACGGTAAAGTTCAGGGAACTACAGAGGGGCCTTTCTTGGAATCAAACTTTCAGTGTAATGAAATGCTTCTTTCTGGCAGGCCCCTCAGTAGCTCCCAGTTCTTCGTGTTTATTTTGGTTCTGTACTAAAATTCAAATTTCAATTTTTATTCAAAAGAATTTGTGTACAAAGTACATAAGAGTAATATACAATTGTGGGGACAGAAGTTAAACTAATGAAGCCACTATTACGCAAAGCATTTTGGGCTAAACTTAAAATAATTTGAAACAAAAAATTAATTTAAAGGTGTGAAGGGGTAATACTAAATGAGAAGCAAGCCAACAAAAGGGTCAAGAAAAATAACATGAATACAACAAAAAGGTAATACAGTACTGTACTTTATAATGACAGGCATAGACTACTGTATTACATTATGGAGTCAATAGTTTCAGCAACAGTTCAGTAGTTTATTCGCATTAATAACAGAATGGAAATACTAAGGAGTAACTTAGAAAAGTAACTGGAATACAACATACAGTAATAAAGTATCATTTATAGTGGCCCCTGAGTGAGGCAGTCCCTGTGGCGCAGTGGTAACACACTCGCGATAACACTTGTGAGCGATTTAGCCTAGATTTGTATCCTGGCCAGGGAGGATTGACTAGGGTGTCAATCCTTAACTGTATGCCTCTGTTCACCCAGCAGTGATTGGGTACTTCATTGTTAAATGTTTGGTTGGTCATATTACAGGATAACGAGTGGATAAGGCTTACCATGAGCAAAGGGAAGGGAAAGCTCTCGGCCTGCTAACAAGAATTGCCTGTGGGAAAAAAAAAGGGGGACGGGTGCATCAAGACCCCATGTGGGGTCTTGATGCACTCTTTGGGTCTTTGGGCTGCTATTTTGTGGTGGTAGGACAAGTTGGTCGAGGGTTGACCACCTCGGACCACCTTGGACTACCTATTGTTAGCCTTGTTTCCCTTATATTTTGTTAAGAGCAATGGCTTGTTTCACCACATCTGGACTTTCTGGTCAGATTCTGTTTTGGATTAATCTCTGATCCCCAAACTCCTCTCACTTCCTAGAGGAATCATGTTCTGGTTCTTGGTAGCCTTGGTAGTCTCAGGCCTAATATGGTCTTAATGATCCCAGCATATAGTCTAAGGTGACTACTAAGGGGTCTACTAGAAAGGAGCATTTCATTACATTCAGTGATTTATATTTGTCTACCGCTGAGGCAATTTTACTTGCATGTTTTCTTGTAGTTTTTTACTTACCTTCAAGATGATATCTTTTCAGATGGCCCACAATGTGTTTGAAGTCGCAAAATGTGTAAATGAATATCCATTCATAGCAGGTGGTCTATCCATTTCACGTGTGGAGCTTGTCACTAATTGTCATGTCCCTAATATTATAACAGATTGCGAACAAAAAGGTCCTTAATTTTCCCTTGAAAAAGTCACATTTTTAGCATGTTTGATATCCTTTGGCAGCCTGTTGTACAATCTAAGAGTGCAATGGGAGAAAGCTCTGGTGCTAATTTCCTTAAGTGCTCAGGGCTCCAGCAATTTATACTCTTCCAATGTATGCCTTGTTTATATTGTAGAGGCTATTGCAAATTTCTCAAATTTGTGACTTGAGTACTTTGGTGTTCCAGTAGTCACTACTATATATATCAACACAGATCTTAAATGTAATTCTGGCTTCAATAGGCAGCCAATGCAAGTCAATTAGCAATTACTGAGGGTCCCGGTAGTACAATCGGACTTGTTCTTGACTCTCAATTCCAGGTTTGAATCCCAGGCGGGATAGAAATGATTGGGCACATTTCCTATCACCTACTGGGCCTGTTCACCTATCAGCAAGAAGATACAGGTACCCAGGAATTAGTCAGCTTCTTGTGAGGTTGCATCCTGGGCAGGGTCGGTAATTCAACCTTGGGAAAGGAGGGGGGGGGGAAGAGGACCGCCATGTAAGCCTAATGTGTATAAATACACTCTGGCTGCCTGTTCCCCAACAATGAATTATTATAATTATTAATAAATATATATTTTTGTAATAGTTATATATTATTTTTTAAATTATATAATGAACTAATTATATATTATACATAATTAGAACAGGAGTGGTCCTGTCTTGTGGTGAGCATTCTTGCTATCACCATCTTGCTATGGTGAGACTCAGACCATTCTTGTTCTGAGTCTCACAGCTCTATTGAAAAAGATCCTGAAGTTCCTTCATTAATAGGTTGGTAGACCATAGTATAATGAATTACAATTGTCTACCTATTTGAAGTGAGGTTATTTATCAGTTTTTAATTGATTCTTCATTCAAGTGTTACCTGATAAATTAAATATTTAAGTTATATTTTAAATTAAATATTTCTTAAGTTATAATTAACCAGTTTTATTACTGTTAATATGGTCACCAAATGTGAGAGACTGGTCAATAACAACTCTCAGATGCTTTAATTAAATTAAAAACAAAAAACACTATTCTACTTGAATCATCTCCAGTATCCCAAGGACAGCTATGTTTCACTTGAACCAACAATCATATACTGTTTTCATACAGGTACTTCTTTTAGAGTCATCAGCAAATAATTACAGTATGTGAAACGAGGTTGTATGTGTATCTATATCTTCTATGGAGATGAAGAAGAGAAAGTAGTCTCATGTGGAACTGTGTTAAAGGCCTTGCTGAGGTCCAGATGTACAACATAGTTGCTGTTGTGATTAACAACCTCGGTAAAGGGACACCAGGTCATAAATAGGTGAGAGAGGAACAATACCTGAACAAATCCACACTCGGATTTGTGTGATCTTATCTTGAGGTTATCTTGAGATGATTCGAGGCTTTTTAGTGTCCCCGCGGCGTGGTCCTCGACCAGGCCTCCACCCCCAGGAAGCAGTCCGTGACAGCTGACCAACACCCAGGTACCTATTTTTTACTGCTAGGTAACAGGGGCATAGGGTGAAAGAAACTCTGCCCATTGTTTCTCGCCGGCGCCTGGGATCGAACCCAGGACCACAGGATCACAAGTCCAGCGTGCTGTCTGCTCGGCCGACCGGCTCCCCTTATCGTGGATCGTGGATTGAGATGTAGGATTTGTAGATTTGCGCTTCTGGGATCATCCCGGACATAGGTTCGAACCTCTCATCATGACCCTTGTGGATTTGTTAATTTGATATAGCCCGCTGTTGTGATTTCTGTGTGTAGTGAACAACACCTGTAGTGGGATTTTTATTTTTTTATCAGTCTGTATATATCTAGGGTATCTTCTATAGCTTTTACTTACTGCTTCCAGAACTTTGACGTGATTAAAGTTGAGCTTATTGGTTCATAATTCGCGATAGGAGTACTATCTACCTTGTACTTGTTAATGGCCAACTGAGCTGCTCCTCATATTAAATAAGATCTCTAATAATAGATTATATAAGTTTTGGATAAAAATTAAGAAAGCTTACCTATTTAAAAGTTGTCCTTTATTCTAACTTTTTCCAACTAGTAAAATGTTTAAAACTATAATATTTAAGATTTCGTAATATAATCTTAAATTACTTGAAGATGACAAGTCACAATAACATGACTGAAGATTAAACTTCAAACCCAAAAGTAAAAAGAGTTAATACTTTCACTTCGAACCGGAACTTCATAATTTCTTCATTTTCAGATTTGTGGGTTGGGTTTCTTAGCAGGCATTTACTGTAAGCACTGTACTGTAAGTACTAGTAATATGTGAAGAAGACTGAAATGCAGAGATAATTGTCTGTCTTTACAATCTCCTTTGTCCACTTTCATTATTCAGCAAAGTATTATTTTTGTAAAATAAGAAACTCATCCGTGGGCTAGATGGAAACACCTCAGTTAATGCGTATAAACTGAACTAATAGCTATAGTAATCTGTACTTATGTTTTAAAAAAAACTGTGTGTACTGTATAATATACAGTAGATAAGTGTATGGTTGACACTGGCATAGTTACACTGACTCTTCTCTTTACAGTAACAAAGCCGAGTCCATTGATGTAACTATAGCAGACTTCGATAGCGTGCTCTACCACTTATCTAATATTAATGGTGACAAGACAAAAATACGGGTAAGTTATAATATACAGTATATATGAATTGCACAACATTTGATTTGTAATAACAATATATATATTTTTGGGTGTGTAATGTACAGTTCAGGTACAGTACTTGCTAATTTTATAATGAATGCAGGGGTCAGCCTTAACTTTTAAGGTGGCCAGCCAAGTTTCCTGGCAGAAAGTTTGGAACTTCTGACAAAATGTCCATGGACATCCCCCCACCCCTCCTCTGACACCCCTTCCCCCACACCCACACAACATAAAAAACACAATAGAGCTGGATTTTGGTGGATTCGATGAGAAAAGTATTAATGAGTAGTCTGCACAACAAGTTGGCAAAATTAGACATTATTGTGAACTATTAGGTTATCTTGAGATGATTTCGGGGCTTTACTGTTCCCGCGGCCCAGTCCTCAACCAGGCCTCCACCCCCAGGAAGCAGCCCGTAACAGCTGACTAACACCCAGGTACCTATTTTACTGCTAGGTAACAGGGGCATAGGGTGAAAGAAACTCTGCCCATTGTTTCTCGCCGGCGCCCGGGATCGAACCCGGGACCACAGGATCACAAGTCCAGCGTGCTGTCCGCTCGGCCGACCTGCTCCCGGTTGGCTGAGCTAGGTGGACATAATCAGGAATTTGAGAGAAAGTAAAGTTCTGTCCACTCGTTTAAATTTCAGTAGTAGTTTTAACCAGAATAGGGGTTTGTTTTGGGATGCTTACCTTTCTGGGTGCCTGACTTGGTCAATGGCAGACATAGAATGCTCCATAACTACATGTGCAATTCTATTGGCCATTGCTCCTCATGCCTCTCTGAGGGGGCCCATGTTCTGGCTCGTTGTCCCCAGAAGGCCTTGAACTCCATTTACATTGACTGATGCCAAAGTTAGGGATATCCATATCAGCCTGGATAGCTCCGGGGAGCCTCCAGGTCTCGCCCAGAAAATGGAGTTTCATTACATTCAACGATGATTTTTTGCTTTTTTAACATAAAAGTTCTTACTATATATCATGCCATGAGTCCCAAGAAAGTCAAAGGTAACGTTCAACCTAAAAAAATAGATGTGAGGATGATGATAGAGATAAAACAAGAGATCATTCATAGTGAGAATGTAATGTCTCACTAGAGACAAGTGTTAAGACGTAGTGAAAAACAAGTGTATGTGGACAGATTGTTAGTAAAACAAGCAAGTAGTGAGCCACAACCACATCCAAGTGGTATGCCTGCAAAACATAGGAAAGAGAGTACCTCAGAAATGTCATCACTGCTGTTATAATGGAAGGTGGACTCTCCTTCCAAACACTAACACCTCTCCTCCTCCCCTCCTCACTGTCTTCCATACGCCAACTAGAGTCCTCATTCATGGTAAGATATACATACAGTACTGTATTGTAGCTAGTACAAAATGAGTGTTATTTGGTATAAAATGTATTTTTAGTTAATATTTTTGTGGGTGTGGAACGGATTAATTCATTTAACATTTCTTATGGGAAAATTCGTTTTGGTTACCAAATTTTTGGTTGATGATGTGTCTGGAAACAGATTACGATTGTAAACGAAGGTACCATTGTACGTGTATTAGAAAGTTTTCTTTTGCAAACAGATTGGTAGACGGTTGGAACAGGCTAAGTGAGAAGGTGGTGGAGGCCAAAACTGTCCATAGTTTCAAAGTGTTATATGACAAAGAGTACTGGGAAGACAGGACACCATGAGCATAGCTCTCATCCTGTAATTACAGTACGCTTAGGAAATTACACTTGCACTCTCTCATTTTTTTTTTTTTTTTTTTTTTTTTTTTTTGAGATATATACAAGAGTTGTTACATTCTTGTACAGCCACTAGTACGCGTAGCGTTTCGGGCAGGTCCCTGGAATACGATCCCCTGCCACGAAGAATCGTTTTTTCGTCCAAGTACACATTTTACTGTTGCGTTAAACAGAGGCTGCAGTTAAGGAATTGCGCCCAGTAAATCCTCCCCGGCCAGGATACGAACCCATGACATAGCGCTTGCGGAATGCCAGGCGAGTGTCTTACCACTACACCACAGAGACTCATTCCTAGGAGGCCTCGCGGCTGAGTGGACAGTACTTAGAGGTCATAGTCCTAGTGGCCCAAGTTCGATTCCCAACCAAGGCAGAAACAAATAGGCATAGTTTCTTTCACCCTGATGAGTAAATAGGTACCTGAAAATCAGAGAGCTGCTCCGGACTTTTTTCTGGGGATATGTGTGTGTGTAATTACCTAAGTGTAATTACCTAGGTGTAGTTACAGGATGAGAGCTACGCTCGTGTGTGTGTGTGTGTGTGTGTGTGTGTGTGTGCATGTGTTAAGAGATAAATATATGTAGTAGACAAAATTGAGGAAAAATAGATTGGTTAGAAAGCCAGGGGTCCAAGAACTAATAGCTTGATTCTGTAGGCACAAATAGTAAATGCACTCACTCTCTCATATTAGTAATTGATTAACTTTTTGTTCTTTTTTTCAGGTGAGCATCTCCCTAAAGTTCTATAAACAACTGCAAGAGCATGGAGCAGATGACCTTGTTCAACAAGAATATGGCAGCCTTCTTATGGCTGAACCGGAGTCTGGTTTTAATGTTTCCCTTTTACTGGATCTGGAGAAACTTCCTGAGGACTGGCAAGTGCTTGTCAAAAAGATAGGCCTGCTGAAGAGGAATTGCTTTGCATCTGTCTTCCAAAAGTATTTTGAATTCCAGGAACAAGGTTTGGAAGGCCAGAAGAAAGCAATTATACACTATAGAGATGAGGAAACAATGTAAGAATACAATATAATTTTGTCAGATTATATTTGCTCATTCATGAAGTCTTATAAGAATGTTTGCAAGAGACAGTAGTTAAAATTTGATGCAGTAAAATCTTAAAAGTTATCATAAGAACACACTGCAGTGTGTTTTGATCAATAATCAGGGATTAATTAAACTGTATTTCAAAGTATTGAATTACGAGTATAGTTTTAACAGACTTGATCTGAGTAGAAATATCAGAACCATGAGTACTTGCAGGTATCACAGTTAAGCCCACATGTCAGTGTCATGCAAAATTGGGTATCATACTTAAATTCAGTTTTGTTTTGTACATTGCAACCTTCAAAATCTAGGCTTCTAAATAACAAATATTGTCTACCCTCACTAATCTGAATTTTATGGAGCTGACACTCCCTACAAGTTAGCCAGACATCCGGATTAAGAGGAATTCTTACCTGTGACAGTCAAAGAATGAACATGTATTATTTTTTGTACCACAACCAACATAATTTGTATTTTTACATGCAATAAACATAAATTTACATGGTTAGGGGAGGATCTTCATATACAGCTTGCTGATGAAAAGCATCAATATTGATAATTAACCTCACACAGCACTAAAATTACTGTACAGTGTTCCTCCCTGTCTCCACATTCTGTTTGCATGTTCTCATATCATTGTTTTTCTTAATACTGTATGGCTGTGAAAGAGCTTAGGTTGCCTCTTTGCTTTTGCTGCAATGCCATTTTCAAATTGCTGCTCTGCTGCCCTCCTGATTCTGGTGTACTCATTCATGACCCTCTTTAATGCCTCCCTATTTGCCTCTGTACCAAGTCTCTATACTTTTTCATGCTTTTTTATCTTCTCCTTTTCCTCCTTACACTGCTGAACTATGGGCTTGCTGTTCTCCTTTCATTACTTTTCCTCCTGAGAGGTATAAACTGTTCTGTTGCTTCTTTGCACGTCTGTGTTATGAGTTCCATCATCTCGTTTACTGATTTTCCTTCCATTACTGTCTCCCGTTGAACCTCCTGCAGATAATTCCTAACCCTTTTGTTGTCCCTTCTTTTGTATTTTCTCATGCACCCTGTTTTTTTTGTTGTGCAGAGCATGTCCTGCATTTGGAAGGATGGTTTCTTGGTTCCATCCCATTGTTCTGGGGTGTGTGTTGTTGTCACTCCTTTCGATTGGTTTTGTGTTGCATTTATCTGTCCTCTGGTGGGCCTTTGTGCATCGGCTTGGTCCCAATGGCATCTGTCCTCTGTTTCCCCGTTTCATGACCTCATCGCTCTCGAGCTGCTTAACTTTTTGGCTGGCCTAAATTTGCTGTGGGTTTTGTGTGTCTTTCCTGCAGTTATATTGGTGCTTCTGGGCTGAAGCCATTTGCTGGCAGGTGGTTTTCTGGTGGCTCAGCTCTGGTTCCAGTTCTTCTGGGTATTGGTCTGTTGCCACACAGGGTCTGCTCATGGGATTTATCACTGTTGAACATCGTGTTATTTTCTGCTGCCTACTTGAAAACTTTATTAATACTGTATCAACATGTAGGATGTCAATGTCTTCTACATAAGTAATTTTCATGCTGATTTTTGTGTCATCTGCAAAAGATGACAAGAAGCTGTGACATGTATTTTTGTCTGCCTCTGATATGAGATACGTATAAGAAAAAGCAATGGTGCAAGGTCTGTTCCCTGAGGTACAGAGATTTTAACTGTGCTTCGACTTGATTTTATTTGGTTGAATGTTACTCTTTGCGTTTGGTTTGACAGAAAATTCCATATCCACTGATTTACGTTACCTGTTATTCCTTCTGACCTCATTTTGTGGGCTATCACTCCATGGTCACATTTATCAAATTACTTTGCAAAGTCTGTGTACACCACATATGCATTCTGTTTTTTCTAATGCATCATTGATATTGTCATAGTGATAGAGTTGCTGCAGAAGGCATGATATTCCTGCTCTAAATCCACGTTGACCTGGGTTATGGAGGTCATTGGTCTCCATAACACTGTAGATCTGACTCCTGATCTCACTCTTAAAAATGTTTATGTGGTTCGTTAGTGTAACTAGTCTATAATTCTTAAACCAATGCTTTCCTCTTTCAGTTGTGTAATCTGCTATGTGTGTGTGTGTGTGTGTGTGTGTGTGTATGTATGTATGTATGTATGTATGTATGTATGTATATATATATATATATATATATATATATATATATATATATATATATATATATATATATATATATATATATGTCGTACCTAGTAGCCAGAACGCACTTCTCAGCCTACTATGCAAGGCCCGATTTGCCTAATAAGCCAAGTTTTCATGAATTAATGTTTTTTCAACTACCTAACCTAACTAACCTAACCTAACCTATAAAGATAGGTTAGGTTAGGTTAGGTAGGGTTGGTTAGGTTCGGTCATATATCTACGTTAATTTTAACTCCAATAAAAAAAAAATTACCTCATACATAATGAAATGGGTAGCTTTAACATTTCATAAGAAAAAAATTTGAGAAAATATATTAATTCAGTAAAACTTGGCTTATTAGGCAAATCGGGCCTTGCATAGTAGGCTGAGAATTGCGTTCTGGCTACTAGGTACGACATATATATATATATATATATATATATATATATATATATATATATATATATATATATATATATATATATATATATATATATATATATATATATATCGGCTATATATATCAAATAAAATATACATACATATATAAAATATACATACATATATGAATGATATGTAATTGTGTAAATCTGCTGATTTAAGTGCTTTTGGTATCTTCCCCGTGTCCAACCATTTTCTCCACACCACTTGTGTTACTGGCACTTTTCAGTTCAGTTTTCATTGTCTTATATGGGACCTTGTTTTTTGTTCTTTGTGCACTGATGTGTGTTTTTCTTTGCTGTCAATCTCCTTTTCTGGCTCTGTTGAGTCAGCTGGCTTCCATTAGGTCAGTTGATTCTGGGAATTGCCATTTTTGTGGTCCCTGTTTCCTTGTTTTGGAGAGTTTTTGGTGTTTAGGGTTGTCCACAGGGTCCTGCAGATTGCACTCGGGCTGGTATTGTTTAGGTGCTAACTACTTTGCCCACTTTCTTCTGTTCCCTTAGTTCTTCTCTTTTTTTCTGAAGTTCCTGGCTACTCTTCTGACCTTAATGTGTTCCCCTTTCTGCTTTGTTCTTTGCTGAGGTAGCAACAGGGAGCCACTATGGTGTTCTCTTGGAAAACCAGCATTGAATGTAATGAAAATGCCTCTTTCTGGAAGGTCGTTAGGGGTTCCCTGGACTCTTCCTTTCCCATTTCAGGTGTGTCAAACTCCATCATCTGATCCAGGAGCAACCTGGTGCTGCAACCTAGTGGTGATCAGTTACTACTAGTGGGTGAATGCCCTACTTACTGGGTATTTCATTTTCTAACTTGTCTAAATATACCAGTACTGTACCTTGTTGCTGTCTTGCTTTGTTTCGCTCTACATTTCTGATGGCTTATTTCTCAGGTAGGGTGATCATGAATTCCTAATCTCTGCCTCTGTCAAGGGCTTGGTTATGACCTCTGATCTCTAGTAGGCTTCAATAACTCGCAAGGGCCGGTTGTCTAAATGTGTGGAGCTAAGCAGGCAGCTAGCAACAGGGAGTCACCAGAAAGAGGAATTTCATTACATTCACAGTTCTTTTGCACAGGCAGCATGGCACTGTTCATAATAGTCACATTTAGAGAGTTAAATGAGGCAGATGGGGGTTCAATTGCTCATATTCCTTAACCCCTCCTATTTTATTTTTATTACATAAATTTGTTTAAAGTGTACATTCTGTTAAGATAGTGGTTAAACAACTTCACATTTATTTCTAGGTATGTAGAAGCCAAGGCAGATAGAGTAACAGTAGTGTTCAGTACAATCTTCAAAGATCCTGATGATGTTGTTATTGGAAAAGTCTTTATGCAAGAGTTCAAGGAAGGAAAAAGAGGGAGTCAAACAGGTAAAGTTCTCCTTATGTGTATATTTATATATTTATATTTATATATGTCATTATAAACTCTTATGATCATGACAGGATTTGGATGTGCGAGGCCAGGGATCACCCCATTAGCCACCATGGTTCTGGATCCTATTCGGTTCCTTGGAATAGTTGTATTTCCGAAGGTTTCTGACTTACCACATTTCCTCTTCAGTGACTTGTGCAGGGTTTTTTTCAGTACCTCCTAGAGAAGTTGGACCTCTGTTTATTGATGGATTCAGCCACTTTTGAGTATGGGTCTGTCTCAGCTTATGGCAGCAATGTGAATTTCTGGATTCATCCTGGCTGGTTGTTGCTCTTTTTTCCTTGGAAGGGGGGAGGGGAGCAAAGGGTTCTGTCAGACCAACATGCTTAATTGGCAGGAGGTGCATTCTATCTTTCAAGTAGTTATTGGCGGTGTTTCTTATGCACTGCTCAGGGGCAGTTCATGTGAAGCATTGCTCAGTAGTGAATAAGAAGCCCCCTCAGTAGTGCATTCTGGATATTAGGTATGATATATATATGTATGTGTATACATACATATATGTATGTATTCTATATATATATATTATATATATATATATATATATGTCGTACCTAGTAGCCAGAACGCACTTCTCAGCCTACTATGCAAGGCCCGATTTGCCTAATAAGCCAAGTTTTCATGAATTAATGTTTTTTCGACTACCTAACCTACCTAACCTAACCTAACTTTTTCGGCTACCTAACCGAACCTAACCTATAAAGATACGTTAGGTTAGGTTAGGTAGGGTTGGTTAGGTTTGGTCATATATCTACGTTAATTTTAACTCCAATAAAAAAAATTTACCTCATACATAATGAAATGTATATATGTATGTGTATACATACATATATGTATGTACTCTATATATATATATTATATATATATATATATGTCGTACCTAGTAGCCAGAACGCACTTCTCAGCCTACTATGCAAGGCCCGATTTGCCTAATAAGCCAAGTTTTCCTGAATTAATATATTTTCTCTAATTTTTTTCTTATGAAATGATAAAGCTAATATCCAGAATGCACTACTGAGGGGGCTTCTGACGACCTTCCAGAAAGAGGCATTTTCATTACATTCAATGCTGGTTTTCCAAGAGAACACCATAGTGGCTCCCTGTTGCTACCTCAGCAAAGAACAAAGCAGAAAGGGGAACACATTAAGGTCAGAAGAGTAGCCAGGAACTTCAGAAAAAAAAGAGAAGAACTAAGGGAACAGAAGAAAGTGGGGAAAGTAGTTAGCACCTAAACAATACCAGCCCGAGTGTAATCTGCAGGACCCTGTGGACAACCCTAAACACCAAAAACTCTCCAAAACAAGGAAACAGGGACCACAAAAATGGCAATTCCTAGAATCAACTGACCTAATGGAAGCCAGCTGACTCAACAGAGCCAGAAAAGGAGATTGACAGCAAAGAAAAACACACATCAGTGCACAAAGAACAAAAAACAAAGTCCCATAAAAGACAATGAAAACTGAACTGAAAAGTGCCAGTAACACAAGTGGTGTGGAGAAAATGGTTGGACACGGGGAAGATACCAAAAGCACTTAAATCAGCAGATTTACACAATTACATATCATTCATATATGTATGTATATTTTTTATTATATATATATATATATATATATATATATATATATATATATATATATATATATATATATATATTATTTATTTATTTTTTATAATTACATAATATAATATTACTTTTTGACATTTGTTCTTTCTTTAAAAAAAAATAATTTTGTTTTTCTACAAGAGTCAATGCTTTGCAACATCCCAGCATCAATAGCATCTTTAAACAAAGAAAAATAAATGATAAGACGAATTGTTGGCGATCGGGGCATTAGCTACCCAAATCCGTTGCCATTTGAGGCGGTCGTCACTCAAGGTTCTACTGTAAATATATTCATTCATTCATTCCATTCATCTAGTAAGTATTAAAAGATCAAAGTTCACTAACACTCGGTATTAGTTGACTGGTCTCCTCCCGAGTCAATTAGCCTAATTATTAAAGTTCTAGGATGAGTTTTGGGGGCATTATTTGTTTTAACACTTTCACTGCTCCGGAGGGTGACCCGCTGCACACCTCAAGGTTGGCCGAGCGGTGCGTGTGAACTCGTCACCACCCACAAATGTTTATACTATTTTTAGCTTTCTGACCTTAATTTTTGTGCTACGTTGTTCAATTTGGTATCAAATTATTCGCAATAGAATGCCGTAAGGAGGTATTTGCATATATAAGAACATATATGTGTCACTTTTCTATACTTTCGACAACTCAATAACTTTTCCCTCATGTGTGTTTCTTTCCATGCTTTCATCATGGATTGGTTCTGTTCTTGATCAGTATCCATCTGGAGGTCAATTTCCAATGTTTATAAAGCCGGTAACAACAAATACCTGAGATAAAGTAACTAGAATGGGGAAACTTTTCGACTCCAGGGGAGGCTGCAGCTGTCATGAATGAGGTCACAAGAACAAAGTCTTCAGCATGGGTGGACGCCCACACGACAGGGTCAGGATGCCCCGTGGGGTATACAAACAGTGGAAAGAAGTTGGCGCTCATTTTAAAACAAGTCCCATAGTATTCGGACAATGAGTGGAATTTTTACAAATGTTTAAATTATTGATGGCGTTTGTGCCATGCCGCATACTCCATGTTTTGGTTTCATAACGGAGTATGTATGATCAGGCAGTGAAAGTGTTAAAAGAGTAACCTTATCTTCCATCTATTCTGTAAAAATTGTAATGATATGTTTAACACTTTGGCGTGCCCCGCGCGCCACCTCTCAACTGTGCGATTTGGGTCCCAGTGTTTCACGGGAGCGCACGTTAATTCTGAAAAGTGTATACTCTCTTCAACTTTGTCACCTTAATTCTCGTCCTATGAGATTAAATTTGGTATCATTGTGTTCGCAATAGAATTTTCTACAGCACTAAATGCATATAAACTCCAAAATCCCCCGGCTAATTACCCGCAGCAAACAGAGAAAGTGTGAACGAGTTACCCAGGAGCGCGCAAAAGCGATAAAATGTGTTCACTCTTTTCACTCTGGTCACCTCAATTTTCGTCCTAGGTCTTTCATTTTGTTATCATTGGGTTCACAATAGAATTCTATAGAGGAACATTAGCATATAAAATAAAAAACCTGGTCATGCTCCACCCGCCGACGAGTTGAAGACGGGCCACACGTTAACCGCGAGTGAGCGCCCAGACGCCTTGCAGCTACACTCCCAATTCCTGCCCACAAATGTTTAGTATTTAGTATTTTAGTATATTTAGTATTATAGTTTAGTATTTTTTGTGTAGTAGTTGTACATCACACAAGCATTGTAGATAGCCATTTGCACAAAATAGATGGTCATTTTCTTCGTCCATTTGTGAGTTTTCCTTATGAAGTGATAATATTTGATCATTTGGTCAAAGTGATCAACACCTTTCATGTTTGTATTGTAGTCACAGATTGCATTCGGCTTGTTGACAGTTACCAAACAGTCTCAAAAAAATCGGATAAAAACCTGATTTTTGGCAATTATTTTAGTGGATGACGCAATGCTGCGTCATGCCCGGGCGAAAGTGTTAATGCCTTGGTCATTTCCCCATCCCCCCCCCCCCTTTCCCTGATAACTGGATGAGCATTTTCTGCTGTGAGGGGCACACTTCCAGTTCTTTGGGGTTATATCAATGCAATTATTACAGCCTAAATTGTTACAAGTTATTGCAACCATCACAATGAGCTGTTCATATTCAGTGTTTTGTTGCAAATGTTACAGTGGTGACATTTCTTGAATTGTTACAGCATGCATTCATGGAATGCTTTAGTCTTTAGCATCAAAGTCTGAAACAATTGGCACAAAATCTTCACCAGATGTCCAGATCAATTCAGCTACATCACCACCTTGTTATACAGCATCTTTCACCAACACCATCAGCTACGATAATGTGACCTCATTCCTTCCTACGGCTAGCTGAGGGTAGCCCAGAAGCAATAAGGCGAACTGATTGGGATGTTGGGGGTCACTGAAGGGCCAGGTTGGGACAAACTTGACTTGAATAGAAATACAGTACAGTAAATAAATATTTATATATTTATCGTATGAAACTGAAGCGGTACTTTTTGCTAATACCGTACACTATATGTAATATGATTGTTATATGCATGTTACAAGTTGGTATTTTCTTTTTTCCAGCTCCACATGTATTATTCTCTCATAAGGAGCCACCATTAGAACTTCAGGACACTGAAGCTAGACAAGGAGAAAATATTGGATATGTTACATTTGGTAAGTTAAACTGTTACTGTCTAATGCAAAAAACTGGTATGCGAGTCTTACAATCAACAAGTTATAAAAATGTGAACTAGGACAATTTGTGGCATTTAACCCTTAAAGTGCAGCTATCTTCATACATTAATTCACAGGGCAGTGCAGTTATCATCATATACAGATTGTTGATTTTAGATATTATTGTCTGGTTTTATACACACATGATGATAATATGGATATAATATCGCTATGGAGGTAGTGGAGTTTACCTAGACTCATAAAACAATCCTGCTGTCATTTCATGATTTCTTACAGTGAAAATGTGGTTATCATCACGAATGTTACTATGCCAATGCGATATTTATATCATCATGATATAAAATTTGAATATAATTATATGATTTGTATACCGATTTTGGTAATGGTTTTCACAGCTATATGGTTGTAATGAAGTATTTGAGGTCAACTATCCTTTAAATCAATATCATGTGTTATGTGAACTAGGGGCCGTTAGGTGGCACATTGGTGTTTACCCCTTTTAGTAGGAATTCATATTGTTACCCAGATGGTACCAGTTAGGCTCTGGGTTTCACATTCTTTGGGAACCTGACATAGACTTCTTCTGTTCATTGCAACTTGTTTGACTTTAATTTTTCCATTTAATAAGTTCTTCTCTTGTAGCAACTTCATTCAACTTGCCCTCTTCACTATCCATGTAGATTTGTTTGGATGTAGGTGAAATATCAAGTTGTTGTCTAGTAAATACAACATGGTATTTATTTAGAATACCACTCATTTTTGTTATGACTTTTTTTCAAAGAACTCATCAAAGGAAGTTTTTTCAAAGAACTTCTCTGCAGTCTTCTCCATAGTCTTTGGTATACAGTATTTGAAAGAAACCTTTGTAGTTTCTTGCCTGCCCTGTTATACACACTTCATAATTTTGTTTTGCTGTTTTATTTTATTTTTATTTTTATAATCATTCTTGAGAGTGATAATTTTTTGTTTAAGATACCCATCCCCATTTTTATTTAATTTATACTGTATATAGTTGTCTTATTTCTGATAAGATACTTTAGTCTCTTGATCATCCGTTTTGGATAATTTTTATTTGATTTAATCAATTTATATGGTATACTATGTTCTTTTGAATGACAAACAAGTGTGAGAAGAGTTCAACAAGATGTTCCAAGTCTGCAAACCAGAACCAGATTGACATCATAGGAGAGGTGGGAACAGATGGCCAGAAACAACACTATACAGAATTAAAGTGCTGTAGAAAAGGTAAAAGGACACCTGGAAGAACTTGATGTAGCAAAGGCAGTAGGACCAAACCAAATATCACTATGGTTACTGAAAGAAACTGCAGGGATCTTGTGTAACCCATTAATTATAGTGTTCAACATTGCACTACAGAGAGAGGAGAGCTACCAGAAATCTGGAAAAGGCAGACATGAAGCACCAATTTATAGAACGGTATCATTAGCATGCATTCCGTTTAAGGTGCTGAAAAATCATCATATAAGAAGAATTGTAGAACATTTGGAGAGTAAATTTTATAACTGGCACAAAATGACTTCAAAAAGGAAAATCATTCTTAATGTGATTGACTCATTCAAATGTGATTAAATTTTACAACAGGGTTACCAAAATAAGGCAAACAAAATGAAGGATGCATCTTCCTAAACTGCCAGAAAGCTTTTGATAGTATTCCACAAAAGGCTAATACTCAACATAGAAATATAAGTGGAGATAAGGGGAAAGACACTGATCTTGGCAAGTGCACAAAGAGCAAAGATTTCTTTTTCCCAAATCATTAGTAGGTAAGCATCAGTTGAGAGAGAAAAACAAAATGCCGAAGCTCAACCCTCACAAGCACTTAGGTGAAGGGGGAAGGAAACTATCAGGAGAAAGTGCCAAGCCATTACAACTATATAGTGCTTGGAAAGGATCAGGACAAGGATTTGGGATGGGGGGGGGGCAGAATGGTACCCAACCACTTGGATCTTGAGGTTATCTTGAGATGATTTTGGGGCTTAAGTGTCCCCCGCAGCCCAGTCCTCGACCAGGCCTACACCCCCCAGGAAGCAGCCCGTGACAGCTGACTAACTCCCAGGTACTTGTTTACTGCTAGGTAACAGGGGCATCAGGGTGAAAGAAACTCTGCCCATTATTTCTCACCGGCGCCCGGGATCGAACCCAGGACCATAGGATCACACGTCCAGTGTTCTGTCCGCTCAGCCACCGGCTCTCCTGACCGGATGGTCAGGGATTGAATGCCGACCTGCATGAAGCGAGACCGTTGCTTTACCATACACACTGTTCCACCTATACTAACACCAAATCACTAAACTACCACTAATTATAAGATAACCCCCCCCCCCCCACCACCACCACCACCACCACCACCACCAAACTTGCACATTTTCACGACAACCACCACACTATCACAACTCATATACCGTCACCCTCACCTTCTCACCACAACCACCCATTAACCTACTCATTCTCTATCAGTGTACAGTATTTAAAAATATATGTGCAAAGGAGGAGGAGGGGATTGCCATATTTTGTTTGTAAGAATATATATAATGTTGGTTGTATTGAGATACCTAACTTCCAATTTCTGTTCATTATTTATTGTTTCTTCCCAGTGTTATTTCCTCGGCACACCTGCAAAGCTGCAAGAGATAACACCATAAACCTGATTCATATATTTCGGGATTACTTACACTATCACATAAAGTGCTCAAAGGCCTACATTCATTCTCGCATGCGAGCCAAGACTAGTGACTTCTTGAAGGTTCTCAACAGAGCGCGACCTGAACCAAATAAGTCTTCAACAGATAAGAAGACTGCATCGTAAGTATTCATTCTGTACTGTCAAAAGAATAAATGTGTTGTGTACCTTTATCCAATTCCCTCCTCTATAGCTTTGTATGTGCCTAATACAACTCAAGGTTTCCTTTTACCGGGTTCAATCTTTATCTAAAATTTAGCATGGTACAACCCCCCCCCCCCTCAACAAATGCCAGATGCTCATTAATCCACCTGCCAAACACTGTACACATGACTCACAACTGATGACATAAGTATTTTTCTTGAGTGTTTCATTCAAATTCTCTTCTCAAATTGCATCTTTCTGAATGCTTCGTACTTCAGATACCAACAATTGCCAACAGAACCTAACTTAAGTTGGGCCTAGCTATTCAACACATTTAGTATGTAATAATATTAGCTTATATATGAGAAAATACATATTTTGAATATGTAACACGTTAAAGTTAATGAATGTATCTTTAGGGTCGACTGCTGGTTTGAGGAGCCTAACCTGAGGACAAGTTAATTTGCAAAGAATACATTTTTGTGTGCTAGTTCTCTCAGTGGGTCTCTGTAGCTTAAGACACTGGTACCACAGAGCCTCCTATTCATTCAAGGTTACTGACCTATATGCAGCCTACTAGGGATTAGGACCAGAATCTGGTTCTCTTACAGAGGTAAGAGGTGAGGGAGAGCATCAAAGATTAACCCAAAACTTAGAGAATTGCTTAGAAAGTTAAAGGCAAAACAAATGACTGTCCTTAAGAAATGAAAGTAAGACAACAGGGCAAATGTAGTTGGAAATGGACAAACAACATTGTCTCAACTCACCAGGCTGCCATCCGGTGGCATTCCAGGTCACGTAGGGTCCCAGCTAGCCATCCTCCTTTCTCGTGACCCTACTACTAACCCATTTACTTTTTCCCTGCAGGGACCATTAACTCTGGTGCTCACAGTTAGTGGTAATCGTTTTCCTTAGGACTTTTGATTTGTTCATGCTTTATGGTTGTTTTTATGCCACCCATATTGCATAATTCTAGTTTATTTCACTCCATCTTTGTTTCAGGATTTTCTTCCCTGGCACCTGCTTACATTTCACTTTCCCTAACAGAGTTACCTTCTCTGACTGGGTCTAGGTTTCTCCTCAGTGGCTCGGCTACGTTTAACCACGGCACTGCTCACATGGTACCCGTGTTTGAGCTACCTCATCTCTACATAGTTTACACTTCGTGTCATTATCATGAACACCTATCCCATATTCCCAGTAATATTTGTACCCAAGCCTGAGCTGCATGTGCACAGAGTCACTCCAAGCATTTCTCCTTTTACTATAAGTGAAATGGGTGTTTTGACTCGCATACATGTAGTGTGGCATGGTTTCGGCAAAAACTTCATAGTGCAATTGTCAAGGACATATTTTTGTTGTTCAAATGTTCAGGTAAAGTTAATGACAAAATGTTTCCAAACTCAACTATTTTCATTTTGAAACACAGTGTTGAAAACATTAAAAAACATTAAAATGTAGCCAATTAAAAGAATAGCACAATTCTCAGAGGGCACTCTGTGCAATACAGTGGTTAAGCTGCCCTACTTCCAGGTAGTGCTTGGAACATAGTTTCAAATCGCGGCTGCTCCGGAGCCTTGCTGGGTTCTGGTGCAGTTTCTTTGACTTTCCTCTCCATCTTCCCTTTACTGTGCCCCCTTCTAGTTGGCTTCTCTTTTTTGGTCTGGGTGGGTATTTCTTATTTGTTTTGAGCAGTTGTGCTTTATTTGCTCTGCCTGGTCACGGTCATCCTCCGTTTCATGTGTGCCCCTCAGGATCCTAAGGGGTAATATTTTTTCTCAGTCTGGTGTTTTTGGTTCCTTGTTCTAGAGGGTTTGTTTATCTCCAGTCATCTGCAATGTCATTCTGCTGCTCTGCCCTGTGGCCTGCCTGTGGGCCCATAGTGTGTGTCGGTGTGCCCTTTTTTCAGCGTGTCTTCAGCTTCCCTTTGGGCTTGTGGGTTTTGACATTCACTCCTGAGCCGCACTGATCTTGTGTACCATTTGGTGGTTTTCCCAACACTGCTCTACCCTTTTTTTAGGGGGATCCTGGTTGTTGCTTCCCTCCATCATGGGTTAGGCCAGTTCTCCATGGTGAGATACCACCAAGGAGCCACCAATGGGGTACTTATAGAAATTCAGCATTGAATGTAATGAAATGTCTCTGGTGAGCTTCTTGGTCCCTGCCCTTTCCTTCCACTGTGCAGGTTGTAATTTTTTGGTGCATGTCTGATCAGTAAGCCCTGGTTTGATTCAGGTTCCCGGGGCTGCCACCTGGCAGTTGAGGAGTGACTAGTGGAGTTAATGATCTAACTGCTGGTTCCTGGTTGTCAGGGTTGTTCATGTTACCCTTACTGTTGTCTCTTATGTTTTGATGGCTTTCTTCCTTTCTGGTGGCTTTTCCTTTTGATTTGGGTGATCAAGTATCCCCTGCTCCCTGTATCTCCTAGTGACCAGGTTTTGGCCTCTGATTTGCAGTAGCTTATATTTTGAACTGCAAGGGCCTGATGTGACTTGATATGTGTAGAGCTATCCAGGCAACTAGCACCAGGGAGCCAGTGAGTGCCACACCAAAATGAGGGGTTTCATTACATTCAGTGTTAGATTTGTTTTATAAACTAAAACAAATTATCTCATTTTTAGTTTTACTATTGCAGTTACTGATCTCATCATTGAATGCATATTCTTATAGCACATATTACCAAAAATTGTGCAAATAAAATTTGTGTACTGACCTTGTAGAAACTTGATGTATCTAATGAATTTCCCTAATGTGCTTGTTTGTGTAGCACTAACATTATGATCCTTTATGTGGTGTGATTGTGCAATTATAGTACTTAGACATTTATAGTCATTAGGTAAATGCATGAACTAACAGTAGTATCCACTCTACAGCAGTATTCATCAGTTTATTGATAGTACAGTATATCACTGGACATAGCTTCAGAAGAGTATTTGAGGGAGTTGCTTTTCAGATATATATTTTATTAGAATATATGCACATTTGTATACCAATGATGCACCAATGCCTAGTCCACCTAAAGTACATTTTAATTGTTTCACTACCCATTATTTCCGAGTCATACTGAAGCAAAATGTTTAATACCTCTTAATTTTGCAAATTTATTGATAAAACATTATTCAAATATTAGTTTGTTCTTTCTACATTGATATAGGTGCATAATTTTTTCACATGTTTATATAAAATAATAAGATGTATGACTATAAATAACTGCAATGTTGAAATGTTTATAAACTTGTTTAAACTTGGTAATTTGTTTTGTTACTGTACTCATGAACATTATTTTCAAAACCTTATACTAGAATCAATGTTCTAACACTGTAATTAGGCTGACAAATAGAAAATGAGCACAATGTGAACAAATAACACATCACTGAACGAGTGGCTGAAGGTCGTGATTTACTTTGGACTAGACAGCAGGCACCAGCCCTGAAATTCAAGTGTTAATACAAAATTGTGAAAGCATCAGCACTGAAAAGAAGTTACTGTGGTATTTTAACAAACATCTAGTATAACATCTGAGTGCATATTATTATTATTACTAATGAATTTACTGTAGTCATGTATGTATAGTTAATGCTATGTTGCAGGGGTCGGTCATTCATGCGTGCCAACTGATAGTGGATGTTGCTTGGTATTGAATCAAGTATCAACATGATCAACATCATCATCCTGCTGTGATTGGCTGCTGGGAAAGTCCAGGGCATGTTGTGTAGCAGTGGTTTAGCTCCATTAGTGCTAGGACTCATTCATAGGTTGATCATCATCAAGTTGCATCAAGCAAATTTTTTAATGTGTGACTTCTAGGAATGGGTGTCGGAGTTGAGTACTGCAAGTACTTGTATTTTTAATTTGTTTACAGTGATATTGAAGTTGAAAATTGTATTAGCTGCCTTTCTATGACCATACATATGCAGTACTGTATCGCATTCCAAAAAGGCAAAATTCCGAGACTTGTTTATAGCCTCTGCATATTAAGTTGTAGCTCAGCACTTCATAAGCAGAGTGTATTTGTTGTTGATTATGTTGAGCCATACAGTTTATTCCTCAGTGACACTCGTCACAGTGATATGAATAGGAGTTAGCCTTAATAATGCCACCATAAATCATTTACATTTGAATGGATAGTCACTAGAAAATAAGCTTTTATGAAGAATCTGAAGAAACATATTTACTCCTGAGCATCTCGAGTCTCTGCTTTCTGCAGCCTAAGAATGTGGTAATATATTCGGGTAAACTGCTGCTGTCGTCATCCACCTCTTCCCTGTGGCCATAATCTTTCTTCCAATGGTAGGAGCCAATACGGGAAATATCACCATAGGGTCATAGATTTAGGATCTGAAAATGTATGAAAAAAAAGTCAAGTCATGACTGCCAACCACCAAAGTTATGTAGATTTAGTTCATTGATTCTCGTACAACTAAACCCTGAAATGAAGTGTCAGAAGAGGCAAGTATCTTTTTGCCTGTTGAATACATGCGCTGTACGGCCAGCATACGAGGGACTATTGTACCTTAATTACCTCAGTTGTCTGACTAAAGTACTGTATTCATACTGTCACAAATTAGGGATTAGTTAATGAGGCTCCAATGAGATTCTGGCTGGCATTATCATTCCCTTACTTCCAATGAGGAACTTTAAACCTTCAGTATTCATTGTTGTTGCCTTGGCCAGGGTTAGTTTTGTCTCCATTTACATTATTGGAAAAAAATATATTTAGAGAAATGTTGTTTTGGCTTTATTGGTGTTTACAAATATTAAGATTAATAATTGTAATAGTCCAAATTTATGGACTGGGATGAAAATGACAGATCTCGTGTATTTCCCAGAATCATGTGTTGGGTGTACTAGCTATGAGGTGATACTTCACAAAAACAATTTGACCAAACACATTTTGGTAACTGTTGATCTTTATACAAAGGTAATTAAGAGATCTTGCTCATATGCGACATGAAACAAAGGTTAGTATACCCACCCAGTATCAAGTTAGGTATTTTGTTTAACTGTAAAAAAAATATTGTTATTATTCATGATTAAGGTAATACTGTAATATGAATTACATAGCTCAGTAATTTTTTATATTGATTTGTTCATTTATTTCATGGGTAAATGTGAAGTGTTAAATTGTGGAACATCTGTATTGTCCAAGATGATTGCTATTGTCCGAGATGGTGGCTATTGTCCGGGATGGTGGCTATTTGATTTATGGACAATAAAAATATATATAATTCCATTGAACTCTTCTAGCTTTGTTGAAGAGATGAAGTGAAAAAAGATGGTTGAAACTTAACAAGCAGAGATACATCATAATTTGAGTGTCCCTTAAGTCCCGCCTTATGCCCCATCCATTTTGCTTGTCATTGAACAAATGACTTCTATGATTGTTGATATCCCCATCTGCTTATTTATGTCTGGATGGAACTGTTATATAGTGGTGAACATTTGTAAATAGTAAAATGAAAGGTATTATAAAAGGATTACAGTTTCTTATTGATTATTGCCATTGTTTTGATGTGGAGGTGCCATTCTTCATTACTGTTTTTGTCATGTTTGCAAAATTAGTTATAAATGATTTAATGTATAAATATTTGGAATAAATTTTTTAGTTGGATAGTGTAACATCAACTTTAAAGTTTAACATTAAAGCTTTTAAAAATATGTACAAGGAAACACAAGCATAGAAACCACAATGTAGATATTTGTCAAGTTGTTACAAACTAAGTGTGCTATGATTACAGTATATTAATACACTTAACATGTGCATTGTAAAGATGATAGACTGGTCAAATGTTTTACATTCTTCCATATAACATTCCTAATATTTTGTGCCATTACTGTAGGTCTTTTATATAATTTATTCTTATTCTATATCACAATATTAATGTAGTTATCAGTTTGTGGCATCTGTTAGCCTCTATTACATAAATGCCAAAATGTTTTCAACCAGTGGCTGTCAGATACATACATACTCCAGGTAAAATATTTATAATTATTAGTTAAGTAATGATAGAAGGCACCTTCATGATCCTAATATTCTGAACAACTTTGTTGTTAATTGATTTCAGATGAATGTGGATCATGCTGTTTGAATGTGCTTGGTAATGTTTTCGTCCTGGGACTTCTCTGGGTCATTTAGACCATCAGATTTGCTGTACAAGTGATGCCGGGAGTCTTAGGGTTTAGTTCCCACTTCATCCTACACCTGTAACTGAACACCTTTTTCTTTGCAAATAATTCTTTATTTGGTCTTGCTTTTTTATTATAGTATAATTTGATATAGATCACACGTCATTTCTATTGTTGCATTAAACAACAAGTATCACCTGTCATATTTTTGTCTCTGTGGGGTATATTAAGGGGAATCACTGCATGTAGAAACCATAATGAATATGATTGCAGTCTTAATATTTTTAGCAACCAAATATTTTGTTTATTAATAGCTTCGATTTTGGACTTTATATTGGAATTTGTTAAGTTCTGAAAAATAAAATAAAGTATTATCTAATATATTAGAAACAGATATACAAGTTTGAAATTGTCATCTTTCATGTTATTGATGTTATAGTCATCTTCATAGATTTTAGTGAGGGTTACCAGAAGTTCAGAGCAATGATAGTTTATAAACTTGCATTGTGACCTTCACCTTCTGTTAAAATATGAAACCTTTTGGGAGAATGATGATATGTCCTTACAAACTTAACAGAATGTCATGCCACATGTTTGTTAACAATACTTTTGAGCTTTTGTAATGAAAAGTTGAAACTTGAACTACAGTATATAACTTTTTCATAAAAAAAGTAGTTTTAGTTATTAAGCTTTTAAATATTCCAACTTGAATTTGACAAATTTAAGATATTTTATTTTCGATATTGGATGTAGTTGATAATCATGGTTGAATAATACCAGGAAAATTCTGCACAAGTTGTCTTGGATCAACATAATCTTTTTGTTAATGGCTCTAGTTTGATTTTTGTTTTGTAGGTAATGTCCACATACATGCTGTGTTTCTGGACCTTAAATGGTACTAATATTTCAAGGAACTTTCCAAACACATTGAAATATGATAAAAGTTACAGTAATAAGTTAGTCTTTTTGCAATGCCTCATCAAATCGGTTTGATATAAGTAAAGCTTTTCACTGTTCCGCACTTTATTTTTATTCTTGTCCTATTATTAAACAATAATTTTGCCCCTTTAGTTTGCTTTATGCATATATGTTTGTGGCCTAAAGATATTCACTGCTACAATACTAAAACCATAATGGTTATGCACTCAATAAGTTGTGTACAATTCCACTATGGCAACATTAATTTTCAAAGAACTCACTTTTTTGTCATTATTATGCCTTTTCTAAGATTGTTTTCTAATTATGCACATTTTTAAATCTGATGTCCAGATACAGTAGCATTTAAAAAACTCAATAATTTAAATGTCAAATATCAGATGTTTGAAGGTGGAAGTGGAGTTTTGGAGTGTAAAGCTCGAGAAACCTGGAAGAATACACTTGCCCTTTAGTAGTGTCATGCTAAGACTAGATACATAATTAAAAGCTAATTTGCTGTGTTTAATAAGTTTTTATTTATTTACCGGTAGATATATACAAGAAGGTACAATTGGTTGTGAAAGTACATACATTGGTGACTAAGTGGTACCTTCTTGTATTGCAAAAAAATAGTGTAAACTATTATTAGACTATAGAATTATCGATATGAGCTGAGTATGACTATATCCCAGATATTTGCCTATCTAAAAAGGAACCACAGTATGCTATCCATTATACTCACCAAGGTCTAAGATAGTACATCGACTGGAGGGAGTCTGGCCTGGATCTGGGTCCGAGTTCTCAATGCTGAACCTTGAATCTCGCCTCAAAACGTGCTCTGGTATTTAACTGGAAGCTAGAGAGCTAAGCTCCACCCACTAAGATAGCATGGTGCTACTTTACTGTCAAGCAATGACAAGACAGCTGCTCTTAGTTGGTAACATCCAATCATGCCAAAACATGTGACATACAACAATTATGGGATTAATAGATTAGCAAGTTGCAGTAACTGGCTGGATCATTAAATGTTGACCACAAGACCTGACCTATTGGGATCAAGGTGCAACTTTACACTGTAGGTGTGTGATCATTCGATAGACTCTGATGCCAAAATCTCACGACTCAATTTTGTATATCTATACTATGAGAGAGAATGTCTATCTGAAGTTGGAGGTCAAGGTTCAGCCTTAATTACTATATAGCCACAGGAGGAGGAAGATATCGGTAAATGAACAAGTGATGAGGCTACTCAAAAGAGGAGGCAGCCACACAAAGAATGATAAGGAAGATTGCAAGGAACTCGATAAAGGCTTCCAGGTAGTTTTCAAGACCGAACCGAAGTATTCTAAACACCGAGTTGTCCCTAAAATACTTCTAATGGAAAAAGTAATACCAGAAGAATGACTCATTGAAATAAAAGTAACAGCAGAGAAAGTAAAGAAACTTTGAGGAGCTGGATGTGATGAGAATTTTACAAGGTCTCGCAAGGGATCCTAAAAGAAATGGCTGCAGCATTGTGTGGACCTTTTGCTTTAGTCTTCAACTCCTTGTTAGAAATGGGGAAACGTCTTGACATTTGAGAAGTAGCAAATGTGGTACATATATACAAGAAAGGAAGAAGACAGGATCCAATGAACTGCAGACCGGTATCACTAATATGCATCCCCTGTAAGTTATTAGAGACAATAAAGGAAGGCTCATCAATCACTTGAAACATATCAATTTTGTTTCCAAGCATCAATATGGATGCAGCAAAAGAATATCCTGCTTGACCCACTAATATGTATTCTATGAACTATTCTAGTTCTATGACCAGATGACACAATCAAACACGAGAAGTGTGTGCTGGGTAGACTGCATTTTCCTGGATTGCCTAAAAGCTTTAACACTTCCTCACAAGCGACTCCTATGCAAAGTAGAAAAACAGGTTGGTGTATCGGGAAGTGTGCTAAAGTGGAAGAAGGAATACCTTTCAGGAAGGTAAGTGTCAAATTATGATGATAGCTATCACAATGGAGATGGAGGTAATGAGTGGAGTTCCTCAAGGGTCAGTACTGGGTTCCATCCTATTCCTAATAGATGTAAATAATCTAATAGGAATCAAGCTCATTCTTATCAATGTTTGCTGGCAATGCTAAGCCTAATGAGGCAAATCTGGACTGAGGAGAACTGCAATACCTTACAAGATGAACTAGACAATCTCCAGAGATGCTCTGAGAAATGGCTAGTAGACTAACCCTGACAAATGCAAAGTTATGAGGATAGGAAAGACCTCAAATATAGTACGGGATGAAGGGAAGGCAACATCAAATTTCTGCCAAAAATAAGAGAAAAGTTAAGCGAGGACATAAACTGGAGATCTAACACCAGAGGAGATCTATCACCAGAATAAGAACAGCAGCATATGCCATACTGACAAGCATCCTGTTATCCTTCAAGAAAATGGACAAAAATCCGTACTAAGCACTGTATACATTCTTTGTGAAACCCATTACTGAGAATGCTGCCTTGGGATCGAACCCTTACCCAAAGAAACAAACCAAACATAAAAAATCCAAAAGCGTGCAACATGACTCAGTCCTGAGCTACGAAGGAATCTGAAAATTTTTCCTACAATAGAGGAAAGATAGAAAAACAATGTTCAAATTAGAGAAAAGTAGAACATGAAACATAATTGGACACTGGAAATACAGATGAGTCACAGAGATGTCATGATTGTTTTTTATCTCATTTAGTTTTTCATTTGTAGGTTTTCCCCACATTATGCCTTCCTGGGGTTGACCTTCGGCTCTTTGATGCTTAGTCTTGATGTCGACACTGTTTACTAATGTTCCGCTCGATGACGTTCTCTCTTTCCTTAGACAGAAGGCGTCAGAGGGCCTTCTTCCTCTCCCGCTTCCCACTGACGTTTTCCTTGAACTCATTAGACTGTGTTGACTCTAACTCTTTCTCTTTCAACGGTAAATATTACACGGACGACGACAATCGACTTGAGAATGGTCCAGGACGGACCGAAACGTCGTCGTCCCTTCACATTCTAGTGTGTGGTCTGGTCATCATACTTTAGCCACGTTATTGTGACTCATCGCTTGCATTCGGCTCTTTGGTCCCGCCTCTAAACTGTCAATCAACTGGTGTACAAGTGTCTGAGGCTATTCGGTTCTATCAAATATATATTTGAAACTGTGTATGGAGTCTGTCTCCACCACAACACTTCCTAATGCATTCCATTTGTTAACTATGACACTGAAATAAATCTTTCTAGTGTCTCTGTGGATCATTTTGTTACTTGGTTTCCACCTGTGTTACTTTGTGCGAGTACTATCTGTATTAAATAATGTCTTTATCTACCTGTCAATTCCCCTGAGTATTTTGTATGTAGTAATCATGTCCCCCCCCCTAACACTTCCGTCTTCCTGGGATATGAAGTGCAATTAACGTAGCCTTTCCTCGTAATTCATACCTCGTAGTTCTGGAACTAGTCTAGTGGCATACCTGTAATCCTCCTCCAACTTCGTCTTGTGCGCCCCTCTTATTATTCCGCACATTTGATGGTGCTACATAACCTTCCCAGCTTGGTGCCTTCTTTGATAATTACTTCGTCTTGTGCTAGACAAGATATGGACTTCATGCTGGAGCCGCATATTCCAGAATTGGTCTGACAAATGACAAGATTCTAAATGATTCCTTACAAAAAATTCTAAAAATAGTTCTGATGTTAGCCAGCCTCACATACACCGCTGATGATATACTTTTTATGTGGGCTTCAGGAGACAGATTTAGTGTGATATTAACTATATCCTTCTCTCTGTCCGTTTCTTGGAGGACTTCGCCTCCCATTTGGTACCTTGTGTCTGGCCGCCTGCTCCCTCTGCCTAGCTTCATTACTTAACATTTATTTGATCTAAATTCTCGTAGTCATTTGTTGGACCATTCCTTAAGTTCGTCTAGGTCATCTTGTAGTCTCTTGTTATCTACCTCCGTCTTAATCTTTCTCATCATTTTCGCATTATCAGGAAACATTGAGAGGAACGAATCTATTCCCTATGGGAGATCGTTTACATATACAGTATCAGAAACAGGTAGGTTCGAAGACTTTGCCACATCCTTGCTTCCTTCACTCCCCACTGGTAATCTTAACTCTTCTAGTGGTGCCTGGTTGAATGTTCCTTCTTATTAGTGTTGCCCTGCGCCTCGCCATCCTATCCATAGAACACTGGTGTATCTGGGACTATGCAGCGGCAGACCCATATGGCAAAAGATGGTCTCATCTCTTGTAAGTCAGAGGGAAAGATTGCTAGACATGAAGCAGTCAATGACATCACTGAAAGAAGTTTGGCTACAGCCAAGTATTCAGCGCAAAGGGAACCTCAAATGTGCATCTACAGTGGCTGATACCTCACTACAGTACAGTACAGGTGATGGGGATGTCACATTCTGGCAGACCCAGAAAGCTAATTAGTACAGAAGCTTCGAACATTGTTAATGGTTCGTGCCAATAGGTTCCGAGACCCTGGGCGCCTGGTTTAAATGTGCATGTAAGTTCCTGAAGGAGGTGGTTGAGGAACTCATTAGGTGTAACACACACGAGTGATCAGTTTCCTGTTCCAGCACCTTAGTGTTGTGATCCAGAGAGGAAATGCTTGATGTATCTTGGGCACTGACCCCGCCTCTGCCCAGTTGGATGAGGTTTTCGAAGTTTTTTTTTTTTTTTTTTTGAGTTATGTGTATTTCTGTAAACTGTAACACAATGCACAATAATGTGTATTATAAAATAAAATTTGTATTATACCTATGCGAATAGTAGGTAATTGTAAGAAACGCTCTGCGTGTTAGTGTTTTGCATGAATGTGCCACTTAATCACCAAAATGTATATTTTCATAACTAATTGTACCTTGCATATAAATAAATAAAAATAAATAACATTGTAGTGTGATGTGAGAGAGTGAGTGTCAAGAACGAGGCGAGTGTGAGTCAGTGTGCTCTCTGGCGTCGTCGGAGGTGGTGTTGCCCGGGTCAGCTCCGAGCCTGCTGACTGTGGACCAGGTGCTGCCTGGGTCAGCTCCGAGCCTGCTGACTGTGGACCAGGTGTTGCCTGGGTCAGCTCCGAGCCTGCTGACTGTGGACCAGGTGTTGCCTGGGTCAGCTCCGAGCCTGCTGACTGTGGACCAGGTGTTGCCTGGGTCAGCTCCGAGCCTGCTGACTGTGGACCAGGTGCTGCCTGGGTCAGCTCCGAGCTCCGAGCTCCGAGCCTGCTGACTGTGGACCAGGTGCTGCCTGGGTCAGCTCCGAGCTCCGAGCTCCGAGCCTGCTGACTGTGGACCAGGTGCTGCCTGGGTCAGCTCCGAGCCTGCTGACTGTGGACCAGGTGTTGCCTGGGTCAGCTCCGAGCCTGCTGACTGTGGACCAGGTGTTGCCTGGGTCAGCTCCGAGCCTGCTGACTGTGGACCAGGTGTTGCCTGGGTCAGCTCCGAGCCTGCTGACTGTGGACCAGGTGTTGCCTGGGTCAGCTCCGAGCCTGCTGACTGTGGACCAGGTGTTGCCTGGGTCAGCTCCGAGCCTGCTGACTGTGGACCAGGTGTTGCCTGGGTCAGCTCCGAGCCTGCTGACTGTGGACCAGGTGCTGCCTGGGTCAGCTCCGAGCCTGCTGACTGTGGACCAGGTGTTGCCTGGGTCAGCTCCGAGCCTGCTGACTGTGGACCAGGTGTTGCCTGGGTCAGCTCCGAGCCTGCTGACTGTGGACCAGGTGCTGCCTGGGTCAGCTCCGAGCCTGCTGACTGTGGACCAGGTGTTGCCCGGGTCAGCTCCGAGCCTGCTGACTGTGGACCAGGTGTTGCCCGGGTCAGCTCCGAGCCTGCTGACTGTGGACCAGGATTGCGTATCCACCATGTGAGTTGTGTCCTTGCAACTGGTTGAGAACCAATATAACGGTTACTTCGTACAAGACAAGTTTCGACTTCACATTTTGAACTCTAACCTAACCTAACCTAACCTAACCTAACCTAACCTAGGGATATACATTCCACTATACTGGGATCCACGCTGACATTACACTATACTGACACTACACTACCATTACAGTACACTGAGGGTCTACGCTACCATTACTCCACTACTCCACCATCCTGGTGGACCAGAGGGGAGGGTTCTGGTGGACCAGAGGGGAGGGGGCTGGTGGACCAGAGGGGAGGGGGCTGGTGGACCAGAGGGGAGGGGGCTGGTGGCCCAGAGGGGAGGGGGCTGGTGGACCAGAGGGGAGGGGGCTGGTGGACCAGAGGGGAGGGGGCTGGTGGACCAGAGGGGAGGGGGCTGGTGGACCAGAGGGGAGGGGGCTGGTGGACCAGAGGGGAGGGTGCTGGTGGACCAGAGGGGAGGGTGCTGGTGGACCAGAGGGGAGGGTGCTGGTGGACCAGAGGGAAGGGGCCTGGTGGACCAGAGGGGAGGGGGCTGGTGGACCAGAGGGGAGGGTGCTGGTGGACCAGAGGGGAGGGGGCTGGTGGACCAGAGGGGAGGGGGCTGGTGGACCAGAGGGGAGGGGGCTGGTGGACCAGAGGGGGGGAGAGGGGGCTGGTGGGAGGGGGCTGGTGGACCAGAGGGGAGGGTGCTGGTGGACCAGAGGGGAGGGTGCTGGTGGACCAGAGGGGAGGGTGCTGGTGGACCAGAGGGGAGGGTGCTGGTGTACAGAGGGGAGGGTGCTGGTGGACCAGAGGGGAGGGGGCTGGTGGAGGGGAGGGAGGACACCCCCAGGGACGCTCGGTGATGGCTGGCAGCACCAGCTGACTGACACATGGTGCGGGTGGAGGATGACGCCGCCACCATCACACTCGCATTCCCTCTTGTAAGTGGGCGTGGGCGGCCCACCCACCCTCGTGTGGCCCCACACTACAGATGTGGGCAGGTGGGCTGCCCTCGTGTGGCCCCACACTACAGATGTGGGCAGGTGGGCTGCCCTCCTGTGGCCCCACACTACAGATGTGGGCAGGTGGATTGCCCTCCTGCGGCCCCACACTACACATGTGGAGCAGGTGGGCTGCCCTCCTGTGGCCCCACACTACAGATGTGGGCAGGTGGACTGCCCTGTGGCCCCACACTACAGATGTGGGCAGGTGGGCTGCCCTCCTGTGGCCCCACACTACAGATGTGGGGCAGGTGGGCTGCCCTCCTGTGGCCCCACACTACAGATGGGGCCCCACACTTTGTCATGGGTTCATATCCTGGCCGGGGAGGATTTACTGGGCGCAAATCCTTAACTGTAGCCTCTGTTTAACTCAACAGTAAAATGAGTACTTGGTTGTAAAAACGATTCTTCGCGGCGGGGATCGTATTCCACGCGTACTAGTGGCTGTGCAAGACTGTAACAACTCTTGTATATATATGAAATAAAAAAGATGTGGGCAGGTGGGCTGCCCTCCTGTGGCCCCACACTACATGAAGAGCTAGAGCTCACTCTCCCGTAGTCACTGATGCATTGTATGTACTAGCTCTATCTATAAATTCATCAATATTTGTATCACCCCTTGTATGTATGTACTTTACCTGAATAAACATTTGAATTTTTAGAATTTTTTGTAAGCACGACTACTACCACACCCACTATCACTACCACCACAACCTATCACCACACCCCACCACCATCACCACACCCCACCACCACCACCACTACCCATCACAACGCAACACCACCATCACTACTACCACAACCATCACTACTGCCCAAAACTGTAACAAGAGACACTACACAGTGGAATAGCAACAGCTGGAGCATGTGGGTGTAGGTGGCGCGTATCTTGGGGCCCTACACAGTGAACACTCACACCTCAGGCAGGCGGTAACCAAGGGCCAGGTCAACTCTGGTCAACAGTGCACAAAGGTCACCAAATTGTCAGGTATGTGGCGGTCTTGCTAATCTACAAGGATTACTACATCTACATCAAAGGTTGCCAAAGATCTCATATCGAAGATCTCATTTCAGCTATATACAAGATAAAGTTCAGACTGAGGATCTATCATGAGAGGATTTCGGGGCTTAGCGTCCCCGCGGCCCGGTCCTCGACCAGGCCTACACATTCCTAGGAAGCAGCCCGTAGCAGCAGTCAAACTCCCAGGTACAAATTTACTGCTAGGTAACAAGGGCATCAGGGTTAAAGAAACTCTGCCCATTTGTTTCCGCCGCCTCCGGGGATTGAACCCGTAACCTCAGGAGTACGAATCCGAAGCGATCTCCACTCAACTGTCAGGCCAGGATAGAGAGAGAAACGGTGAGAAGAGTGTGTGTGTGCAGCCCGTCCTCATAAACAAAGGCCCAAGTCTATTCTATGCACTCGCGAACCCCCTGTTTATAAATGAAAAACGGTTTACACACAACCCGTCCTCAGATCAAGTCCATTCCATCCAGCGGTCGACCCCAAAGACGCATTTATCAATTTTAACACGATGTTCATTCAAAACAGGAATTTTCGCAAATGTAAATTAATATTTTATATTAGCATACTGTGCATATTTAGGCATTGGTTTGGTTAGGTTAATATATAAAAATATTAATTTATATCTGAGGAAATTCCTATATTGAATGAACAGTATGTTAAAATTGACGAATGCGTCTTTGGGGTCGACCGCTGGATGGAATGGACTTGGTCTGAGAACGGGTTGGGGTGTGTGAGTCCTCAAGGTCGAGTGGCATTCACTGTGGAAGTACGGCTCTCCTGTATTCAGCACCTTACATCATTAAATTCAAATTGCCTATATTAGGGAACCATAATTAGGGATTATCCTTCTAAAGTGCTAAATAAAGTAATACTTTCAATTATCATCCCCTTGTGTACTCGACCCGTTCTTGTTATAATACGTTGCATTTTGACGTATACTTTACCCGAGACCAAAACCTGATGTTCAAGAAAATAGCGGCTCGCGAAATTGACATAAATGAACCTCTTTCTGTTCATCGTTCCTCAGGTTGGTTAGATAAGGGCACTTTAGTACAACAGTTTATTGACGTTGGAGGGAGGGAATTATCAAGGGAAAGCGCCAAGCCATTACGAGTATATAGTACTGACGTTGGAATGCTGGCAAAAACAGGCTGGTGTATTGGTGGTACCTGCTGATGTTTCTAGGCTTACCGTTCTCTTTCACCTCATTACCTACTGCTTTTACTTTCCCCTTGAGTCAGTCGCCTTGTCAAGGTGGCGTCAGCACTAGGGAGTCTAGCACTGCTCCGTGTAGTCTGTATGTAGATCAGACCACACACTAGAAAGTGAAGGGACGACGACGAAGAGAAGACTGTATAATAAACACAAGTGGTCACCATTATTCCAGTGCCAGGACACGATCCTTTTAACATTTATTCATTGTTTACACCTTGTTTTGGATCCCCAGTACCAACCACCACCAGTACCCACCACCACCAGTACCCACCACCAGTACCCACCACCACCAGTACCCACCACCAGTACCCACCACCACCAGTACCCACCACCACCAGTACCCACCACCACAATCATCACCACTACCACATCATCACTAGTACCCACCACCACCACCACACCACCACTACCTACCATCATCACAGTAAATGAGTACCATATTCTGGAGATACTGTATGTGTTGCAGCAACTCTCACTACAATTACAACATTTAAACATCTTTCACGTGTTTGTTTTATCTTAGTTGTAGATATACGAGACGTTATGTAAGCAATGAAAGTATCCAGGACAATGATTGGGTTATTAATGTTGTTGGTGACGGTGACCCGGAGCTGGAGCCTGACCTGGCCTGGGGCCCCCACCTCCGGCCCGCTCTCCCAGCCAATCCACACCAATCATTATATTTTTAGTGTACACAATTTTTTTACGAATAATAAAAGCAAGGGTGGAAATAAAAGTGAGCAAAATAATATGTACGAAGCAAGCAAAAATATTGTCAATGTAAGAGTGGAAAATGCTATAGTAATACGACATGATTCAGTGAATTCCCAAAATGACTCAATGGAGTGGAGCACCGTCGAGGGCGGCCTCGGAGCCTCCCGCCCACAACGCCCACAACGCCCACACAACACAAGGTCATTGCCGAATACAAGAACATACTTGGAGATGGAGAAGCGATGGCCTTCTTCCGCCAGCAGTAAAACGTGGAGAAATAACCTCTACGAAAACAGGAAGAACATAAATAATGGTCCCTCTGGCTCGCCGCCCAAGCTGCCTACCAACACTCGCAGACAACAGATCAACCATACCAACACACGTGAGTAATATTATCGTATTGTATTTATGGTTAGTATATCACTCTTCTTCCATAGGATGGCAGATAATTAGCTGCACTAATTACACATTTACACTCCCGCCAAGACAGTAAAGAACACGAGAACTTCTGCAAACTGTAAAACGCTGCCTCAAACGATGAGTCACAATAACGTGGCTGAAGATATGATGGTCCGTCCTGGACCATTATCAACTCCTATGTGTAGACACAGGACTTGATAATGGTCCAGGACGGACCGAAACATCCTCGTTTCTTCATCGTCTGATGTGTGGTTTGGTCATCAAGCTGCTTCAAATCAACTCCAATATTGCCAATATAATCTTTGAGGTGTTTACACAGAAGGTACAATGGGTTGATGAGATTACATAACAGTGGTATTTTTACATTCTTGCAAAGCCACTAACACGTATAGCGTTTCAGGCAAGGCCTTAATTTAACATATCAGGTAAGATGAATGGGTACATTGTAAGCAAGGTTTTATATCAACAAAGAACTGCAATATAAATTGACAGACGTGATTACACTGATGAAGATATATGTCTTAAGTACTAATATTGGGGAAGTGGGTAGTACAAGATACAGTGTGAGTTTGAAACACAAAGTAGGAAACTATGAGGATGAAATTAGAAACGTTTTGCTTATACTTTTGAATAAAGCATAAGTTGGACAATTTCTTAATTCGTCAGGGAGTGAGTTCTATAGAATAGATCCTTTTGTTTGCATGGAGCGTTGTACAGATTTAGTCTGACTGGGGATATCAAAGAGTTATTTATTTCTGGTGTGATGTTCATGGGTTATATTACATCTATCAAGGAAAAGTTTCAGATCAAAATTAGCATTTAGGAACAGGGTTTTGTACATGTAAATAGCAGAGAATGTGTGGAGTGAATGTATGTTTAGCATGATACAAGGCTTGTGACTTGAAGTAGTCCCATAAACTGATATGAAATCCTATTGTGTCTGGCTTTATAATATCGAACACAGATACAAATGTTCTGCACACGCAAGCTAGATTAAAGACTTGTCCGAAACGCTATGCGTGATAGTGGCTTTGCAAGAATGTTAAAATATCACTTTAATGTAATCTCACCAACCTATTGTACCTTCTTGTAAATAAAACATTATTATTATTTTATTTTTATTATTATTATTATTATTATTATTATTATTATTATTATTATTATTATTATTATTATTATTATTATTATTATTATTATTATGTATATTAATTCTGAGTAATTTTAGAATAAACAACAACGCGTTCTCTTAAGTAATACATTACGCATTCTTTGGTATGCAAATTTGAGCATGCTATTTTAATCAAGTTAAGCTGAGGCTCTAAAATCTTGTGATAACAGACGTAGTTGAATGGGGAACAATTAAGGGTTGACAAATGTTAATCTTCTAGTTTGATAAGCTGTTCACTTGAGATAGTTAAGGAAGTCCCAGCTGTGTCTGGGTACAAGTGACAGGATGAACAACCCAGCGGGTTTTCTTCCTATTGGGGAGTGTTATACATGCTGCTATGGCGGTGTGTCCACTCACAGAATGAGTGGTGCTTCCCAATACTGTCACTATGGTGGTGTGTCCACTCATAGAATGAGAGGTGCTTCCCAATACTGTCACTATGGCGGTGTGTCCACTCATAGAATGAGAGGTGCTTCCCAATACTGTCACTATGGCGGTGTGTCCACTCACAGGATGACAGGTGCCTCCCAATAATGTCACTATGGCGGTGTGTCCACTCATAGAATGAGAGGTGCTTCCCAATACTGTCACTATTTATTTATTTATTTATTTATGCATATACAAGAATGTACATAAGGAATGTGAGGATACAAATATGGTAATTACAGTCTTGTAAAGCCACTAGCACGCGCAGCGTTTCGGGCAGAAACGCTGCCGTTTCGGACAGAAACGTTTCGGGCAGAAACGCAGAAACTATGGCGGTGTTTCCACTCATAGAATGAGAGGTGCTTCCCAATACTGTCACTATGGCGGTGTGTCCACTCACAGGATGAGTGATGCTGTCCAATACTGTCACTATGGCGGTGTGTTCACTCACAGGATGAGTGATGCTGTCCAATACTGTCACTATGGCGGTGTGTTCACTCACAGGATGAGTGACGCTGCCCAATACTGTCACTATGGCGGTGTGTCCACTCACAGGATGAGTGACGCTGTCCAATACTGTCACTATGGCGGTGTGTCCACTCACAGGATGAGTGACGCTGCCCAATAAACTCGCCCCTCGGGGCAAAATTTAATTAATTACAGGGGGGGGGGGCGCAACGACGTATTTGAGAGAGCAGACAAGGGGGGGGGGGGAGTAATGAGGTAATTGAGAGAGGGTAATAAAGGGGCGTGCTAATGGCATGGTTGAGGACAGGAAGAGTCACAGGGGTAAGGACATAGTTGAGAGGGAGGACATCCAGAGTAAGGACTAAGTTGATGGGGGGAGACAAAGGGGGTGAAGACGTGTTTGAGGGGTGAGACAAGGGGAGGGGGGAGGGGGGGGGGAGGTAGGAATGTAGGACACACTTGTGCTGCTGACGACACCAACACCCTCTGGCTCTCCCCTCACACACTCTGGCTCTCCCCTCACACTCTGGCTCCCCCCTCACACACTCTGGCTCTCCCCTCACACACTCTGGCTCTCCCCTCACACACTCTGGCTCTCCCCTCACACACTCTGGCTCTCCCCTCACACACTCTGGCTCTCCCCTCACACACTCTGGCTCTCCCCTCACACTCTGGCTCTCCCCTCACACTCTGGCTCCCCCCTCACACACTCTGGCTCTCCCCTCACACATTCTGGCTCTCCCCACACACACTCTGGCTCTCCCCTCACACTGGCTCTCCCCTCACACTCTGGCTCTCCCCTCACACTCTCTGGCTCTCCCCTCACACTCTCTGGCTCTCCCCTCACACTCTGGCTCTCCCCTCACACTCTGGCTCTCCCCTCACACACTCTGGCTCTCCCCTCACACTGGCTCTCCCCTCACACACTCTGGCTCTCCCCTCACACTCTGGCTCTCCCCTCACACTGGCTTTCCCCTCACACACTCTGGCTCTCCCCTCACACTCTGGCTCTCCCCTCACACACTCTGGCTCTCCCCTCACACTCTGGCTCTCCACTCACCCTGGGTACCCAAGTGTGCTTTGGGTATACACTGAGAGGTGTGCCCTGGGTATATACGTAGGGGAGTAGATGGGCATATATATAAAGGGGGTGTATCCTGCGTATACACAGGGATGTGTAGCCTGCATGCAGGTTGAAGAGTGGGGGAACGATAATGTCAAGTAAAATGTGGGTAAGAATGATAATATGGGTGTGATGGGAAGGAGAGGGTAAGAGGGAGAGAAGTGGTGGAACCTTACACAAGAGGTTCCTCTACACTAGGTAATGGGACCCATCTTGATATTGATATACATCAACTGCCTTACAGAGGAAATAGCCCCCCCCCCCTATAATTCTCAGCAATGGTGAGGACAATTAGATACAAAGGTGACATTACTAAAATAGTGTATGTCACATACTACAAAGAAACAAATATCAGCGTAACTTTCATAAACATATTCTTCCCGGCTTGGCGCCTTCTTTTGATAATTACTTACTTCATAACCCTAGACAAAAAGGCCTTCACAACACTATATACAACATATGTAAGACTAGTGGCAGAGAGGAGATGCATTACCCCGACCAAGTGATGGGGAACCCTGACACAAGGACATTATGCAAAATGATGGGGAACCCTGACACAAGGACATCATGCAAAGTGATGGGGAACCCTGACACAAGGACATCATGCAAAGTGATGGGGAACCCTGACACAAGGACATCATGCAAAGTGATGGGGAACCCTGACACAAGGACATCATGCAAAGTGATGGGGAACCCTGACACAAGGACATCATGCAAAGTGATGGGGAACCCTGACACAAGGACATCATGCAAAGTGATGGGGAACCCTGACACAAGGACATCATGCAAAGTGATGGGGAACCCTGACACAAGGACATCATGCAAAGTGATGGGGAACCCTGACACAAGGACATCATGCAAAGTGATGGGGAACCCTGACACAAGGACATCATGCAAAGTGATGGGGAACCCTGACACAAGGACATCATGCAAAGTGATGGGGAACCCTGACACAAGGACATTATGCAAAATGATGGGGAAGATTGTGAGAAAAAATAAATGAAAATCTGGAGAGAGAAAACTTTATAACCCATCACCCATGGGTTCAGGGATGGCAAATATTGTTTCACAAGATTAATAGAACTCTATGACCAGGTGACAACAATCAGGCAAGACAGAGAAGGGTGGCAGACTGCATATTTTTGGATTGCTAAAAAGTCTGACGCAGCACCCTATAGGAAACTAGTGTATAAGCTGGAGATACAGGTAGGAGTAAAAGGGAAGGTTCTGCAATGGATAAGAGAGTACTTAAGAAGGCACAATTTGGATATTTATAAATATTTTAGAAAATCGAAAATAGTGAAAAATATTTAGGAAAATCTGCTCGCTTTTGACAACACCAAGATGTAGTTATTATAAATACTTTATTATGTAGGACATTGGTGCAACTGGTCTATAATTCTTAGTCAATGCTTTGCTCCCTCACTTTTGTAGTGGAGCTATGTTCCCTGATTGAAGTGCATTTAGTATATTCCCCAGTGTCAAGCTCTTCCTCCATATTATACTGAGTGCCAGTGTATAGAGGTGTGTAATGTGTGTATATACAGGTGTGTAATATGTGTATACAGGTATGTAATGTGTGTATACAGGTGTGTAATGTGTGTATACAGGTGTGTAATGTGTATATACAGGTGGGGAGTGGGAGGAAGGGCGGCAGTACCGCGCCCTGGACCCCAGACGCCCCAAGGTCCGCAGGCAGCTACTGAGGCAGCACAACCACTTCCGCTCCAGTGTCACGCCCCCGGCTGCTGACATGTTGGCTCTGGTGAGTACTGTGATGACACTTCCTGAGTACTGTGATGACACCTGGTAAATACTGTTCAAACCTCATGAGTACTGTGATAAGACCTAGTGAATACTGTGATGAGATCTTAATACTGTGTTGAGACTTCGTGATTACTGAGTAGTTGAATTTAATATTCTGTATATCTCATAATCTGTGTGATTCCTGGTGGATTGATACTTCTTCTTGAGGTTAGGCTTATATAGTTGTTAAGCCTTTGTTTGCTACCTTTGTCATCCATCTAGTTCTTTTACGTATTCTTCGAAATCATTAGAATGATTTCTAATCTCCGAGAATGCTGGTTTCGATAATGGTAATCCAGTCCTAAATGATACTCCCCGGTGCTCAAGTATCCTAATCTAGTTCCGAATGGAACTCCGATGTATCCAGCATTACAGTTGGAACAATTATACATATATACGATACTAGAGCGCAGGGGGGTAGGCACTTAATCTTTAAATTTCATCGTTTATTATATCGTTTTTCTCCAGGTGTTCTACCCATTTAGTTTTAATTTGCCTTGGCTTATTAGGCAAATCGGGCCTTGCATAGTAGCCCGAGAAGTGCGTTCTGGCTACTAGGTACGACATATATATATATATATATATATATATATATATATATATATATATATATATATATATATATATATATATATATATATATATATATATATATATATGTTCCCCCCTCTCCTTATTCTTCACTACCCCTCTCTCTAGCAATTTTGTTGGTTTGCCTTTTTGTACCATTTTACAGGCCTGCCTACCCCTATCACTTTGTATAAAAAAGAATTGATTTCTTCTTCGTTTCTGCTCTCATTTAGACGTTTTGCCTCTACGAGGTTTAGTTTCAGCTTCTCCCTATCTTCTTTTGAAAGATCTCGTCTTAACGACCACACTTTCCCATCCTCATCACTTTGTAATTTTCTAGCATTTCTTAGTACTTCTTCCATCTGTTTGGCACCGTTTAGGGTGATCCTCAAAGGTCGATCTTTCCCTTTTACGTACCTGCTTATTCTTCTGTAGTCGCACACATTCTCTATGGTAGTAAGACCTTCCACGAGGCCAACAATTTTATCTACTTTTTTTGCTTTCTTCTACAGCTCTTTCTGACCTAGATGCTATCTCCTTTTCTTTGCAAACAAAAATTATCAGGGACTTACTCCGATCAATTGTTAGATGCCAATTCATTTCTCACTTCCAGCCCAATGTTTGTTTTATCCTGGTTGCTGCAGTGTTTGGTTTCCTTTACTGTTTCTTCAATTTTTTCCTTCTCCTTGGCCACTTGTGCATAGGTGAGTTGCATATCTTTCTTGCACTGTTATATTCCCTGTGTAACTTCCTCCATCTGTAATGACAAAAGCCGTTTTTCTTGTTGGATTTCCTTACCTAACCTATTGTAGTCATTTATGTTTAAATTTGCTTTAACTTCTTGCAAAGCTATTTTTAAGAGTTTATTTTCCTCTTCCATGGCTTTGCAATTTGTTTCCAATTGATTTTTGTCCTTGCACAAGTCTTTCACTAAACCCTCACGACCTAAAACTTTGCTACTCAAATGGTCATTACTTTCTTTCAATTTACTGATTATTTTACATGAGAGTTCACTATAATATCTAATTTTGCCATCTTGTTTTGTAGACTGCTTATATCAATGCTTTCTTCATCGAATCCCCCAAAATCAAGCTCTGTTTTGTTTTCCTCTTGCCGGCAGTCATCTTCAATGTCGTTGTCTGCACTGTATGCACTAGGGCAACTTTTTCTCATCCAATTTTTTCACTTCCCTTAGCACATTCGTATTATCTCAATTATTTTCAAAAGCACTACACATTTATGTTCCTTGGGACACCACTCGCTATCATCAACCTGTACTACAATACTTGGGATTGTTGAAATAATGAATATAGTTGATTGTTGAAAGTGTGGGTTTTATTCTATGTTATTATGTCTGTGAGAAGACTTTACCATTACTACTACTCATAATAATTCATTGTGTCGGGAGACAGGCAACCATGCAGTGTCCATATACATGTTAGGTCTCCACATGTCGAATTACTGACCATTCCTAAACTTCAACAATTAACGCCTGGGTACCAATTTATTGGTAGGTGAATAGGGACATTAAACAGGAAACGCACCCAATCATTTCAGTCCCACCCGGCATTTGAACCTAGAATTTCCGATTGCGAGTCAAGAGCGAACCCGACTGTACTACAGGGATCCTTATCTTCATGCACACACAGACCCACAGGCCTACATTATATTTAATAAAAACTTCCTCCAAATGTTGTGAACTAAGGTGGAGTAGTGTTGTGTGTGGTGTTGTCAGGGGTGGTACGAGAGAGCAGCAGCGCAGGCGCAGGCGTGGGCAGAGCAGTGTGACCCCCACACCCAGACTGACCACCCCAGTGTCAGGTGGACCTCCCGCTATGGCGCCTGTGGGCAGAACGTCCTCATCTCCACCACCAAGAGGCGATGGTTTGTTTACGTTTCTGTATAACCCACAGTTTGTTACAGATACGCAGTCTTCGATATACTTATTTAAATATTAAATGGCTCCAATCAACAGTTAGCAAAACTAATACTGTTCTGCATTGACAAACTCATCTATATAGGCTTATAGCTTTACTTTAACAACAAATATGAATATACTTACATATAGGGCTGCATTGAAATTACTAAGGCCAATAGAAGAAGCCCAATATATAATATATATATATATATATATATATATATATATATATATATATATATATATATATATATATATATATATATATATATATATATATGTCGTACCTAGTAGCCAGAACGCACTTCTCAGCCTACTATGCAAGGCCCGATTTGCCTAATAAGCCAAGTTTTCATGAATTAATGTTTTTTCGACTACCTAACCTACCTAACCTAACCTAACCTACCTTTCTCGGCTACCTAACCTATAAAGATAGGTTAGGTTAGGTTAGGTAGGGTTGGTTAGGTTCGGACATATATCTACGTTAATTTTAACTACAATGAAACAAAGTTGACCTCATACATAATGAAATGGGTAGCTTTATCATTTCATAGGAAAAAAATTTGAGAAAATATATTTATTCAGGAAAACTTGGCTTATTAGGCAAATCGGGCCTTGCATAGTAGGCTGAGAAGTGCGTTCTGGCTACTAGGTACGACATATATATATATATATATATATATATATATATATATATATATATATATATATATATATATATATATATATATATATATATATATATATATATATATATATTTATATATATATATATATATATATATATATATATATATATATATATATATATATATATATATATATATATATATATATATATATATATATATATATGCTTTCTTTGATGCTCTACCTTCCTTCAAACGGCCTTTTCGCGCCTTTGAATCTTCCCTTCTTGCCGCCAAGCGTCGAAAGAACCAGCTCAGGTTTCTTAAAGACTGTCTTGCTGAGCAAGTTCTCCCTCATTCTTTATTTCACTTTCTCCAGTTCAACACTTCGGGATCTCCTTTCCCTGAACATGCCCGCCTTCTTCTTCAAGAACTTATTCATGCCACCTCCTTGCAAGTTGACGAGGCTTTTCTTGCTGTTCGTCAACAGCAACGCTTTCTGTCCTCTTCTCTTCCCAGTGATCTATGCAATATCATTTTTCCAATTGCATTTGACACTGCTCACGTCTCCTCTTCCCACCACTCCTCCACACTACACAACAAACTTCCACGCCTGATCTCCAACAGTCCTTGGGCCAAATACTCTCTCTCTGACTGTGTTACCAACCTTTCGTCCTACTCTCTTTCTAAGCACCAGCAAGAACTTCTTGGTCTTGGTCTGTCTTTTGCTACTTCCCCTGGCCCACGCTGTGGCATTGATCTCATTAGTTCCTTTGACAGGTTTGTCAATTCTAACTCTAGTACTCTTTCGGACCTGTCTGCCTTTAGAGGGGCCCTTATCCCCGTTCTTGACAGCTTGTTTTCTAAAAATAACCACCTTCCTCGTCGCTTCCAGCTTGCCCTTGCCTCCCTGAAATCTAACAACTCTATTCTTATCCTTCCTTCAGACAAAAGCAATTCGGTGGTTGTCCTTGACCGTGAGGACTACCTCCGAAAAGCAGATGTCTTGCTCTCTGACTCTCACACTTATGCTCCTCTGACTTCTAACCCTTTGGATCGCCTCAAAACTTCCTTTAACCGCAAACTAAGACAGCTCTCTAGTCTTTGCCCTCCTGACTTTGATCTCATTAAACGTTTCCGTGTCATCTGCCCTTCTCTTCCTTATTTCTATGGTCTTCCTAAGACTCATAAACCTGGTGTTCCTCTTCGTCCTATCATTTCTTCACGAGGCTCTGTCAGCTATCCTCTTGCCTCCTGGCTCGCTAAAACTCTGACACCTTACCTTGGCACTTTTTCCCCTGCCCACCTTCGTCACTCTCAGGACTTCATAGAAAGACTGCGCCTGCAACCCTCTTGTAAGATGCTTAGTCTTGATGTCGACTCTCTGTTCACTAATGTTCCGCTCGATGACGTTCTCTCTTTCCTCAGACAGAAGGCGTCAGAGGGTCTCCTTCCTCTCCCACTTCCCACTGACGTTTTCCTCGATCTCATTAGACTCTGTGTTGAATCTAACTCTTTTTCTTTCAACGGTAAATATTACACTCAAACTTTCGGTGTCGCTATGGGTTCCCCTCTCTCCCCTGTTCTTGCTAATTTCTACATGGAATACTTCGAAACTGTTCTTCTTCCTTCTATTGATACTCGTCCCTCTCTCTGGCTTCGCTATGTTGATGACATTTTTGCTTTATGGCCTCATGACCTTAATCTTTTCCGGCCTTTCCTCGCCTCTCTTAACAATCTGGCTCCTTCTATCCATTTCAAAGTTGAGTGGGAATCTAATTCCCTCCTTCCTTTTCTTGATGTTCATGTTCACAGCTCTGTGTCTGGGTTCTCTTTCTCTGTCTACCGTAAACCCATGCATAGTGGCATGTACATTCACTTCTTTTCCTACCATCCTCTTTCTGTTAAGAAAAGTGTCCTCGTGTCTCTCTTCCTCCGCGCTCTACGCATCAGCGACCCTCAGTTTCTTGATTCTGAAATTGCCTTTATCTACAAATCTTTCTCTCGCCTTGGTTATCCTTTGCATTTCATCAACTGTGCCCACTCTCAAGCTAAACGAAATTTCTTTCATCCTAAACCTGCTTCCAACACTAGTAGCACTGTACTATGCCTTCCCTTCATATCTGAACTCAAAACTTTTACCAATACCTTTCGTCCTCTTGACATTAAACTCGCCTTTCGACAAACTAACACACTTCGTAGCAATCTAGTTCACACTGCTCCTCCTGCTTCTAATGCTGCTGGTGTCTACTCTATTTCCTGTTCATCTTGTCCTCTCCAATACTTTGGCGAAACTGGCCGTACACTGAATGACAGACTTAAAGAACACAAGAGAAGTGTTATGTCTGCAGACACTAACAATGCTCTCTTCTGCCATGTGAGGGATTCTAATCATCCCATTGATTGGTCTTCCTCCAAAATAATCTTTCCTGCCTCTACTCTACACAGACGCCGTCTTGTAGAATCGGCTCTTATTAACAATGTACCCAACATGAACTTGAGTCCTGGCTTTGTTGCTGTGGACTCTTCCCTTTCACAGTATATACTCAAATGCTCTAATCTTTCTAACAAACGTGACTTAACATAAGCTTTCCCCCTTCCATTTCTTTCTTTCTCTTTCCCTTTCTTTCTCTCTTCTCCCTTTTTCTGTTCATTGTCTTCTACGCTCCCTTGCTATCCTCTTCTTATTCCTATTACTATCTCCTTCGGTGGTTATAATAGGAGCTGCCTCGTATGGGCCAATAGGCCTGCTGCAGTTCTCATTACTACTATCCCCTACACCTGACTTTCCTCCTCAGCTCTCTCTTGCCTATTTAATGCCTGTCCCTACCTGTCCTCATCACAATCGACTTGAGAATGGTCCAGGACGGACCGAAACGTCGTCGTCCCTTCAATTTCTAGTGTGTGGTCTGGTCAATATATATATATTTATATATATATATATATATAAAATAAAATAAATAAAAAGAAATATATATATAAATATATATATATATTTTTTTTTTATATATATATATATATATATATATATATATATATATATATATATATATATATATATATATATATATATATATATATATATATATATATATATATATATATATATATATATATATATATACAGTATATATATATATATTTAACTATTTATTTATATACAAAAAGGTACATTGGGTTTATGAGAGTACAGAGACTTGAAGTTTTACATTGTTGTAAAGCCACTAGCATGCATTGCGTTTCGGGCAGATCCTTAATCTAACATATAATTTTAAGAAGGTAATTTCTAGCAAAGTTTTAAAAAAATGGTTACAGGTACAGTGTAGGAAAGTATAGAAATACATTGTAAGAGAGTATAAAAATATATTGTAAGATTTATTGTATTGTAAGAAGGTATAAAAATACATTGTAAGAAAGTATAAAAATATATTGTAAGAAGGTATAAAAATGCATTGTAAAAAAGTATAAAAAAATACATTGTATAAGAAATTTGACAGAAAAAAAGTATAAAAAAATACATTGTATAAGAAATTTGACAGAAAAAAAGTAGGTACATTAAAGTAAATTTAAGGGTTATCCACAGGTACATTTTAGCATAATTTGAGGATTATTACAAGATATAATGTAGCAAACTATGTGTAAAACATGATATAAGATAACAGCAATGACTACAATGGTAAAGTTGTATGGCACAGGTACATGTTTTGGGGAATTGGGTTGCACCAGATACAGTGTGAGTTTCAAGCACAAGGTAGGAAACTATGAAGATGAAATTATGTACTTTTTTGTTTTATTTTTAAATAAGGCAAAAGTTTGACAGCTTTTCAATTCGTTAGAGAGTGAGTTCCATAGACCAGGTCCCTTTATTTGCATAGGGTGTTTACACAGATTAAGTTTGACTCTGGGGATATCAAAGAGATGTTTATTTCAGGTGTGGTGATTATGTGTTCTATTACATCTGTCCAAGAAGAGTTTCAGAACAGGGTTTGCATTTAAGAACAGGGTTTTGTAAATGTAATTGCCACAAGAGAATGTGTGGAGTGAGGTTATGTTTAGCATGTCTAGAGATTTAAACAGGGGGCTGAGTGTTGTCTGAAAGCCTAGTTTGTTATTGTTCTGATAGCAGATTTTTACTGGGTGATTATGGGCTTGAGGTAGTTTGGAGAGGTTGAGCCCCATGCACAGATACCATATGTAAGATAGGGATAGATTAGCGCATAGTATAATGAGAGGAGAGCAGAGTTTGGAACATAATCTATGATCTTGGAGAATATACCAACCGTTTTTGAGACTTTCTTGGTTATGTGTTGCATGTGGGTGCTGAAGTTGAGTCACTTGTCTAAGTACAGGCCAAAGAACTGTATTCACCTGGTTGTGTTTGCGGGGGTTGAGCTTTGCTCATTCGGCCCGCCTCTCAATTGTCAATCAACCCGCCTCTCAATTGTCAATCAACTAGGTAACAGGGGCATTCAGGTTGAAAGAAACTTTGCCCATTTGTTTCTGCCTGGTGCGGGAATCGAACCCGCGCCACAGAATTACGAGTACTGCGCGATATCCACCAAGCTACCAGGCCCCCAAACCGTCCATCATTTTTATTGCTGATGTTAACATTGTCTATCTGAAGCTGAATTGCATTTGTTGATTTGCTTCCAAACAAGGTGCAGTAGGTCTTTTCTATGTTTAGTGTGAGTTTGTTGGTTGACATCCATAAGTGAACTTTTTATAGTTCATTGTTTACAACATTACTTAGTGTGTGTGGGTTGGGGTTTGAGTAGATGAGGGTAGTATCGTCAGCAAATAATATAGGTGTAAGAATGTTAGACATTAGGCAGATCATTGATGTATAGAAGAAATAGAAGAGGTCCTAGGATGCTGCCCTGTGGCACCCCTACAGTTAATGGTAGAGTGGGAGAGGTTATTTATTTATTTATTTATTTATATACAAGAAGGTACATTGGGTTTGAGAGAATACATAGCATAGTATTTACAATCTTGTAAAGCCACTAGTACGCCCAGCGTTTCGGGCAGTATCATTGTATATATCTATTGGCAGTATATATCACTGATGGCTACATATTGGTGTCTGTCACTAAGATAGGAGTGGATATAGTTCAGGGCATGTCCTCGGATTTCATAACGGTGGCGTTTAAGTAAGAGGTAGTTATGGTTAACAGTATCAAAGGCCTTTCTCAGGTCAATGAAGAGTCCAATCTGAAACTAATTTTATTCAAGGGCTGAGTAGATTGTCAAGCAGACTAATGCCGGGGATACTTGTGTATGTGTAATGAGATATACCAGTAGTGCCTCATTGTGAGTGTGTGTACTCACCTATTTATGCCTGCAGGATAGAGCATTGGCTCTTGAATCCCACCTTTCTAGCCGCCGGTTGTTTAAAGCAATGACTCCTGTCCTTCTTCCCTATGGACCCACCCCACCCCCGTTACATCACCTTGTCCCATTTCCATAAATTTACACTTGCTCGTGTTGAGATTGTCACTTGCTTAACTAAATGAACTATGGAGTTCAGTTCCTGAACCCATTATGTGCCTCTGTAACCCTTTCCTCCATCGCCCACGGGATGGGTATGGGGTGCATAATAAAGAAAGAAATCGTAAAATCGTGTTGAATTCTATTAGCCATTTCTCTGGCCATCTCTGCAGCTTATTCAAGTCCTCTTAGAGGATCCTACAATCCTCATCTGCCTGCGCAAAACGCTATGCGTGTTAGTGGCTTTGCAAGAATGTAAAAATACCAGTCTTGTGTAATCTCACAAACCCATTGTACCTTCTTGTATATAAAAATTAGTATTATATTATTATTATTATCTGTCACAACTCGTTTTATTTCGCATCGTCCGCGAACATCAATATATATAGGACTCGACTCCTGTAGACATGTCGTTCACGTATATTAGAAATAGAACTGGTCGCAGCACGGATCCTTGAGGTACTCCACTCGTTACGATTCGCCAGCCTGACGTCTCGCCCCCTGACTGTTACTCTCTAGCTTCTGCCTGTTAAGTAATTCGTTACCCAAGCAAGGGCTTTTCCCCCTTCTCCCGTCTGCCTCTCAAGTGTAAATAACAATCTCCTGTGAAGTACTGTATCAAAGGGTTTTTGGCAGTCCAGAAATATACAGTCTGCCCATCCTTCCCTGTCTTGCCTTATTCTTGTTACTTTATCATAGTATTCCAGAGAATTTTTTTAGACATGATTTCCCTTCTCTGAACCCATGTTGGTGTTTGTCTGCATACCAAATTTTTTCTAAGTGTGTGACGAGTCTTAACCTGATTATTCTTTAAAAGTACTTTTCAGGGGATGCTTGTCAGTGATACTGGTCTGTAGTTAAGTGCCTCTTCCTTATCTCCTTTCTTGAAAATTGGTACCACATTTGCCTTCTTCCAGCAACTGGGATCGGCAAAAGGAGGAACATAACGCAGAAACGAGAGACCTTCCATCTAAACGTTGGACTCAGCCACAGCGTGAACTGCAAGGAAACCGAACCCTGAGAATCCAGAAGATAAGCTACCCACAATTCCAGCCCCACAAAGGAAGAGACCAAAGCTAACCCCAGCTATTCAGACAATGAATCATTTGGAAGCAACCGGTGAAGTCTGACCACGGAACCTGCTGGGAGACAAAGCAATCACCGATCATGTTAAACTGCCATAGACTCATGCACTATTGTGTGTCCAATGTGAAGGACTAATTCAACAGCCCTTATTGGCCAAGTGAGTGTGGTCACAAAGCCCCATCCTAAGGTTGAGGTGTCCATCAAGAGGTCGAGTACAGGGAAAAGAAAGCGCCACTGAGTACAAGACCCAAAAGCCCAAATATATTAATAATAATATTAATAATAATAATAATAGTATTATTAGTTTATTTAGGCAAGATTACATATATAAGATACAAGGACAGTGGAGGATTCCTAGGTCAGACAAGTACAATCCTTAAAACCTCTAATACGCTAAATGTATACGCTACGATAATAAGCTAATAAACATGCTAAACATAACCTCACTCCACACATTCTCTTGTGTCAATTACATTTATAAAACCCTGCTCTTAAGTGCTAACCCTGTTCTGAAACTCTTCTTGGACAGATGTAATAGAACACATAATCACCACACCAGAAATAAATATCTTTGATATCCCCAGAGTCAGACTTAATTTAGTAAACACTCTATGCAAATAAAGGGACCTGGTCTATGGAACTCACTCCCTAACGAATTGAAAAGCTGTCAAACATTTTTTTAAATTTTGCTAGAAATTACCTTCTTAAAAGTATATGTTAGATTAAGGATCTGCCTGAAACGCTATGTGTGCTAGTGGCTTTACAAGAATGTATTACTTCAAGTCTCTGTACTCTCATAAACCCAATAAACTTGGGTTTATTGGGTTTATTAGGCCGAATGTGGAATGAAACCAAATGGAAGTTTCGCCAATTCACCAGAAACCCGAACCCGATGAGCTGGAAAAGAACTATCCCTGGCTTACAGACATGCGGACTGGCTTGGAGCCTAAACCAGCCAGTCGTCAAGGTAGGCTAAGGCATGAATCCCTAACAAACGAAGGTGTCAAGAGAGCCGATTCGGCCAGAACAGATCCAACCACAACATACATCGCAGGTCACTCTAGTAGAATCTAAAACCTGAGCCAGAATAGAATTATACGTCATAGTGACGTCACTCACCTTGTGCACACTATATATAAAACAAAAATATTATTTCTCATTTGGGTTTGGTTAGGTTAAGACAGGGCAGGTTGGATTTGGTTACGTTACGCTTCCTTAAAGAGTAGCGATGATTTTGAATGGTGAAAATTTGTTCTGGTCTTACTTACTGAGCCTACTTAAGTCTCACGCTGGAAGGTATGAGCCAGCAGCAAGCGGCAGACACAGCAAGTATGGTCATAGGAATACAAGAAGACTGAGGCATATCTTTCAAACTCTCTGCGGCAACCTGTCCTCTTAAAAAGAACGTCGCTTTTGGCCGTTTGTCCGTATGGCCGAATTTGGACGTAATTTGGAAATAAAAAAAAATGAAAATAAATTTGGGATTTTTTTTTTCAACAACAGTAAGTTAAGGGTCCTCTGATAGGTTAGGTGGGCAGGAAATTCTCATAAAGTTTCAAAACGTTATGAAAAACGTGAATTTAAAGTGTCCTCTTATAACCTCTGCGCGTAGGCCGGACGACTCAAATAGAAAACGGAACAGAACGTCACTTTTGTGAGTCGATTTCATTTCAAATTACGTCCAAATTTGGCCATAGTGCGCATATGAGCCAAAAGTGACGTTCTTTTTAAGAGGACGGGTTGCTCCCTCAGCGGGCACGGTATCACGGCGGGTCCGTCACGAACATTACTGAAAACTGCTAGTTAAAAAATCTTCAGGAATAATGGTAGGAGCTTTGACAAGCTGCTAGTTTCTTGTCTCAGACGAGGCCACTAGGGATGGTAGCCCTCAGGTAAATTCGAATAAAAAAATTATTATTATTAATTGTCCATTTTTGTGAGCATATTTACAGGACAAAGGAACTATCAATAATTTGTGTTTATCTTATAAAAACTGTGATATTTGAGTATTACTGCAAGGTAATTCAAATTAGTGTGAATTGCTGCTCTGGAAGATATTTAAATATATTGGATGTTCCAATACAGGAGTGAGGTGATAGCCAAGTGGTGGAGTGGAAGACGACACTTTCAGTATGGGGGTGACCACAACAACTGGAGCCTAGTGTCCTCCTACACACAGATGGCGTGGTACAACTCTCATCAGCTGGGATGTGGTTTCACACAGTGTTCACCCAATGGTGGCACTACTTTCTTCAGATATGTCTGCAACTATTGTCCTACGTGAGTTATTTGGTGCAATTTTGTCGTGTATACTTTACACACCGTCATCTTGCCACACTTTGTAGTTTGGTAATTTTATAAAATGTTGTTAATGTTTACCTGCCATCAATGATATAGGGATAACCTTACCATTATTTTTTACTTCCCATCACAAACTGTGATAACATTGGGGATGAGTTATATGTTTCGGACCGATGAACGTTTCGGACAAGGTCCTCCAGCCTAAAGTATTCATCCTACAACCGAGAGATAGCACCTGTGATGTTCTGATGACGTCTTAGTGCAGGATTTGGTCCTGTATATTTTATATTGGTTTCTGGAAGGGCCCCACATTGTATCTACCTGAGTTACCCACCCTGAAGTCCTCCAAACCCAGGTGCCGCAACAGGTTACATAAAATCACACGCGCCTACTGGTAACCAAAACCAGAATCTGGCCCAATCAATAGAGCATAGGGAAGTGAGGATACTAGACCAACCACTTTACTGAAGATTAAACCTCCAGAAAGGTAGAGCGAACGAAAATAAGCAACTGCTTGGGCAACATATACAACCTTGATTCGTATGTATACACACTGTCCAAATCCAACAATTAGTTAACAGTATTTCCTCGCCACCAGATGACAGCCCTGGTGACCAAGGGCGCGGAGAGGTACTTCTGACATTCACGCACATGGCAAGGAATTAGATTCACTAATTATCATGTATTTCTTCTTTAATGGCTGTCAAGAAAGTTTTTAGGAAAATTGTAAGAAGACTCTCCCCTAAAAACGTTGTTCTATGCCTTTCATCATTGTCATCTAATTAATGTATATTATTTGCTAACTTAATTATTCAAATCATATATGTTAGCTTCTTGTTTATTTGTAAGTGTTTGCTCATTAAATCTTTTGATTTTTACATATTTATTTTATGATATGTCCGAAACGTTTAGAATTCTAGTAGCTTTACTAAAAATTCACTTTTGTATATTTACTGTCGCTAAAACTGCAGATTATATAATATAAAATTTATAGTCTATGCATATCATCTTTATATTTATCATTACTTAATTTCTTGAACATCTCATATGTGTCAGCTTACTTATTTAATATTAAGTTTTAAACCCCATTATGTTCATAGAAAAATTAAATAAATCATTCTAAATTTTATCCGAAACGTGTTGGGTACTAGTCGCTTTGTTTAACATTCAGCCCCCTGTAACTTCAAATATACTTCTCTATTATGTTCTTATGTATGCATACCAACGGTTGAGGGCCACAGGGCTAACAACACTGCAAACCACACACGACAGGGCAGATTTCATTGAAAATTTTAAAATACTGAACAGTTTAAAGGATATTGATCCAGACCACTTCTTCAAAACGTCAAATGTAACACAAACAAGGAGCAACGGTTTAAGTTCAAGAAGTCACAACGTAGGACAGAAAACAGATGCTTTTTTTCATCCACAGGGTTATAACCCCATGGAACTCCTTACCCGCTGAAGCCGTGAATTTCAAAATATTGCTGCAATTTAGAGCTCAATAAAATCATCACGTCAAGTGGGGGGGGGGGGGAACTCTTGACAAGCCGCCAGCTTTCTGTCCTCGTCAAGGCCTCTAAAGAGATGGTGGCCTCAGGTAAATTCATGTGAAAAAAATACACCCTCCTTTAAATTTTAATGTGTAACCCCCAAGCTTTCTAACAAGTCAAACAAACTAGCCAAGAGCAGGCGATGAGTCATAATAACGTGGCTAAAGTATGTTGACCAGACCACATACTAGACGGTGAAGGGACGACGACGTTTCGGTCTGTCCTGGACCATTCTCAATCACGATCGACTTGAGAATGGTCCAGGACGGACCGAAACGTCGTCGTCCCTTCACCTTCTAGTGTGTGGTCTGGTCAACAAACTAGCCAAGAATTTAAACTATACTATTGCACAAATCTAAAGTAAGTTTACATCTGAGCAGTCTTTTTCGTACATGCAATCCTGCTCAATATTGAGATGCAGATCTAGTTTTAAATGAATACTTCATCGAGGCCAGTGTTAAGGACATACTGTATATTGGATTAGTATTTAAGATGATGCTTCCTCAAGTACAGTATTAACATATCTATTGGAATAGTACCTTATAGATTTTTTCCCATATAACTCTGGCTATTTTTTGCTACCCCTTCATACTGTAAACTATAACTGCCTCTTACTTAAACTTCATCATTATGGAATCTAAGGCATTGGTCTGAACTATATTCGATCATATCTTAAATATAATAATAATAATAATAATAATAATAATAATAATAATAATAATAATAATAATAATAATAATAATAATAATAATTTATTTATATGAAGGTACAATGGGTTGGTGAGATTCATAAGACTGGTATTTGTGCATCCTTGCAAAGCTACTAACACGTATAGCGTTTCAGGCAGGTCCTTAATTTAACATATCAGGTTAGATGAAAAGGTACATTGTAGCAAGGTTTTATATCAACAAATAACTTCTATATTAATTGACAGAAGTGATTACACTGGTAAAGAGATATGTCTGAAGTACTAATATTGGAGAAGTGAGTAGTACAAGATACAGTGTAAGTTTGAAGCACAAGGTAGGAAACTATGAGGATGAAATTAGGTACTTTTTGGTTTTACTGTTGAATAAGGCATAAGTTGGACAATTTTTTAATTCGACAGGGAGTGAGTTTCATAGAATGGATCCTTTTATTTGCATGGAGTGCTTGCACAGATTTAGTTTGTCTCTGGGGATATCAAATACTGTAGATATTTATTTCTGGTGTGGTGCTCATGGATTCTATTACACCTATCAAGGAAAAGTTTCAGATCAAGATTAGCATTTAGGAACAAGGTTTTGTACATGAAAATAACACAATTGAATGTGTGAAGTGAATGTATGTTTAGCATGTTAACGGACTTAAACAGAGGGGCTGTGTTGTCTGAAGACAGAGTTTGTTATAGTTCTGATAGCAGATTTTTGCTGTGATGATGGGCTTGAGGTAATTTATAGTGGTTGAACGCCATGCAAAGATACCATATGTAAGATGGAGGATAGATTAGCGCGTAGAATAATGAGAGGAGAGCAGAGTGGGGGAACATAATTTAAAATACTGACACCAATATGTAGCCATCATTAACATAACCTTCCCCACTCTACCACTAACCATAGGAGTGCCACAGGGCACTCAGTAAGTGAATATACAATAAGTGAATACACTTATTATGTATATGACACGTTTGTCCCTGTTTCTTCAATGGACATGAAACCTATTGTCTCTGAATTTACCTGAGGGCCACTAACACTCTAGTGGCCTCGACGAGGACAGGAAGCCGGCGGCTTGTCAAAGGTATCCCCATTTGCCCTGAGGATATTTTCAGCTGGATTTTAAAATTTAACAGTGTTTTAGCATATACGGATTCGGCGGGTAGGCAGTTTTATGGGTTTATAACCCTGTGGGGGAAAATCATCTCTTGTTCTCAGTTCTACATTGCGGCTTGTTAAACTTGAAACCGTTGCTCCTTGTTTGTGTTACATCTAACCTTGTGAAGAAATGGTCTGAATCAACATCCTCCAAATTGTTAAGTATTTTAAAACTTTCGATGAGCTCCGCCATGTCATGCCTGGCTTACAGGGTTGTTAGACCTGCTCGAAGACCCCATCCCTGCCCTTGTGTGCCAGTGCACAATAGAAAATTGTATTTACATATTCGTACATTGAAACATTGATTGTAACCATGATATATATATGTGTTTCAGCCTACAGTTCAGACCTATTGTCTTGTGTATGATCCTTTGTCCTGTGTGATAGTGAATACTAGCAATATCCTCACTCTAATATGACTCAATTGAATTCCTTATATTAGGCAAAATTGTAATTAAATTTTGTCAATAAAGATGTTAATAATAATAATGCTCGAGGCCCTCAACCGTTCCTGATACGAGAGTTGACTTTTACCTGCATTTACCTGAGGGCCAGTATGGCCTCGACGAGGACAGGAATGTCATGCATGGACTTAGTTCTGGAATGATTTTTATTTTTTTTTACTTTTCTTACCTGTCAAGATAGCAAGGGTAATTAAAAATATTAAGTACTTCCAGAAATCCTATTTCGTTTATATATATAAACATTTCTTCACCATTTTTTAATAGTAACTACATGATGTTATACAGAGGAAATGACCCAAAACGGCTGAATCGGCCGTACAGCGAGGGTGAGGTTTGCAGCTTGTGTCCTGGGTCATGCAAATCGCTTTGCCGCAGGAACACCTGCAACCTCTGCACTAATGCCTGCAGTTACTCCGACTTGTGGATCAACTGTGAAAGGCTCGACTACGAGTGGCACGAGTGGCTCTGCAACACCAAGACTAAACAGGGAGTCGAACGCTTCAAGAACTGCCGAGCCACTTGCCAGTGTGTCAACGAAATAACCTAAGCCAGACGAATAAATTAATTCCTGAGTTATCTTTGTATGTGCATTAAAGAAGCATTAAATTTTCCAATAAGATTTTAATCTTCGAGATACCACAACGTTTAGTGTTCTAGTTCACTGGGCCATCATTTTCAATTATACATGCAGATGTGTAAATGCAAACACAGTCTTATTGCAGGGGCTGGAATGCTGTTGCAAAACAATCTATTCATATGTCTATAGTCAATGCTGAACCATAAATGTATCAAGTGAAATACGAAGGTAGTTCTCCCTCAAATATTGTAAAACATTTTTGTATATTTTCTTCCTTATTGTATGTGCTAGATGTATAAAATCAATGTGTCCAATCTTCTATGAAAATTTTGGAATATATTTGTCAGCTTCTTAAAGTTGAAGTTAAAAAAAAAACGAGATATTGTATTGTACAGGAAGCCTATGAATAAGAACTGAGAAGTTTGCTGCAAGCCAGACCTCAACCAGCCAAGCCTGCTATGCATGTATAAAGCAGTGTAGTGTTTCTGTTACCTTGTGCAGATTGATTGATTGATGAAGATTAAGCCACCCAAAAGGTGGCACGGGCATGAATAGCCCGTAAGTGGTGGTTCTTTTGAGCTATTACCAGTATCAAGAGCTGATACTGGAGATCTGTGGAGGTGCGACTGCACCCTGTGTGACGGGAGGTGTCTCCCGTCAGCTTGTGCAGTATAGGTGGCTTATAAATAGTGCCATAATTATGGCACTATATATAAGTTGCTAGTCAACCACGGATAAGCAGCACTGACTGAAACACCTGCCTGGGAGTCTTGGGCTGGGTGGAAGGATACTGGTAGGGCTTCCCAGATATACGTTGACTGTCTGGGTCTGCTGTCGTATAGGAGAAATGCAGTCAAATTTCTTATACAATATATTTTTTTATACTTTCTAACAATGCATTTTTATACTTTATTACAATGTATTTTTTATACTTTCTTACAATGTACCTGTAAACATTTTTTTTTAATTTTGCTAGAAATTACCTTCTTAAAATTATGTTAGATTAAGGATCTGCCCGAAACGCTATGCGTGCTAGTGGCTTTACAAGAATGTGAAACTTAAGGCTCTATACTCTCATAAACCCAATGTACCCTTTTGTATATAAATAAATAAATAAAAAAATAAGTAAATAAATAAATAAATGTACATTAAGGCGAATAGGAAGAGGCAGTTTCCTCTGCAATGCGGGGCGAATTACTTGACAATACCTAGAGTTTAGTGTTTTTGTCATATTTATTTAGTAGTCTCAACAGTTGGTTTGTTGGCAGTGTCGTAGAAGTTAAGACGAAGTCTGGAGCAGAGCAGAGAGCTGAGTGAGAGCGAAGTCGAGGAGCTTGATGGGGGATGAGAGCGTGGAAGTCGATGAAGCCATCCAAGAGTTGGCACGGGCATAATTCAACCCGTCCTCTTAAAAATAACGTTACTTTTGGCTCGCATGCGCGCTATGGCCAAATTTGGACGTAATTTGAAATGAAATCGACTCACAAGAGTGACGTACTGTTCCGTTTTCTGTTTGGGTCGTCCGGCTTACTCGGCAAGCTTAGAAAAGGAAACTTTCCATTAACGTTTTTCATACAGTTTTGAAACTTTATGAGAATTTCCTGCCCACCTAACCTATCAGAGGACCCTTAACTTACTGTTGTTGAACAAAAAAATCCCAAATTTATTTTCATTTTCAAATTACGTCTATATTCGGCCATACGGGCAAACGGCCAAAAGCGACATTCTTTTTAAGAGGACAGGTTTCTAATGCCCGTAAGGTTGATTATTCGTTGTTGTTTTAGAATTAGCTACTCAGAACGAAATGTCCATTTTGCACGGGCTATAGTGAGCCCGTAATCCGATTATTCGATTGATTGATGAAGATAAGCCACCCATGATGTGGCATGGGCATGAATAACCCGTAACCGATTATTCGATTGATTGATTGATAAAGATTAAGCCACCCAAAACGTGGCATGGGCATGAATAGCCCGTAAGTGGAGGCTCTTTGGAGCCATTACCAGTACCAATAGTTGATACTTGAGATCTGTAGATGGATGAGGTCTTCATGGTCGCTCGCAGTTCATGGCCTGCAGGAGGCTTGGTTGCCAGGCTGCAGTTTAGTGCGCAAGGCGACGCTTTATATTTGAACAGAACAACTTCGGTAGTTTGGTACCATCAGGATCGTCGTCCTTTTCGAGGAATTGCATAAGTCCATCTGGGAATTTGCGGTGGAATTCTGGGTCGCGGTAGTCAATTATTTGGTTGATGAAGATTAAGCCACCCAAGAGGTGGCACGGGCATGAATTACCTGCAAGCCAACTATTCGATTGATTGATGATATAATCGGACCTCACCCACCTCATCCTCCTCCAATACGTTGGAAAGAAGTGTTAACTGTAATTAGGGAAAAGGTGGATTAAGTAGACTTAACAAACTCATCTCATTAAGCTAATGAGAGTTTGGAGTAAGTATATTATTGACATAATATACTCATTACACAATTATACAATAGCGTACTTCGTGTATTATTATACATCGGGGCCTCGCGGCAAAGTGAACAGCGCTCGGGGGTCGTAGTCCTAAGGGCCCGGGTTCGATTCCCGGCCGAGGGGGGAAACAAATGGGCAGTTTCTTTCACCCTAATTCCCCTGTTCACCTAGCAGTAAATAGGTACCTGAGAGTTAGACAGCTGCTACTGGCTGCTTCCTGGGGATGTATGTGTGTGTTAGAGCCAAATATATGTAAAAGATATAATAGAGGGAAAATAGATTTGTTAGAAAGGTGGGGTCCAAGAGCTAATAGCTCTATTCTACAGACACAAATAGTAAATACAGTATATGGATTAACTGCAGATTTATGTTGAATACTAGTGGGTATTGTCGCTAATGAAAGGACATTGGATCCAGTTCCTGATGTGTGTATAGTCTCTAACCCTTAGTTTCCACTTCACACTGGATGTATGTGTGTGGGATGAATGATAAAACAATAGTTTGGTATATATGCATATTAACATCATCTTTAAATTAAGATGATGATAATGCGAAAAGTACAAGAATTAAGGTGACCTGTGTACTTCTGAAAATAATTTTATATAAATTGAACTACCACTTTGTTTTTAAAGATGTTTCGATAATTTTACTTGAAATTAAAGTAGAGATTTCAACAGTGCAGTACGACAGTATCAGGTGGGGTCCTGGCAGCACGGGAGGTACTGGGCCACCTGCCCGCTGCCCACCACTCAGTCACTCCTGGAGTACGTTTAAGCACGGGTGTACTTGCTCTAGCATTGTGAATAACACTACCTATACGCAGGTGGATGGCACTTAGGTTAGTTAAAAGAACATTTGTATGGTATTCTACTTTGTACTTCCACGTATTGTTGTAATAGTGCCTCATTAAAATGTGAATTTGAGGTTGTGGGTATCAAAGGATATGTTCTTAGCGTTAATGTCGCCCACACAAAGTGAATGGCAGAGGTGGACGGAGAAGGGGACGGGGCAGCAGGTGCAGGACGGAGGGTCGGCTCTCAGGTATTGTCTTTCCCAACCTCTTCCTCACTTCTTCTCTTCTCTCTCACTAAATAAATAAACTTCCCCCCTGACCCTAGTCTGTCAGTCTCATCCCCCTCCTGGCCAGTCTCCTCCCCCTCCTGGCCAGTCTCCTCCCCCTCCTGGCCAGTCTCCTCCCCCTCCTGGCCAGTCTCCTCCCCCTCCTGGCCAGTCTCCTCCCCCTCCTGGCCAGTCTCCTCCCCCTCCTGGCCAGTCTCCTCCCCCTCCTGGCCAGTCTCCTCCCCCTCCTGGCCAGTCTCCTCCCCCTCCTGGCCAGTCTCCTCCCCCTCCTGGCCAGTCTCCTCCCCCTCCTGGCCAGTCTCCTCCCCCTCCTGGCCAGTCTCCTCCCCCTCCTGGCCAGTCTCCTCCCCCTCTCCTGGCCAGTCTCCTCCCCCTCTCCTGGCCAGTCTCCTCCCCCTCTCCTGGCCAGTCTCCTCCCCCTCTCCTGGCCAGTCTCCTCCCCCTCTCCTGGCCAGTCTCCTCCCCCTCTCCTGGCCAGTCTCCTCCCCCTCTCCTGGCCAGTCTCCTCCCCCTCTCCTGGCCAGTCTCCTCCCCCTCTCCTGGCCAGTCTCCTCCCCCTCTCCTGGCCAGTCTCCTCCCCTCTCCTGGCCAGTCTCCTCCCCCTCCTGGCCAGTCTCCTCCCCCTCCTGGCCAGTCTCCTCCCCCTCCTGGCCAGTCTCCTCCCCCTCCTGGCCAGTCTCCTCCCCCTCCTGGCCAGTCTCCTCCCCCTCCTGGCCAGTCTCCTCCCCCTCCTGGCCAGTCTCCTCCTGGCCCCCTCCTGGCCAGTCTCCTCCCCCTCCTGGCCAGTCTCCTCCCCCTCCTGGCCAGTCTCCTCCCCCTCCTGGCCAGTCTCCTCCCCCTCCTGGCCAGTCTCCTCCCCCTCCTGGCCAGTCTCCTCCCCCTCCTGGCCAGTCTCCCCCCTCCTGGCCAGTCTCCTCCCCCTCTCCTCCCCCTCCTGGCCAGTCTCCTCCCCCTCCTGGCCAGTCTCCTTCCCCTCCTGGCCAGTCTCCTTCCCCTCCTGGCCAGTCTCCTTCCCCTCCTGGCCAGTCTCCTTCCCCTCCTGGCCAGTCTCCTCCCTCTCCTGGCCAGTCTCCTCCCTCTCCTGGCCAGTCTCCTCCCCCTCCTGGCCAGTCTCCTGGCCAGTCTCCTCCCTCTCCTGGCCAGTCTCCTCCCCTCCTGGCCAGTCTCCTCCCCCTCCTGGCCAGTCTCCTCCCCTCCTGGCCAGTCTCCTCCCTCTCCTGGCCAGTCTCCTCCCTCTCCTGGCCAGTCTCCTCCCTCTCCTGGCCAGTCTCCTCCCTCTCCTGGCCAGTCTCCTCCCTCTCCTGGCCAGTCTCCTCCCTCTCCTGGCCAGTCTCCTCCCTCTCCTGGCCAGTCTCCTCCCTCTCCTGGCCAGTCTCCTCCCCCTCCTGGCCAGTCTCCTCCCCCTCCTGGCCAGTCTCCTCCCCCTCCTGGCCAGTCTCCTCCCCCTCCTGGCCAGTCTCCTCCCCCTCCTGGCCAGTCTCCTCCCCTTCCTGGCCTGACTCCTCCCCCATACTCTGCATTTTCATTCCCTTCTATTTTTCCATTCATGTTTCTCTTAACTTTTGTCTTGTCTTCTTACACCAAGGTCAGGGTTCCTTTACCTGAATTTACCTGAAGGCCACTAACACAAATGGCCCTAACAACAGGAAGGCGACAGGATGGTGGCTTTTTAGGTTTATAATGCTGATGAGAAAGCATGTTGTTTTCAGTCCTACACTGGCTTATTGAGCTTGAAATCGTTGCCCCTTGTTTGTGTTACATCTGACCTTGTTAATTTGCTTGGATCAACATCCTCCAAACTGAAGTATTTTGAACGTTTCGATTAGATCAGCCATATCATTCCTGGTTTGCAGTGTTGTTGGCCCAGTGGCCCTCAACCTGTCCTGGTATGAGAGTTGATGTAGTTCTGGAATTGTTTGTTGCCTGGTGTTGAACTTACTCCAATGAAGCTGTGTCTTTCTGAAGATGATCTCCATGCCTGGATGTAATAATCCAGGTGGGGGCACACTAGAGATTTGTGCAATTGAACAACTACCTTATTTTCCTTAGTCAAAGGTACGCTTCATTATTCCTTGGGTTTGGTTTTTTTTTTTTTTTTTTTACTGGCGTTTTGCAACTTGCTTTACGTTTTTGCAAAGCTACTAACATGCATAGCATTTTGGGCAGGTCCTTAATTTCCAGGTAGTCTAACAGATAAGGTAAGACTAATAATAAGTACTGTGCATTGTAGCAAAATTTGAGTTCAACATAATAACCAAAATATAAAATGATGGTATTGATTATGTTGAACTTGCATGTCTTTAGTACAGTACTAAAATTGGAGTGGGTAGCAGATGGTAGGAAACTATGAGGATGAGGTTGGGTACTTTTATGTTATGCTTTTGAATAAGACATAGGACACTTTTTTAATTCATTAGGGAGTGAGTTCCATAGACAGGGTCCTTTTATTTGCATGGAGTGTTTGCACAGATTCAGTTTGATGCTGGGGTTATCAGAGATACTGTATTTATTTCTGATGTGGTGGTTCTATTACACCTACTGTATCAAGGAAGAGTTTCAGCTCAGGATTAACATTTAGGAACAAGGTTTTGTACATGTAAATAGAACAAGAGAATGTGTGGAGTGAATGTATATTTAGCATGTTAAGGCTGCAGCAACTTTAGGGTCAAGGGAATTAAACTGGGGGGGGGGGGCTGTGTGTTTTCAGAAGAGAGTTTGTTATAGTTCTGATGGCAGATTTTTACTGAGTGATGATGGGCTTGAGATAATTTGCAGTGGTTGAACCCCATGCACAGATGTCGTATGTAAGATGGGGGGGGGGGATAGATTAGTGCATAGCAGAGTGGGGAACATATCTAATGTTAGAGAGTATACCGACAGTTTTTCATTTTTTTTTTTAGCTGTGATGTATGTGGGTGCTGAAGTTTTAGTCTCGTGTCTATATGTCGGCCAAGGAACTTTAACATAATTTGTATTACTAATGTTAACATTGTCTATCTGAAGTGAAATTTGGTTTGATAATTTACTTCTTAATAAGATGTAGTTCTGTATTTCTTTTCTATGTTTAGTGTGAGTTGGTCGACATCCATGAGTGAAATTTTTTAGTTCGTTATTTACAGTATTATTTAGTGTGATGATGGTAGTATCATCCACAAATAATGTAGATTTAAGAATGTTAGAAATATTTGGCAAATTATTGATGAATATAAAAAATAGGACTGGTCATAAGATGCTGCCCTGTGGCACTCCTGTTAATGGTAGAGTGGGGAAAGTTGTCATTGATGTCTACATATTGGTGTCTGTCACAAAAATATAATCAAATGTAGTTCAGAGCAAGGCCTCTGATTCCATAGTGGTGAAATTTCAGTAAAAGGTACACAGCCCCTCTGTTTAAATTCCTAAAAATGCAAAACATACACTATACACACTCTTGCAATTTACATGTACAAAACCTTGTTCCTAAATCCTAATCCTGATCTGAAAACTTTAATGATAGATGTACAGTAATAAAATCCATGAGCACCACACCAGAAATAAATGACATTCCTAGTCAGACTAAATCTGTGCAAACACTCCATGCAAATAAAAAGGCCCAGTCTATGGAATTCACTCTCTAATGAAGTCTGCAAGAAAGGGAACTAGATGGATGACAAAGGTCATAAAACTAGCCTCGGTAACCAAGAGGAACCTCTAGAGAACATATAAATCCACGATAGACATATTTGATTACGAGATACAGTATTCAAAAGGGCGCTAAACTCGGCCACACAGAAAATCAGATCAGCCAAGAGAAACTATGAAAGAAAACTTGCCCAAAACATAGACCCAAAATTGTTCCATGCTTATTGAAGCGGTAAAACAAAAACAAAAGACTCGTAGGGCCCTTAATAGACGAGACTAACCAGGTAATAATTGACGATAAAAGGGCAGCAAACACCCTAAATGAATATTTTACATTGATGCTCACACTAGAAAGGTTAGATGACATCCCATTACCCATACAAATTTCTCCTAAATTCATTTTCCTCTCTGGGGAGGAGAATGAATTTAGGGATATACCCATAACATGCAAAATAATTAGAAAGAACATTGACAAAATAAAAGGCTCAAAAGCTCCAGGTGTGGATGGAATCCAATCCAAAGTCTTAAAGGAGCTGGCAGAAGAACTATGCTTACTGCTGAAACTTTTTTTCACAATCTCTGGACCAAGAGGCAATCCCCCTAGAATGGAAATACGCAAATGTCACCCCTATTTTAAAAAAAGGCAGAAAGACCTCGGCAGAAAACTTCGGCCGATTGGCTTGACATCACACACCTGCAAGCTTGTAGAGAGAAACCTCAATGAGGAAATCATTCACCATCTTTCAGTGAACAATCTTGTACAATCAACACAACATGAGTTTAAAAACGGATCTTGCCGTTTAAACTTGCTCACATTTTTGGAAACGGTAACCAGCTACACAAAGATGTCCAGTGGATGTGGTATACATGGATTTTGCTAAAGCCTTTGATAAGGTACCCCATGAAAGACTGGCAAAGAATTTACAGGCCCATGGAATAAATGGTAAAATATTAGAATGGATAAAGCAATAGTTGAAAGAAAGAAAACAAAGGGCCATGCTAAATTTTAGGGAACAAATCTGAATGGAGAAATGTGGTAAGTGGGGTGCCACAGGAGTCCATTTTGTGGTCTTTCCCTTTTGTCATATACATCAATGACATAAATGAGACTATTACAAACCACATTACCACATTGGC